GCCTTTTGAGGCCACCAAGAAGGTACGTGAATCTTTGTCTTATCAGAGCTTCCCCCTTCGCCCCATTTGCTTTGCTCTTTCCTCGCTCTCTTTTTTTTTTTTTTTTTTTTTTTTTTTTTTTTTGGGTGGTACTCTTCACTCCTTCCAAACAGGAGGCCAAGTATTAGAGTATTACCCAGCGACGGAAACGGGAGACTAATCTAACTAATTACTCGTAGGACATTCGGTCGTTGTTTGGCACGTATGGCCAGCTTAGGGCGGTTCGCGTTCCAAAGAAATTTGGCCAGACCTCGAGGGGTTTCGCCTTTGCAGAATTTGTCACGCCACGCGAGGCGGAGAATGCGCGCGCAGCCCTCGAGAACACACATCTTTTGGGACGTCGGCTGGTGCTCGAGTTTGCCGAGGCCGAAGCCGTCGATGCCGAGGAAGAGATCGAGAAGATGCAGAAGAAGGTCGGCGGCCAGGTCAACAAGGTCGCCTTTGCTCAGCTCACGGGAAGGACCAGGAAGAAGGTCAATATTGGGGACCAGGGAGACGAATTCGATGTTTGACAACGGAAAGGCAAGGCAATTGGATCAATGTTCTGGATAGGCGGCGTTGGTTAAAGGGCGCGTGTAAGTGAAAAAAATGGATGATACCACATTTACATGGCTTAAGGCACAATCGAAGAGATGATGAAAGGGAACATTCTCTCTCCTGGCATGTCAAATCACCATCACTTCAATTAATTGTTTTATCGAGGGAAGAGAATGATCTAATTCCTTTCTCTTTCTCTATTGCCCAGATAAGTCAAGTTCCTGGCCTTTGTGGCTATCCCTTGTTAAGGATGGCATTTTCCCTCCTGGTTATCTTGCTCCCAACAACCCTCTATTTCTTTATGAGGGGACTTCCATTATGCATGAATAGCTCAGTCTTTTTTTCCTTTCCCTCTTTTTCTGTCTACTTTATTCATCCTTTCATCCATTGATTCATTCATAATTAGTAGACACTGCCTTCTTTTGGTTAGTATCACGTCTTTCCCCTTTCCCATCTCGGAAGAGCAATTCTTCGTCTTTCGTTCTCATCTTAGTTACATACCATGCGACTCGACACACCAGCTCTCCCAAAGACAGCAAGTAGAGAAGGGGGGAAAACGGATAACTGCTCCTAAGGGTGGTTCATGGGGTGTGGATCGAGTCCTTGAGTCGCACGTCCCCATGAACTTGAATTCTCTCCCTTGCATAACATCCCCCAAGTTCACAGTTTACCCGGCTAACCCTCTCTGCCCCCCTTGGGGGCGGCCCCTCCTGCTAAGAAGGGTCCATCCGACTTCCAGGACCTCAGATCAGCCCTGTTTTTCGATTCGTCATATAAAATTGTACCTTGAGGTGGGATGACATGCATTTTTTAGGGTGGAACAATTTGGTGGCCTGCTGCTCTCTGCTAGGTGGAGTTAGATGTCTCAACTTGCATCTTCGTCTGCACTGGGAAGCTTCAAGCCTCTGCTCCAAGTGAAGAAGAGACAGTCAGTCCTTCGGCCATTTATGGAAGTGTTTGAATTCATGCGCACACTGTTGCACTCCCACACGGAACATGTAGTCTTTCCGTTGCCCTCCCGCCCCTGACCCGCTGTCCCTCTGGGATATCTGACTCCCCCAGAAGGAAGAGGCCCGTTTTGACGTCGCTTACGGAACTGCCGAACCAGGTTCTTCAGCCACCCTAGCAAGTGAGGTCTTACGCCCACGGGGAACCTTTGGTACCGTAGCCCTTTCCCAGCAGCAAGTGATTTGGGAGATAGGGCGTGAAGCAGATGAATGACCTTTCTTTCGATGGTTCTCTCGCACCCTCTCCCTTGCACGGACACCCCTGCCATCCACCCCTCCCATCTCCTTCTTTCCCTTCCGCTTCCTCTTTCAGCGGCGCCGACGGAGCGGATCGCTAACCCGAGGTCCTGCCAGTAGGCCGACTTTCCAATTCGGTAGGAAGTCAGGTATCAATATACTTGTTCCTGGAAAGCCCATGGCGCCTCTATCCTCCTTCGGGAGGGACGCGTTATGACCTTGTTTGGGGGGACGCTATGATGCCCTATCTTCTACCTCCTCCTACCCTGTACCAGAGGCATCTGCCTTGGTAAGGATGACGTCCGAACTGTCGATTGAGCACGTCGGGTAACTCGGCACTTGTCGACGTGCGACATGGATCCGTGCTGTGAGCTCTTCTGACAGATGCTGATCATCCCCTATCCCCCGCGAATTGGGATCCCGATCTCTTTCATCCCCCCCACCCCCCCTTGTCCCCGTCTCCCGAACGTCAGGAACTTATATTTCGTGCATTTTCACTTCCCTTTCATGCCAGTCAGGCGCCCTCCTCGTTCCTCAACCTCAACAATATAGCTGAGATATGCAGTTGTCTCGTTGCAGAACCTGATGTATCGTTCCTCCACTGCTCTCCTCAATATCTTCCTGGTTCGCGTCTCCCTTACTCTTCTTCCCTTCGTCTCCATCGCGTACCTCACTCGCGCCTCCGTGTCCTCGCAGGCTCACGCGGGTGTGTCCTCCTCTTAAAGGTAGAATTCCTCTGTCCTTTCTTCCTTTCAAAGGCATTCTTCTTCACATTCTCATCTTCATTCTCCGTACCTGGACTCGGAATCCGTTTGCATTGTTCACAGTGCCTTGCTTTGAGGCTCGTCCGCACCCCCTTCAGATCTTGGCAGCATTACTTGTTGGGTGTTCTCCGTCTCCGTGACCTGGACAGAGAGAGGAGGGCAGAGAAAGAGTCGGACGGAGAAGTGAGAGTCGGGCAATGTTCATTGGAAGTATGGAGCACCATCGCCCCGTGCTTCCATCGCAGCATCCTTCCTCCACCTATGGGTATGACCACCACCAGGGTGGGGGACCATCCTCATCCCACTCCCGTCCACCACTTCGTGAGTCCACGGGTAACGCACAACATCTCAGTGTAGGTGCCCTGGGCATGTCGTCCACTGCAACAGGAGGAGCCGTGACGGGCCTAGTGCTCTCATCATCATGCCGCCAGGCCCCGTCTCTCGGCATCTACTCCCCCTCCTTGCCGCCCTCAATCCCCACGCCGGTGGTGCCTTCACAAGCCGGACCCCAATACTGCGGCGGTAGTGGCAGCGGCCGAATGAGCGGCTTCAGGTCAAGGGCAGATCAGCTCCGTCTTGCACGTCGACCCAGACACGATATCAACCCCATTTACTTCGCTCCTGAGTTTCGGCCCTATCGAGATAAGCAGGACCAGAAGGACCCGAACGAGAAGCAGATCTGGCCGAGGGTATTAGAGGACGCTTTCTTGGACTGTAAGTCAACGGCCATCGAGTCCCCTGGATAGAAAACCAACGAGCTGACCAATCTTTGCCTCAAAAGCGTTGTTGATCATTCCGCACATGGGAAGGAAAAAGTACAGCATGCAGGGGAAGCAATTCGGACGCAACATGCTCATCAGCGAATATCTGTGGATCGCGTATTGTTGCAGCCTGCAGCCTGGACAGAAGGCGGAAGAGCGCAAGCGGAAGCAGGTGTCCAGCCACATTCAGGTGGTCAAGAAGATGTTTGAGAAGCACCGTTGCTGTAAGTCCCTTCTCCGTACACTCGGTCGACCTCTTGGGGAGACATCTTAGCGTGGCAATAGCTCAACGAACCCCTTTGATGGCAGACCATTTCTTTTTTGTCAAAGATGCCGAGAAGAGCGAGGCTCGTCTCAAGGAGAACAATGCCGAGATGGCTTCCTTTAAAGACAATCCCGTACTCATCGCTCTCTCGGAGGGTAGGCTGCCGGACGTGCGGCCGAATTATGAGTACTTTGCGCAGATTCTCGCCATGGATTCCCAGGTCGTCATGCGAGCCAAGACTTGCTGGATCTTCGTCTCTTCATCGGACGTGACCCTCGACGAGGGCACGGGTACGGCCTTTGACCGCAATGGCAAGGCGCTCGACACTGATATGTATCCCCATCTGGAAAAAAACTTGCACCGGGAGACGGACAGCGGCCTGGCGCGGGGCCTTGCGGGGGGGGGTGTATTGCTGCATGAGTACAACCGCGAGCTTACGCAGAAAGAGTCGGCGGCGGCGACAGAGATCTCTCAGGACTGGGAGGTCCGTTTCCCGGTGCTCCACAGGAGCCTCGAGGCCGCCACAGCAGAGAACCGTTGGCTGGACATGCTCGAACTTACGATAACACTGGAGCTCCATCCGCGCAGCAATTTCCCCACAGGATCGGAGCTGAACGGCTTCGTCGAGCTGAGCATCGCGCAGCCACACTTACAGAACCACCGATGGAAGTGCGTCACGTTGCTGCAACGCCCTGAAGAACTCTGCCGCGCGGGCGAGGGCGGTTCGGTGCTCGTGGAGCAGACGAGCGAGGTTGGGGTGCAGTACATGCACAGGCCGGGTTGCGGTAGAAACAGCAGCGCAGAAGGCGGGAGTGGCGGCCTGGAGTGCGACTGCCGGACCAGACCACGTCAAGATGTTAGGGTGCCGTTCCCGGCGGCGGAGTGGGCAAGCATCCTCAGCAGTTGCGCAGGGTACCTCCAAGAGCCCATCGACGCACGGTCGAGAGCGGGCGGCGCAAGCGGCGATGACGCCAAGGCCGCGGAGCAAGCGACGCTTGACTCGGAGCGAACTACGGCGGAGCTGATCCAACAGATCGCCATGTTCCAGGAGTTGTGGTCATGCCCGCCCGACGCAGCACCAAACCGAAGAAAGTGGACGCGGCGAGGCGTCCTTCTGTGGAAGTTCCGCACGGTGTACGCCTTCGACGACAAGGGCAGTCCTGTTTACGAGAAGGTCAGCGCGACAAAGGGACGCAAGGTCTCCTTGGATGGGGATGACGATGACACAGGATCCGGGTCGAGCCGTCGTTCCAGCAAAGCCAAACGCATGTACCATCCGCCTGGGACGACATGGCGGTTCCTGACGGCGTTGGATCCTATATCTCCGGAGCATCAACGCAACGTGTGCGTCAACCCGGCCACCAATAACTCCGTCCCCAATCGTGACATGGTGATGGCGCCCACCCCCAGTTACCCGCATCATATCACGGCGGCCATGAGCGAGAACCTCAGCGCGGCATGGGACACCGTCACCATGCCTGGGCAGCTTCCAAGTTTAACCTCCGCCGGGACGATGAACTTGCTAGACAGCTTCTCCCAAGGGGTTGCCACCCCCCCGCCCACCGCCTCCCTGCACTCATCCTACGCGCCGAGCTTCGATGGGAACCACGACCAGTCAGGACGACAGCATACACGTCATCATCAGCAGCAGCAGCCACAGTCGCAGCCTCAGAACCCGCAAAGCAACCAACAGCAGAGTCAACAGCTGGACTTCCTATCATCTGCTTGTCCCACGTCCATCGACCACCAGAGCACCCTTGTAAGCGACGTCAGCTCTGCCGAGACCACTGACCCCTTCCTCTCCGTCGCGGGCGGCATGAGTATCTCCGGTGGCATGGACGTGGGTGGTTTTGACGATGGCGACGGTAACGGGTTGCAGAGCTGGGACGCTACAACCACGGCCACATCGTTCAGCGGGCTCGACCAGTGGAGCGGGTGGGATTCGACTGTGGAATCGGGTAAAACAGCGCCGCAGCCGTGGCAGAACGACAACCAGCGCAATGTGGGAGCCAATGGCGGGCTGTGGCCCGTTGAGAACGGCAAAGACAGCAACCAGAATGTGTGGGCTCAGCCGTCTTGGGCTCAGGCCGTATCGGCAGCGACGGGAACGGATGCACGGACAGGATGGCCGTCGGTTGACCAGCGATTGCTGCCCTCGCTGGATCAAATTAGTCCCCTGAGGGAGCTCGGAACGAGAAAACGAGCGAGGTCAAACAGCCTAGACATGGTGAACAGGGAAAACTTCCCGGCGACGGCAATACAAAAGTTGGTACATCACGGAGCAATGCCCGTTGGCATGCTCGATGGAGGCCACGGCCATGCCAACCCTAGGTGGTAGAAACAAGAGAAAACGAAAGGGGTAGCTTCTCGGTGTGACCCTGAGCATCCCTAAGAGCAGAGAAACAAAGAAAGGGAAAATAAGAAAGAAAGAAACATGGTGCACTGGCGTTTTGACCCAACGGATGCGGTCTGGCAAGTTGAATGTTGAATTCAGTTGTTCTGTTCAATATTGACAAGAATATCGGGAGAGGAAATGGACTGTCTGTCAGGTTAGGAATCGGGGGATGTATGCAAGGTCCGGAAGAACCGATGCGAAACGATCACGGTTGATGCTTGATACCATGTTTTGCTATTGTACTTGTTAGTTGCAGCCAGTTTTTTGCCCAAGAAAGTAAATGAAGGGAAACTAATAAACTAATTCTAGTATGGTGCTACAAAGAAAACTAAGAGGTGTTATGTGGCTTGAGGGGGGATCGGAAGTAAAGAGGATTAAAATCAAATCAAATAGAAGAAGAAGAAGAACCGCTGTGCTTTACGTACTGGTCACTGCGAAAGGCTGTAGTAATATGAGGGCGAAGCGAAGTCGTAGGCCACTAGGGGAAACGATGAGACGAAATATTATCGCCGTCTGAGTCTTGAGTCTCGGGCAGCCTGTTGGTCAAGATCAAATGAGCTCGGAAATGACGCAAATCAGATTATGATGATGCCATTGAGCAGATATTTTGGTGATCTCGAGTTACGACCGTGACACTGGCAATTCTCCTACCATTGTCCTCGAAAGCGGAGGCCAATTAAGGGACCTGTCAAGACCAGTCGAGACACCAGACACCGGCTTCCTTTATGGCGTTGTTCTTGCTCGAGGAGGGCGGGCCTTGGTCTGTCTAGAGGAGCAGAAGAGAGAAGAAGACAGGGAGTGGGAGGTGCATTGAATCACGTCGGTGCTTGGAGAAGAAGAGAGATGATTAGGGCAAAGCCAAAGAATAATAAGGGAAGAAAAAAAATCGAGTCGAGGAAGAGAAATGAAAAAGAAAAAATAATAATTAAAGGACGTTGTCGGTCGTCGCGTGTGACGCGACGTATGACCCGTTCATACTGGGGGAATAGCAGGAGAGCCAGTGGTTATTCCTGCCCTCGCAGCATCTGTGGCTTAGGCGGCTCCAAGCCAATGCTTGGAGGCAATCCATTGGACGGGAGCCAAGCTGGCTTGTGACCACTGTTGCAACCGCGTCTATCCAAACCGGGGTGTGGGTCTTGTGGGTCATAACTTCCCATTTCGTTACAGACGTCAAAAACCCTCGATCATGTGGAGGTACTTCTTAGGATTTGTACGTCCTGTTAAGGTACCTACCCGCGGAGGAACTCCATGCCTGCAACTCGCAATGCAATTCTACCTGCCTGTATTCTACCTTATGTGGGTATGTCCCAGGTTACCAAGCGCTCGAAGATCGGAGGTACATCCGGCGGCTATCTAAGGTAGGTACTATACTACCTTAGGTAATTAAGTCAAATACACGGATGCGCGACATACGAACCAGGCGAAGAGAAGGAAGGCGCGATGTTCGCTGTTCAGGGTGTGACAGATCCCTTCGGAAGCTACCATCTACTAGCTCCTACCATTTATCGAAAGGCTGACTTCCAGGAACTCATAATCAAAATGAAAACACCCCTACCATGTCCAGTACCTACCTTAGGTACCTAGGTAGGTACGTAGGTACGTACGTTTCAGTACGCTCGTCTGGAGCTGATCGTCGTCAAAGCAGTGGTGTTTTCTCGAGTCGGTGGGGCTACTCCAACGGACGACATATCACTATTAGCCAATCCTCCTTGAACAGTCGGCCCAAACCTGACCCATCCGTTGACTGGACCGCATCCCTTCGATCGGAAACGAAAATCGTACCGTCCCAGTTCTGTATCCGCCGTATATCACGATTGGCTCTCGCAGTCGCCGTGCGGCTCTGTCATACTACTCTCTAACGCGGTCCCGACCTCTTGGGCTTCGGCCGCCATCGACCTACCTACGGTACCCTTGGCTCGATGCCTGTAGTTCCGTCTAGACGCTCTCCTGCTCTCCTGTCATTGAGCTCTGTCCCATCAAGCCAGATGGGAACCAAAAACCCCTGGCGGTTCCTCGAGCTCGTTTCCGCTCGTAGGTTTCTACTACATAGATTGGGTTGCATGGCTCGAGCAATTAGCCTTGTTTCTACTTGTTTTCTTTCTTCTTGTCTTTTAAGCCCACTCGTTGACTCTACTCCATAAAGATTAATGACGTGCAGCTGTCACTCGCCGTTGATAATAAAGAGAGGCTCCCAGGCTTATATCATTACCATGTGTGGCTGATGACCTGCATCCATCTCAGTCCCGGTCTACGCTATTAACTCGAAATTTCGGACTTGCCTGTTTCTATTGTGTCTGGGTAGGCATTTATCTACTTGGTTGCCTACCCAACAGAATTGTCACAGAGAAACTTTGCTCTTCATATCACCTTTGTGTGGGGAGATAAGTGGTTCGGGAAGGTGCGCACTTTCCACCTGCTCATCCATCTCCCTCACAAGTTATGAAGAGCATGCCCATGGTCAACGAACACGGAAACAGCACATCTCTTCCTGTTACTATCTCTCCATATTTCTTCTCTCTTCCCTTACTTTCCCTATTCCATCTATATTGAGGTATCCTAATCTCATTTTCCCCTCCTGTTCTCCTCCTTCCGGTTAACCAGGAAGGGCTTCCCATTCTGGGTTAATCACTCTCACCACTTTCCCTGTTACACCACCATTACCCTCCTTCTATCCTTTCAACTACCTTACCCCAAACAAGCTTGCCTTCTGTTTTCTCTCAACCTTCCCATACTTTACAATCATCTTCTTTTTTCCTGGCCATCTGCTTGGTCACCTTCTCTCCATGCCGGCCTGAACTATTGTCCCATACGTCCCCTTCTGTATTCAGACAATACCATTCACGGGACCATTCAGCACTCCATTCACAACACAAATTCACTTTGAATATTCTATTATGCGTGGATAGCCACCCTCACTTTCAGAGTCACTTGTGACTTCGTGTATGGCGTTCTGATTCAAATCCAACGCCTCGACGCCGACTTACACATATAGTCAACACTTGGCCTCGTCCACGTTCTACCGAACATACACACACAGACACTCCTTTCTTCACCGCATACACTCTTTCTCTTCGAGCTCAGCTGGTCTGTCATTGCGCTGGACGTATTTACCGCTCTTTTCTTTTACCCCTTGAGCATTCCCATTGTCTCACTTGAGACGCCTTCCCCTCGACGACTGCACCCGACTGGCGACATCGAGAACAAAGGCGCGTTTCTCGAACACTCTCCTTGTGCCTTTCCGACTTTCGACACAACTCGCTTGTGTACCGAGACAACACATTGTAATACGAACCATCCGGCCTGATCCTCTGAAGCAAGCTTCGTACACTCAACCTGCGTCTTCCCCGGAGAGGGGTACATATATACCCCATCCTCGCCTTCTGATACCTTTGGCTAACCTGCTTCCAGAATATTATCGATTATCTACACCACGACAAGACAACCATCACAAAGACGCACAACACCATGAAAATTAACACCATTGCCAAGAAGCCCTTGGCTTCCCTACTTATTGCCCTTGTTGCAGGCGGACCGAATCTGGCCGCCGGTCACTCGTGGCTGGAGCAGGTCAGCCGCGTTGCACCCAACGGTACCATCGTCCTTCCAAACGGGTACCCCATGGGATGGGGCGGTCGCGACGGCCCTGGTTTCAATGACCTCTTGTACTCCAACTTGATTCCTACAGATACTACGAAGATCTGTAAACGCAACCCTCTCGGCGTTCAGAAAGAGGGTTACCCCGCGTTGACCGCCGCGCCTGGCGACTTCGTCGCTCTTCGCTACCTCGAGAATGGCCATGTCTCCAAGCCCCGTATTAACGGTCCTAAGATTAGCGGGATCGTGTACGTCTACGGCACTCTCGAGCCCCGAGCTGACGACGACATCACCGACGTCCACAAGAAATGGACCGCCGACGGCACTGGCGGTGACGGTCGCGGTCGTCTCCTCGCGACCCGCCACTATGACGACGGCCAATGTTATGAAGCCAACTCGGAAGAAATCTCCCAAACTCGCCAGAACCTCTTTCCCAAGCCCTCCGACAACTTCATGGGTCCCAACTTGTGGTGCCAAACTGACATTCAAATACCTTCTGATATCCCCCAGGGCAGCCAGTACGTCTTGTACTGGGTCTGGTCTTGGCCCCAGCTCTTTCCCAATGCCATCGAGGGTTCGGAGAATGGATGGGATGGCGAGTTTCCGCGCAACCTGCACGTCCCCAATGGCGAGTATCTCCAGTCGGACGCCGTTGAAGTGGCCGAAATGTACTCTTCTTGTGCCACGATCAATGTCGAGGGCGAGCCCCTGAGTGACGGTATTGATATCGACACGAACCACGGGCAGAGCCTTTCAGCCTGGATCCAGAGCCACTTTGCCGAGCACAGGGATTACACCAATGCCGCCATTCGGAAGCAACTCCTGGATCAGTTCTTCGTCGATGTTGGCGACAGTCAGAGAAGCCCCGGCACTGGGACCACCCCTCTTCCGACTTCGGGTCAGGGCGAGAATCGGCCTCCCGTCCCGACCACCACCACCGGCGGTGGCATTCGCACCGTCACTGTCACTGCGGACCCAACTACCGTCTACGCAACAGCGACTGTTACGGCCCGCCCTGGCGATAACAGCGGCCCGCCTGTAGCTGAAGTTCAGGACGCACCTCACCAAGGTGGACGCCCTTCCGTTGAGCCCTTCATGACTCGACGCAACCTGCGAGGCCGGTCCTCGTGGAACTTTGGATCGGCGGACTAGAAAAGATGCGCCGCATGGGAGGGCCCATGCCCCCTAATCACCCGAACGTAAGCTCCAGCTTTGCACATGGGCTTTTTTTGTCGCTACTCCACGCCTCCAGCTCGGATGGGTATACACAAAGGAATAGGATTCATTCTCAAAGAGATTTTGACAGCATAGGCGTTGTTGGCCCGATGAAAGGATCCTTTCCCGTAGGGTGATAGGTAGAAGCTTTGTTCACTCTTCCAACCCCCTCCCCAAGACAAGGCGGCAGGCCGTCAATCGATCAATCACTTCCTGAGTCCCACTCCCAACCGCTTGCTCTGACATGGAGTTGTATATTTGTATGATGTAAATGCAAGATTATGAGCTCGAGGTCGCAAAGTACGTGTGCACTGAATTGACTCTGTCGAAATATTGTCCTTGTAGAAGATATCAGGGGATGGCAAACCGGGAAAGAAACTTTGAGCTCTGGGCGTATTATAATAGTAATGTTTGCGTCGTCATGCAATGTCTGACTGCTGCGGGACAGGCAAGATCTCTGCTCCTTGTCACAGACCATTTACAACTCGTTTCTCTTGTACGAAATGCTAGCCGATGATCCAATCTCTGAAAAAGGTGCCAAATTCCCAGTCATGCCAATGACACCGATCATGACTCTTCCTTATGGGCATATTAACCACCAAAGCTGTGCTAGAGCACCGACAATTTGGCTGGGCACATTCTCTGCACCTCTCCGCCTGTAGTTGGCCAATCACAGGTTCCCATGGGATTGCCTAGCACGATCATGGTATAAATCCATCCTTCGTTCCCCGCCCTACCAGCTCCCGCATCTCGGGGTTGCAGTCACCGCTCACATCTCACCGCACTGGGCAATGACAACGTCCATATTGGGGACATCCTTGCCGCGGTAACCAGTCTTGGTGGCCTCCATCTTCTTCACGACATCAAAGCCATCGACGACCTTGCCGAAGACGACGTGCTTCCCATCGAGGAAGGGAGTGGGCACCGTCGTGATGAAGAACTGGGAGCCGTTGGAGTTGGGGCCGGCATTCTGGTTGATGTGTTAGCACTTCCCTTCTCACGCCGAATGTCCCGTGTCTCTCTGTGTTCCCCGCGGAACGGGGGCCGTGGTACGCGTCCAGAAAGGGGCAGCATGTGAAGGGAAAACATACGGCCATGGAAAGCAGGCCGGGCAGGTCGTGTTTCAACTTGAAATTCTCATCTGCGAAGGATGAGGTGCCGTAGATGCAGATGGAGCCTGTGCCGTCACCATTGAGGAAGTCGCCCCCTTGACACATGAATCCGGAAATCTAACAGGTTCGGCAGTCGAAGCGTGTCAGTTGCAAATGCGTCTGTATCATTAGACACACGAGGTCTGAGGGAGATGACAGCGCATGGCATGAAGGCGTTGACTACTTACGATGCGGTGAAACTTGGACCCCTTGTAGCCTTGTGGGCGACCAGCCGGGTTCTTGGACTCGCCAGTGCAGAACTGGCGGAAGTTTTCAGCCGTCTTAGGGACGACGTCCTTGAAGAGTTCAAAAGTAATACGGCCGAGAGGCTCACCTAGTGGGGAGGGGAGCGTTAGCTGTGATACACATTGGAAAGCAAAACCTCCCATGCAATCCAAACGTGAAGAAAGTAGTTTCCGACGCTTCCAAGGACGACGCCCAGGATTCCAGCTCGCGGGGGTATCAAGCCTCGCGGAAAGAGGTAAAGGTGAAGACGTACCACCTAAAGTGATGTCAAAGAACACTCTGTCAACGCCCAGGCGTTAGCGTTTCGGGCCTGTCAAGTCAGCGGGATTATAAGAAGGGTCGACGAGTAACGTAGTGAGAGATCAAAAGAAAAAGAATGACAAACAAGGCGCTGCCAAATATCATGCGATTGATATGGGTAGCGGGCAAACCTAGGGGGGCAGCTTACAGAGGGTTCCCGGACTCTGGAAGCTTAGTTGGCGGCATTTTGACACCAGTCCGACTCTCCGTTCTAAATCTGAATGGGGGAAGCTGAGTGGACGAGGATTCAAGTTCGCTGATGTTCTACGCTTTCTTGACCAAGGTAGCTGCCAAGCCGTTGGTGGTCGTCCGTGTGAAGGAAGAATGAAGTTCCCTTGAAGCGTGAAACGAAGATTAGTCATCACTTACTTATGTAATCCAAGAGCTTGTCCCAACACCTTAGGTCGTATCAACTCGTGGAATAGAATAGAGCGTCTGATGTTTGTCTCTGGGGTTTCTGGGGACGATAGAGAAGACTCAAATGATGGGATCATTCCCGTCATCGTCGCTTCCGTTTGATCATTGTATCTCTTTCCCCTGGTCCTAACTAATATCTATGTACGGGTACGGATAACGCCGTCCCTTTGTTCCACATCTTCCTTCGCTCTGTGTCCGAGTCGCAACATCTTCTTAACTCCGTAACACTCCAGAGCTCCAAAAGACCCTTCTTGTTCCGGGTCTTCTCCATTGCGTCGGCCCGAGTTTAAGTGCTATGTGGGGAGCAATAGCAGCCCGAAGACTCGGGAATAACATGGATAACTTAACACGGACAAGGGACCACGACCACGGGCTGGGCGGCGCTCGGAAGGCCCGGGATGGCTCACTGGTTGGTAGTAGATTACACCCCCATCAGCGGGTGCTTCATGCGAGTGCACAGCGTAGGAGGGACTCGAAATCAATCCTGTCATTTCATTCATGTTCATTACCTTTTAAATGTAAGATAACAATAATAGCAATAAAAAAACCTTACATGTTGACGATGGGCGTAGACACGGCAAGCATCCGTACACTACCTACCTTACCTTAGGTACTATTCGAATGCTGACATCATGGGTCACATCGCACTCATGCGAGTTGTTTGCTAGCTAACCCCGATCAGAGACGCGCGTCTCCGAGGACGACTCGGTACAGAGCGATCCTGTGGAATCCGAGCAATGCGTAGCATAATGTACACAATGGAAGACGACGCACACCGACATGTGGCAAATTTTGAGTCGAGGTCACCAGAGCTAGCGAGCTAAGTAGTCGAGTCGCGATGATGGGACGGAGGAGAGGACGCGTTGTATCATGCCGAAACATCACCTTCGACCGTGCCGGATTAAGGATGGCCATCCCCATCTGAGCTTCGCAACGCCTTCGCTGTTCTGTCCTACCCTAGTTATGGTGCTGTTGTAGTGGCGTTATCGTTGGGTGCAGAGGCGGGCAGCGTTGAAGTTAAAATGTGAAGACTGGACGGCGCTGACGGTGGGGAAACACACCATTTCAACTGCGTCCCTAGCTCAGGCTTCTCAGTTGCAGGGAACTGGGTGCAGCCGATCGATCACCAGGACGAATGAGCTGTCATATGTCAACGGGCGACACTCCGGGAGACGGGAGGGGAGCTTAAAACTTAGGTAAGTGACGTGCGCCAAATACGCTTGTAAGCGTTTTTGCGTCAATACGGAGTAAGTTTATCCTCGATTATTAATGGATGGCATGGCGAAGGTGGAGAGAAAGAAGCGGCTCAGGTGACGTTTTCGAGATTGCCATTCTCTGCCCACAAACAAACCCAAGACTCCTCAAGGACTGGATGTTGATGACTGGGGATCGAGGATTTCCAGGGAAGATCAGTGGGTATACTGTACGGAGTGACTATATCCACAGTGTGTGTCCTTTCAAGGTACTTGACCCCTTGTCTGTCTCAGTTAGACACTGGTACGGCACAATCGGTTGGCTCCTCTCCTCCAGCCAAGCCGTTAAAGCGGGCCCCTAGGTAGATTCTGCGGGACAAGTTCCAATCCTTCTTCAATACCTACCTAGGTAGGTAGCAGTGAGACCTCAACAGCATATCTGAATGAAAAGATTAGGTGGAGAGCTTGAATCACCAAGTATCGCCGCGTCACAGCGGCTCGACGATGGCAATTCTATTTTCCCTTATCGACTGAGACATGTCTTTTATGGCGGTTACTTTGGACGATCAGTTTGCGGCGTGTCCAACTCAACTACGGGGTTCCTTCCGCTCCACGTCAGTCCCTTTTTCCCTTTCTTCTTTCGCGATCCCTACGGCGAAAGGGCGAAGGGACGACGAGGCGATACCTTCAGAGAGGGGGAAAAATGCATGGAAAACGACTTGATGCCCTTCTCAGCCTCCCTAGTAATGGCACATCGGCTTAATATTCGCTGTCTAGAATCGACCATGTCAGGAGCAGTTCAACACCCGAGGAATCCTGGCTTAAACCTAGCCAGGGAATGGCAAAGGGCAGTGTCCTACTCAGATGTATGGACCTTGAATAGCGGTCGCATGTTCGACGATGGCAACGAATTCACACGGCCTGGACAGCACAGTGCTTCATGGTCCATCACGTCTGATGCTCGATGAAGATATCGGCATCGCGGGGAAGACTGCACAAGACGAACAAACAAGACAATTCGGGGTATTATGATCTCTATTTGGAACCCCCATCTCTCTCTCAGAAGCCTGCCTCCAGGAGCTCCAGGCTCTTATGATCGACAATGGCTGCCGAGTACCGCTTCGTAATGGCAAAGACGATGTCGTCGGGTTGCATCTTGAGCGGCGTCATGGCCCAGAGAAACCCGTGCAGACTGTGCCGCCGATATTCGTCCCAGATATCATCCTTGGAGAGTTTGGGCCCACCTTCGGCGTGAAGGGCCTCAAGGTACCCCTCGATCAAAGAGACCTCGTGCTTGCGGCGGTCTTCAACGGTGAGCGCGCCCGTGAGGAAATAGGTGAGGTCGTGGATGGCCGAGCCGTGCTGGAGGCATTGCCAGTCGATAAAGCCCGGCGTGCCATCCTTAGCGATGAGCGTGTTTCCCACATGGTTGTCCCCGTGGATGATGGCATGAAAGCGTGTGTTTGCGTCCGTGTACTTCCAGAGAAGCTCGTAAGCACGCTCCATCCTCTCGCGGTCCTGTAGCTCCGGCGCCACCGGGGGTCGACATTCCTCCGCGAACCGAATCGCCCAGGGCTCGGGCCGCAGCAGTGCACGGATAATAGTACGCATCGGGTTGGCCAGCTTGGTGCCGTCCTCCCCGTAAAGCCATGGGTAGTCGGTCTCCTTGCTGTTCCACGTTTTGCCGTGCAAGCTGGCGAGCTGGCGGAGTGCGCCGGCGACTCGGTCCGGCGTCCAAGGCTCTAGAGGATTGCCGAAGGTGGCCTCGGGACCTACGTCGGACATGATGAACAGGCCCTGCCCGTTTACCGTGTCAGTGCCGCAGTACCAAGTTCGCGGGAGCAGCATGCTCGTCTGTGGCGCAATGTGGTGGTAGAACTCGGTCTCGCGCCGGTACGTGCCCCACATCTCCGGGAAGGCCTCGCGGATGGCCGGGTTAAAGCCGCCCTTGACGCACAACCGCGTCGGTATCTCGGTCTGCACACCGTCTGCATAGGTTATGTCTAAGAAAATCTTGGTTGACGTGCCATGCACCACAGTTGCTTGCTTGATTTCTTCGACAGGGACGCCGAGCGCCTCTGATAGCCAGTCGGCCGTGATATCCTCAGTGACCAGCGGCAACGCCTTATCTGAGTTGAGGGCACTTCGGAGGGACATTGGCCCCCTGACAAGCGTATTGGTCGTCATGCTTTTTTTTCTTTTTTTCCGTTTCTTTTCCTCTTTTCCTCTTTTCCTCCTTTTTGTTCGTGTCGCCTTGGCAGGTGGGGATAAATGTGCGAGGATGCACAGGTCGTTTGATCAAATATCTGTGATGCTACCTGTTATTGGAGGCGGCGGGCTACCATGCGGATTTTCCAGACGCAGAATGCTTGATATTTTGGGGAGATGAGGTGCTGGCGTACACGAGATTTTATGTCTAGCATTGTCTTGTCCATGGGTCAAGGCTGAGCGCCCCATCGGCCATTCAAGCTGCAGTCTGCTGACAGAACAAGACGGCTTATTAGTTACTTCCTTGTAATTACATTCTCAGTTCTCATGTGCTTCAATTATCCATGCAGGTGTGCATCGTCCATCTGCAGCCCAGCCGCAGTAGTCCGTATCGCAAGGTAGTCAGCATCTTGTTCATCTTCTTGGCGACATTTCCGCCCTGTCATATTTGCCCCTGTTTCTCCCCCCTCTAGCCCCTTATTCCAGTGTCAGTGTTCCCAGTTGCGGGCACCCTAGGCAACTGTCATATTGCAGGGACAGAATATGTTGACAAGTAGGGAGTAATCCATCCTAAACCGGTTTTCCTTTTGGCACTTCTCCTTTTTTGTCGGCCTCTGACAACGATTGGTCCCACGTCCATTGTAGAATTCCCATTACACGTACTACCCGAGAGGAGGTTATCCCCAAGTCCCTGGACTCCCGGGGACCTGTCCCGGGGCCGGATGAGCCAGGATGTGAGCCGCGGACAGGGTTTCATTCTTCAAGCATACCACGTTCTGGGGTCCCGACGTTTATGATCAGTTCTGCAAGACGACAATGCAGATTATTTCCTTGTCTTTTGGCACTCGGCACTCTCTTTACAGCATTCACGAGTACACCGGTCATAGACAAAGGCTTGTTTACTGGCTTCCTAAATCCCGGCGATCCACAGTACCCCTGAACAAAGGCTGAACTTCCAGGACTTCAAACACGGCCCTGTTCTCATGTCCAGCATTCTTAGGTGGTGGCCAGTTCGTGCATATTGGTGATATAACGTGTCCCAAGCTCGCTGTCATGTCCTTATATAGGTCTCGTCGACCCAATGCCCGGGTTTGCGCCTGCTCTTGGTCTGCCCGCGCCAGTCCCTTCCACAGGTAGTTGAGGAGACTTGAAGAAGAAGAAGAGGAGGAGAAGCAGACGAGGTAAAGAGGCCGACACGAGAAGCTCAACACCATGGATTCTTTGGATTTGTCAAGTATTGACATTTACAACACGCCCGTCGTACCACCGCCCGAGGGGGTTACGCCCGACTTTGATCCCAGTTGGACGCAGGTCCAGGTAGCAACAATTATTGTCTTCGGGGTAACTTATTCTCTGGCAACAGCCACCCAGGTGCTCCGATACATCACCAGCACTTTCATAGTCAAGGCGCTGGAGCTTGATGTTGGTGAGTTTTGCATCCTTATCCTGACTTGAGCTCTTGGCGTTTCGCGAGCTTTTGAGCTTGGTTCTGACTCGCGGGTTGCAGTTCTCGTCACCTTGTCATGGCTGACATCCTTGGGATACTTCATCTCCGTCGCGATGTGCATGCATCACGGCTGGGGCCGGCACGCCTGGAACGTGAGCATTGCAGAAGCAGCCAACTACAACAACGTAAAGCCTCCTGACCACATACTGAAGATTCTACCTCCCCCTCCCCCCCCCCCTTCAGATCATGCACCACCTCACTCCGCTGGCGCTGACATCTACCGATATAATAGTACCTGCTCCCAATCACTATAACGTACATCTGGTGCCCAACGTTGGCAAAGCTAGCCATTCTCTCGGTATTGCACCGCATCAGCAACTCGCTTTGGTTCCGCGGTTTCCTTTACTTTATCGTCTTGACACTAGTAGCATACACGACAACGTTCACGGGCCTGCTTGCGGGGACCTGTAATCCGCGCGAACTGGGATCGGGGATTTGCCTAAACAACATCGCTATCGCGCAGGTGGCGTTGAATATATGGTCTGACGTGGCTATTATCCTTTTACCCATCCCCACGATCCTGAGACTTCATTTGCCTCTCAGGCAGAGACTTGTGATCGCGGGTATTCTGACCCTTGGGTCTGCGTATGTACCTTGTGTCCTTCCCTAGGTACCTTATGCAACCCTCGGTATTGCGGTATTGCTAACAGGTGCTACAACAGGGTCCTCATCACCTCCATTGTCCGAGCCCCCTACATCCAGATCCTGGCGGAAAGCCCCGACTTCTCGTTAAAGCAGGCCGAGGCCGGCGTTTGGTCCATTGTTGAGCTCAATCTCGGCATTGTGTGCGCCAACCTCATGCGCATGAAGCCTTTTCTGAGACGATATCTCCCCGTGTTTCTCGAAAAGCTCGGGTTTTCGTTGGGCAAGAGTTCAAAGCAAGAAGAAGACCACTCCTCGCGAGGTAGGGTCCGGATGAACGGGAAACACTCGCATAGCTTCCAGCTGCACAGCATCGAAGCTCCGCGGCTGCAGGACGGGGCAAGCAGGGACTGCGTGGCTGGCGTTCAAGGAGTACAGAGGGATGATGGAAGTACAGAGAGTATTTTGAGGCGATGACGTGGTGCGCCCATGACCACCGAGGTCACCGCTGTTGTGATGTTAACACGACTGAGTGATGACAGCCCTGGTCCCCGGAATTATGGTGCTGTGCGACGGAGAAAAAGACGACAATATTCGTGACCCGAAAACAAAGGATATATAAGAGACAACCTAGAGTTAGTATCCGTATCGATAGTGATATTCAAAGCAGATATCAGCCGTACCAAAAATATGAGTTTGAAAAGGATGGGTAGCATTGATTCTGGCGTGATTAAAGAGGCGTCCTTCCTCCACTTCTCCTCCGTCATTACGTGTGACTCGGTGAAGTCTCGGTCGTCCGGAGTAATGCTTCGACATTGGGTCAACGGTCAAGCCACATTGAGCGCCACCCCTGAGAAGAAAGCGAACCACTCGCCACAGCGCCACAACGCCCCAGCCCTTTCTTCGCCTAGCCACACCAGCCCAAGTCCCCTTAGCTGCTCGTTGTAACTCGTCCCCCACAAAACCCCGGAAACGGTTAGACATTGACTGCGGTCAAGTTATTAGCTGAAGTACCTTCGTCTCAGTTACACAGTGCAGACCCGCTCCGTAACGATTCAGGAAGCGACTGGTTCCTCCCTTTTCCCTGTCTGGTTTCGACCAAAGAGGCCCTCGTCCCGCCCATCCCTCCTTCCTTTTTAAAGTCTTTGGTTCTTTTTATTCTACCCAAGTACCTAGCCCGGCAAGCCTGCGACAACCGCCGACCACCCCATTCCGACCCCATTCCGACCCCCCTCCCTCTTCTCCATTGGACTCGGTTCTTTCGCCAGGCCCAGACTTATTACCCACCTACCTGCAACGCTGCTCCGTCTCCGCACTCACACCACTTATTCCTATTGCCGCCTTTCTTTCTCTCCTACGGAGCATACGCTGGTAGCCAACTCTCCTTCCCCGACACTTCACCTTACTCTCCCAAATCTGCCATCTCAACCCAAGTCGGCCTATCTCGCCTTGTCTTCTTCTTTATCATCTTCCCATCAATCCGGCTTAAGTAGAGGTCGTTGTCCGCTGCTCCGCCCACCATCAAGAAGGAAGGGATAAACGGACCATTCATAAGCGGCGACGTTCACACCCGTGGGGGCGGGATACCTTGCCCCAAGTCTGAGCCACACGCCTACCTATACCTATGTGACGAAATCCGTTGTCACCCCGATCGCCAATTCCCCGTTAGTTCTCATCGATCACCCGAGTCGCAAACCGAGCGGATGCTGCGTCTCCCATGATCCGGGTTGTCCGGCCATACTTTATTTGATTTCTTCCTTTAAACACCGACGTCGCTCGACGACTGGGACTGTTTGCGTTTTACTACTTGCCAGTGCAGCGAGATGGCCGTCATTGAATCCGCCCTTGTAGGGGTGACGCAGTTTGTTGCCAGACAAGCCGTCTCCTCTGCATCTCCATCCTTGGATCTTGCCTCTACGACGCCGACCCTTTCATCTGCAACGTCGACCGCCCCTCCGGCGGCATCAAGCAGTGCCGATGAAAGTAATGGCGATGGCGGCGGCGGCGGTGGTGGTGGTGGTGGTGGCGGCAGTTCTCCCCTCCTATTTTTTGTGGCTCTGGGCTTCGGTGTCGTCTTCACTAACTTATGGTAAGTTGTCGATTGTCCGCCGTGGCTTCTTTCCGACTGCCCACATTCCCGACCGTTGCTAGACCTTCGAATCGGCCGCCACTAACTGCCGCATTAGGATTATTGTTGGTGTTAAGTACTGCTTCCGATACAACGCTCGTAACCGGCAAATGCGTCTCAATGAGGATGGCGAACCCATAAACCTTGACAACATGCCCCGCCCCCACCGGCGGCGCCGTGAAAAGAAGCTCATGACCATGGATGAGGTGAACGATAAATTCCCCATGATGAAATATAAGAATTGGGTTCTCGAGCGCGCCAAAGAAGGGTTACCGACCGCAGGAGGAGTATCCGCCCCGGCAAGTAGGGCAAGTAGCCTTCGTTCTGCCGACGGTATTGTGCCGCCTGTTGCTCCCGAGGAACCCTCCGGGACTAGGGACGCGAGCGATGCTTCTGGTACTGCGGCTACCACAGCTACGCCTGCAACACTCGCCACAACATCTAGCCCAACGAGTCCTGACCAAGGAACCCAGCACGCGCTCGACGAGAAGAGCGCCACAAAGCCGGCAGATAATGGCGAATCCACGGATCGTGCTGCTCCCGAGCCAACAAGGGACAATCTTGCCACCACTCCCGCCGCCAATACAACGACCGATGCACCATTGCAACGGGTTACTTCTGCCGATGATGACGACGACGAGCACATTAATGCTGCCTTGCCACCTGAGTTGATGGAGACGAGCGGGGACACGTGTGCTATTTGCATCGATACGCTTGAAGATGATGATGACGTTCGCGGATTGACTTGTGGACATGCTTTCCATGCCGTCTGCGTCGACCCCTGGCTTACAAGCCGACGTGCTTGCTGTCCTCTCTGCAAGACCGATTACTACATTCCTAAGCCGCGCCCTCAAGCCGGCGAGATCGACCCCAACAACCCCAATGCTGGCTCTACTATGGACGGCAACCACATGCGTATGCACCTGCACAATGCTCCTCCGGCGGCCTGGTATGACCTAAGGAATAGCCGTTGGGGGTTTGGGGGTCGCGTCGGTGGTTTCATGCCCTCGGGTACGCATACTCGCAATACTCGTGCTGCCCGTAGGCCTCGGCGACGGCGTACCGAGCCACAACCCGCTGTCCCGACCGCTCCGGTAGAACAGGAGGTCACCCAGCCGCAAGTGACTACCAGTGAGGCCCAGACTAGCGGCGAAAACTCGTCAGCACCCAATACGCGGAGATGGCGCTTTCAGCTTCCTTGGAGGAGGAACAGGAATACTGAGGCATCCCCCCAGACCGAGATACCCATGGCATCTGGGGCGAACGTCACGAACGTGACCCCGTCTCAGCTCGAGTCTGGCACCCAGCCGGTCTCAACCGGCACGACAGAAGCGGTACGGTGACGTGACGCTCGGGTTGAATGTGCAAGAAGATGAATATGGGTGATTACGGGCATCTCGCTATCTCATTCATATGTACATGAGTTCTCCTATGACTATGCATACGTCCGACAACCATCATTTTCCTGTGGTCTATGATGACCACTTGTTTATGCCCTCATTTCCCGCCCTTCACCACCGAACACAACTCTTCACAACACGATCACGACAAAACCTGTTACGCCTCTTTCCGCCCGCCATGCTTACCACACCCGTTTATAGCGTGTTTGCACTTTTGCCTAGTTCTTTCCTTTCCTTTTTTGTCTCCCCCTTTTCTGGACATTAGCTATCTTTTTGGCTGCGATGGGAAGCTTAGCAAGGAGACGGGCAGGATGGATCCCGGTGTGAGATAGTAAAGGATCTCGTGCATAGCATCATGGCCAGATAGACCTCTGGTTCTTTGATTTTCTCTGGGTATTCCATAGTCGAGAGCGGTGGAGTTGCGGTGAATTTATGAGCATTTTCCGCTGCAACCATTATTAAATGAGAGTGGATAGTACACCGCGTTCTTGATGTGAATGGAGCTACCGGGCATGATACCTCTATCCTAGGTGGAGAAATGTGCCAGTGTTGATCTGTGTGCCTATGGCTTGCGTACGGATGGCGAGAGACGTATAGAGCTTCTCATTACAAGTATGAACCTTTCTGGAATCGGCCGCCAAAGTCCTTGGCCTTGTTCAGTAACTCGCGCCGCTGCGCTGTTCCAATCCGCCCCCCTAGTGCCATATCCTTCTCTCGATCGAAGGCCCGCTTACTCGGGTCATCCTCCTCTTCCTCGACCCCGTCCTTCCTCGGCCGGTAATCTCCCGTCTTTCGGCTACCGGCGGGGTTACCTTGCTGGCGCCGCGCTTCCTGGTGTTCCTCATAAAGACTTTTGCCCCGCGCGGCCGCAATGCGCTCCGCCCTCTTACGGTCCCGTTCGTCATCCTCGCGCGTGCGACGCCGGCCTTGGCCCGAGGTGGCGGCTTCGAGGTCCGAACCAGCCGGGGCGGCGCGGCCCAGGACCGCGTCCTCCAAGCGCTTACGCTTCTGCTCGGGCGTCTCTGTCCAGATGCTGCTGATCTCCGAGGGCCCCCCTGCCGCCGCTGGCGTTGGCGCGTGGGGTTTGTTAGTTGCGAAGCGGCGCGCTTTGAGTTTGGTTGGGTCGCGTTCGCGGTACCCCGATGCCGTTGGGGGTGCCAGCATCCAGTCGTCGCGCTGCGGGCCTTGCGGGGCTGCAGGGGTAGCGTCGGGTCGGGGAACTTGCGGACCGCGGGTTGTCGTGGAGGAAGATGGGTTGGAAGTTGGGAGCGCCGGGCCGTAGCCGTCGTCTTCCGAGTCGGATGACGCGGGTGAGGAGGCGGCGGTTGGGTTGTAGTCCAGAGGCGGGGGTGCCGCCGGGCCGATAGTACGTTGGGGCGGCAGGGAAGGTCCTATTCTCCTCTCGGACGGGGAGGGTGGTGAGGGTTTCTTCTCTGGGCTTCCATGTGATGATATTTGCGCAGGTGCCGTTATTGGCGGCGGCGGGCCATAGTCGTCGTCTGAATTACCGAGACCGATTTCTTCTTCGTTTACGTTTGATTTGGAAGTGGCAGGAGTGGGACGAAATGGTCCAATGGAAGCCTTCGGGCCAGCGGGGGAACGCTCTTTTGGGGCACTGGGGCCGTATTCGTCGCTCGAAGACTCATCGCCGAGCTCTATCTCCTCTGCATTCCGTGCTTGTTTCGCGGGTGACCGAGCATCGTCCTGGTCATCTGGAGTCCGTTTGCGTTTGGTCAGGTTGGGGGGCAGTTGGGGCCCAATCGAAGACATTGTCTATGTATGAATATCCTTGTTAATCGATCTTGTTGCAGAACACTTTGTCGCGATGGATATTGGCTGCAGAGATGGTGAATATTGTGGAATATTTATCGGTAACCTTACGAGCTGTCTCTTGCTGGAGAGCGTGGTTCCAAGTACGGCCGTACATACTGGGAGTGATTACCTAAGGTGTGAGTAATCAACCCCACTTTCTGCCCAAAATGGATATCTGCATGGGGCAATATAAAGACAATAGCACCAAAGTGGGGCTATGTATTTATGGCCTTGTCTGAATGGGCCCCTGTTCGGAGCAGCGCAAGGTTCAAGCAACAATGCAGCGTTGATAAGATGAGGGAGCTCCACTTGCAGCGAGTACCAAGACGCTGCCTTGTGTTCCAACCTCCCCGTCATACCTTTACCTAGACATCATCAGCCCGAAGCTTCGTGACCAGCAACGCGATTGATCACTGTGATTCAAACGACTAACTATTGACGGTATCCCATTGAACGTCATTGGTCACATCGGTTACTACAGAACCATCCCAACGACCCCGAGCTCTGCGATCTTCACATTCTTCCGACAACCTCCTTTACTAAGTGCATGCACGCACATATCTGCCCCATCTGTCTGGGCTCGAATCGACTATTTGAGCGGAAGAAATGGCATGCGCCTGAATTCATAATACGGCCCTAAAAAACTGGGGATGATGGATCTGGCAGCACAATGGTAGTCCATGAAGACCAGTCCTCTCTGGACGACCAAGCACACAATGACCAAGACGACGTGTTGGAAGGGGATCGGAACCATGATAGAACAGAAGCAGGTTTCTTGGGAGATGAAGATCAGGGAGCACAGGAGATGGCCAACTTTTCTGGTCCCATCGAGAATGGGACGATATCGAAGCGGTATGGAGAGATCATCCATGATCAAGTAGAGGAAAACTCCGACAGCGGTTCCCAAGGCGCTGTCGCACAACGATCTGGGAGTCCCATCGAATCTCTCCTCTCCGTACCAGATGATACGCCATCGATTCAGGTATATGCCTCCCGAACACCTCGCTTGAGACCGCTGTAAGACTTAATACTTTCTCTAGGGCTCTGTCCTTTCGTCGCCTGGAAGCAGCGCCCTTCCGTGTGTCCCTCCGCGACCGGGACTAGGCAGTCCGACACCATCCCTTCGACCGTTCGACCGCAGATTTCAATCCCGAATCTCTTCCTCGTCCCGGGCTCAATCCCCCCGGCCTTCCTCTCCCGCCTTCTTCTCCCATAGCCGAAATGCGTCTATGAGTTCCCAGTTTCTGTTCGACCGAGAGGACACCGAGGCGCAGTCCCCGCCGTGGGAAGTTGTACGATGGACGAAACTCAACAAGATAAACGCGCAGGTCTTTTCAGAGATCGGGAAGCGTAATTTCGGCACGCCGACCTGTCTTGCCGTTTCTACCAACATTGTGTTCGGAACGAGCAAAGGAATAATCTTGATTTTTGACTACAACCAGACCCTCAGAACTATCCTGGGCCCTGGTACAAAAGCTGTCGAGTCGGGTCCTATCACGGCCATTGCCATTTCGGCCGACCACACGACCATTGGTGGGGGCCATGCTAACGGGAACATTTTCACCTGGGAGACTTCGAGAGCATCACGGCCGTTTCTCCAAATCCCACACCTGGATGCGTCGCAAATGCAGAATAGGACAACCGACGGACATGTTCCCAATGTCTCTATTACTCACTTGGGCTTCCTTGGGACCCGACACACCGCACTCGTATCCGGAGACGACAGGGGAATGGCCTTCTCGCATCTGGCTACGCGGGGTACGGGAGCACTCGGGCGCACCGTCAAGACCACCAGAATCCTTGGCCGATATCCAGATGCTCCGCCTCCATCGGGGAAGCCCTTGAAGCCTAGCACTGTCTTGGCATTCGCACCACTGCCTCTGGGCAACGTTGAGCGTGCCACTGATACGATGGGGCTAACCGCTATGTTGACACCATACCTTCTAGTTGTCGTCTCCACTACACCCTTGGCCCAGACCCAGCATAAGTCGGCCCGGCCCAAGGAAATCGCCCCCCATACTGCTATGACGGGCTGCCTTGCCTGGTTCCCGGCCGTCAAGCTCAAAACGCCTGACCCTGCCACGGGAAGCGATGTCACAAAAGTCAAGCTTGTCTACTGCTGGTCCAACGTCCTGACAGTACTTGATGTTGACGAGGTGGCATCGGAAAGAAAGGATAAGCCTCCGAGTTTGAACTTCAAGGCCAGGAGCAGGTGGAAATGCGAGGAGCCCATCGTCGCTGTCCAGTGGCTCACCCGCGCGGTCCTGTGCGTTCTGACCATCTCCCAGCGTTTGATTATCCTGGAAGATGGGAGCATGCGCATGACGGATGGCATCGACTTGATCCACAAGCACATCTATCATGTCGATCTCTTCTCCAAGCAGCTCCATGCCCTCGTTGAACAACTAGATGAGGACGATACGTCCATGCATGGTGTCGTGGCGGACGCCTACTATATGAGCTTCAAGGCGTACAGAAGCCGGATTTTTCTCCTCGGCGTCAATGACATTTCGATAGGATCCTTGTCCAACTGGGCTGATCGCCTCATAGCCCTGATGGAAAATGGAGACTACGTGGCGGCCATCCAACTTGCGACATCATACTACACGGGGGATGCCGAGAGACTAACAGTCGGCCTTCCCGAAGACGCTGCTCTTCGGCACTCGATGGTCCACGACAAGCTCCTGGAGATTATGAGCGCTTCGCTCAAGTACGCTTTTGGCCAGCGACAAAAGAAGCCTGCCGTGGCGGATGACAATCACATGCGCGAGCTGGCCGAGACTTGCTTTATTGGATGCCAGAGCGCCGGTGACGTCGATTTTCTCTTCGACGAGATGTACGAGTGGTTTGAGGATGGCGGGATCGAGGGCATATTTCTGGAAACCCTCGAGCCGTACATCTTGGATAAGTCCATCACGATCGTGCCCCCGGCAGTGGTGAAGGCCATGGTCACCTACTACGTCAGTAAGGACTGGGAAAGCCGTCTGGAAGAAATGATCGTTCACATGGAGACGGCGACACTGGATCTGGACCAGATCACGACGCTGTGCAAGCAGCATAGGCTCTATGATGCATTGATATATGTCTGGAACCAGGCCCTTGATGACTACATCACTCCACTCATCGACTTGCTCAGCCTACTCGTTCCACTGGTGGACAACGACGACGATATGCCGTCGGGCAATAACGAGGCCTATGACGCGGATTCCACCAAGATGTTCCCTTACCTCTCGTACGCCTTGACGGGGAGGATCTATCCTACGGGTGAAATTCTGGAAGACGAGAAGGCTTCAAAAGCAAAAGCCGAGCTGTACTGGTTTCTTTTCTCGGGAAACAGTGTCACTTGGCCGAAGGCCCGTGGGAGGCAGTTTCGCACACGGCCCCGGGGGCTGACTGAGCCGTCTTTCTCGTACTTGAGGCTTATTCTCAAGTATGATGCGCCCAGCTTTCTTAGTGCCCTGAACGAAGCGTTTGAAGACTCCTTTCTCAACTCTGCCCCCGAGAACCAAGCTGGTAGCCTTGCCGGGGACCTACCTGAAGAGCAGATATTTGGAATGACGGTGGATAGGCAATACGTCGTGTCTATTCTGTTAGAGATCATGAACCCTGCGGATTTCGCGCCTGAAGACACCGTCTATCTAGACATGTTCATCGCGAGGAACCTACCAAAATTTCCCCAGTATCTTCTTCTACCCGGTTCAACCCTCAACAGGGTCCTCGACGGCCTTTGCCATTGTCCTGGGGATGACATTGCAGATGACGCGCAATTGAGCGCTGAATACCTACTATCCGTCTACCAGCCTCCGGACATGAACAGTCTCCTGCCAATGTTCCGGGCTGCAGGTTTCTACCGCATCCTGAAGCGACAATACAAAGTGGACGGGCAGTACGGCAAACTGATTCAGACCTATTTCGAGGATCCAGATGACCCTCACTCGGTCTTTGAGTGCATTGCAGATTGCCTTCGGCCACAGAGTGGCTTGAGCCAAAAGCAAGTTCACGAAGTGCAGCAGGTCATTCGGCGCCACGCGCGGCAACTAATCGGACTCGACCCTGCGGACTCTGCGAGGACACTGGCGCAGCAGACTCTGGAGCTTCATGGACAGGTGCTCGACTCGGCGGAAGACGAGCCAGGCCTTCAATTCTACTATCTGCAGACGCTGCTCGAGCCTGCGACTGGGGAAACGGACGGGCCCCTTCTGCGCCCAGATCGAGATTTGATCGAGAGATACGTCCGGCTCATGTGCAAGTTTGACCCAAACCATGTCTCTGATTACATCGGGGCCGTGCAGCTTTCCAATCTCCACCTCAACCTCGAAGCACTCCTGCCGGCGATGGAGGAAACCGGCGTAATAGATGCGGCGGTTGTTCTGATGGCCCGCGAGGGTCAAACCACAGAAGCTATGGACAGGCTCGTACGGCATCTGGGGACGCTCGAGTCCGCCTTGCAGGGTCTTCTATCTGGGGCTGGGGACGACGGCAATGAGCAGCAGTCAGCTCATCTCCAGGACGCGGCTGAGGAACTTCTTGGTGCTCTTCGAAAATATGTGCACGTGGGTATCTGGCTCTGCCAAGGACAGACCAAGTCGTCCAGGGCAGTCAATGGCATCCGGCGAGGACACGTGGCTAAGGAGACGACCTTGTCGCCTGACGAGACGCTCTGGCTCAGTCTCATAGGGGCGTCAGTTCGAACGACGCGACGGCTGTCTGCGACCATCGATGCATTAGGGCCCTTCAACGTCGACATGGCGTCCGAGGGCTTGGGCTTGGGCTTGGACACCGATAGGTTGGTGTCGCTGTTGCGTTCGTTGGTCCAGCACACATTCACGGCTCTCCTTACGACAACGGCATCCAGTGCGTCACCGCAGCAGAGCGGTAGGAGGTTGTTGACAAGCGCCAGCAACAACTTGTCGTTCCTTCGCATCCTCCGCGCCTTCCTCACGCAAGCGGCCGCGTCGTCCCCGAACCTGGCCGACCTCCGGGGCGTGCTTGCTTCCATCTTCTCTGCGTACGCGTACGAGGAGTCGATCCTCCGTCTGTCGAATCGGCTTCTGGAACGGAGTCTCTTTGTAAACGTCAAGCAATCTGTCGAGCTGAGACAGCGTGGCTGGCGGCCAAGGGGCTCGACGTGCGAAGCATGCGGTCGCCGTGTGTGGGGACCCGGGGTGTCCGGCAATGTGTTCGACGCGTGGGAAGATAGGCAAGCGCTGGAGGAAGAGAGGAAAATCGAGCGGAAAGCCCAACTGGCCAGTCTGGCGGAGCGAGACAAGGGGAAAGCGGCACAGAGACATTCCGATGTAGCTGCAGCCGATGCCAAGGGGAAAGGAAAGGGCAAGGGCATGGGCATGGGCATGGGCATGGCTTCAGATGCGGTTAGTGAGCATGCGGAGTCTAAGGGACAAGATGCTCCTGGCGGCGGCGGCGGGGACCCCAATGGCAACGGCAACGGCAACGGCAAAGGCAACGGCAACGGCCACGGCAACGACAACGACAACGACAACGACAACAGCGCGATGGATCTGATCGCAAAGAAGCCGCGAGAACAGCCTTTGGGTCCACTGGTTGTACTCGCTTGTAGGCATATATACCACCAGGCGTGTCTAGATGCGCTCATGTCGGAACAGGAGGCCAGAGACGCGGAGGACGGGCATATGAGGAGGGTGACGACCTACAGCCACGGAAGAGAGTACCGGTGTCCCATCGACGGCTAGAGAGAAAGCATATGAAGCGATGTGTAAGCAATGGACGCATCATGTACAAGACTCTTGACGAATTCTAACGATGTTGTTAATAAGCTGGATCACAGCTTGGTGAGTAACTTGGTTGTATCCGTGGGTATACGGGGGGCGGGCTTGTGTACGGAGGATGGAGGAGGAGACGAGGCTGAACTTCACCGCGTACCTTACGCTAAGGAACATACATACGTCCCGTAACAAACTGATTGGGCCCTCTCATTGGACCCCTTATCCATACTTTTCTCCACTATTGTTCTTATCCAGTAGCCTTGCATCGGCCCCCAAAAACATCCCGGGGTTCCGCCTTCCAGTGCTGGAATAATTCCGAACGGACCCCTCGTGACACCTCGACCTTCCCGAACAACGTTTTGTCTCTCCCATGTATGTCAACAGCATATCTTTGACGATACTTCGAGGTCAATGGTCTTGCCTGTGGCGGCTCTCCAATGATGCAGTAATCTTCATGTCAATGAATTTGTGCCGTTCATCATAAACTGCCAACGACGCGGCCGCCGCCGCTGCTGCCACCGTCATGGGTCTGCCCTCCGTTTTCCGTAACATCTACGATCTCGACACCCTCGACACGCGCTTCACGAACTCAACATCGGTTCCGTACAAGGCTGTCATTGAGGCACGCAACGACTCGGCCCAGATCAAGGACACTCCCAACAAAGCCCAAAGCCGTGCTCAGCCTTCGAAATGGAACACCCCGGAATTCTATTTCTACTACCTTATCTTCATCCTGGCCGTTCCCTACATGTTCTGGATCCCCTACACAGTGTCAAATCGTGCGGCTCCTCATGACCATAACCTGTCCCCGGTCTCTCTGAGACGTTCTCGAATCCAGGTGCTGACTGTGGTGTAGCCTCTGACCCAAGGTATCCTAAATATGAGCATCTACTCTCGGACGGATGGATTCTGGGGCGCAAGATCGTGGGTCGCCACCCTTCATGTTCTTTCCCTGTCTACCAGTATGAAGCTCACACGAATTTTGATTTGATATAGGATGTCTCCGATGCGCAGTACAGCTTCTTTCGATCCAATCTGCCCTATATGGGCCTCCTCCTTCTTCTTCACCCCTTCGCCCGGAAGGTCTGGAACGCCGTCTTCCCTCTCCCAGATATCCAACGCAAGTCTGTAGTTGAACAAGGCCGGACCCGTCTGCAACAGAGGGCCTCGTTTGACTACGCCTTTGCCCTTCTCTTCCTCGTCGTGCTCCACGGGGTTTCGGCCATCAAGGTGTTGACTATTCTGTACGTCAACTACCAACTTGCCACGACGCTTCCGAGAAAACACGTGCCCGCCGCGACATGGGTATTCAACGTCTGCACTCTGTTTGCGAACGAGCTATGCAATGGATATCGGCTCAAAGACATAGCCATGCGCATCACGCCGCCTTTATCACCACACGGGGATGCTCATGCTCTCCCCCCCCTGGTGCAATGGGGAGCGTGGCTCGACGGGTTCGGCGGTCTTAGCCCTCGGTGGGAAGTCCTATTCAACTTCACCATTCTCCGTCTCATCAGCTTCAACCTCGACTACCACTGGAGCTTTAACGCGAGGGGCTCCAGTCCCGTGGAGGTATGCACCCCGGATTTCATGGACGGTGTAAACCTCGTTGAACCAGGATACTGACGCCCCCAAGAAGAAGCAACTGGATCCGGCCAACCTCTCGGAACGAGACAGAATCGCCATCCCCGCCGAGGCCGCCGAATTCTCGTTCCGCAACTACGTCGCCTACACCATCTACGCCCCGCTGTATCTAGCCGGTCCCATCGTGACCTTCAACGACTTTATCGCTCAGAGCAAGCATCGTTCTCCGACCATCGAGACGTCCCGCACCATCCTCTACGCCATTCGTTTCCTCCTCGTCCTCCTTGCGATGGAAGTCGTCCTCCACTTCGATTACGTCAACGCCATGTCGCTCGCATCGCCCGTCTGGTCGGACTATACCGCCGCGCAGCTGGCCCTCCTCTCGTACATGAACCTGCACATCATCTGGCTCAAGCTCCTGCTCCCCTGGCGGCTCTTCCGGCTCTGGGCCCTCCTGGACGGCATCGACCCGCCCGAGAACATGATCCGTTGCGTGTCCAACAACTTCTCGACCAAGTCCTTCTGGAAGGCGTGGCACCGGTCATACAATAGGTGGTTGATCCGCTACATCTACGTGCCCCTCGGCGGCTCGGATTTCAGCTCGTGGCGCCGCAGCCTGCGCTCGGTCGCCACGTTCCTTCTCGTCTTTACGTTCGTGGCGCTCTGGCATGACATTCGCCTTCGCCTCCTGATATGGGGTTGGCTCATCGTTCTTTTCATGATGCCCGAGGTTATTGCCGGCTTCGTTTTCCCCGCGCACCGGTACACAGTGACGCAGTACCGCATGCTCAGCTGCGTTGGGGCGGTCGGCAACGTGCTCATGATGATTTCGGCCAACCTCGTCGGCTTTGCCGTGGGCTTGGACGGGCTACAGGCTATTATTTATCAAATTCTACACGACTGGTCAGGTACGTATTCCCCCCCTAACCCCAAAAAAAAAAGCACACACGCACACACACCCAAAAGGACAAAGATCCCGCCCTGCCACCCCCGGCTCACCCCCTTTCTCTCTGGCTGTGGCGCTGACAGTACTCCTGCGTCGCTGCTTTCTTAGGTGTCTTATTTCTTATCACGGCCTGCGCGGCGGTGTTCGTTGGTATCCAAGTCATGTTCGAGATTCGCGAGTCGGAACTGAGGAGAGGTATATCCCTAAAGTGCTAGGTCCTGGTTCCTCCATCCATTGTTTTCGAAAAGAGCAGTCATTAGGTATCCATTACTATCATAAGAGTTTGCATTTACATCCTTGTCCACTTGTTCCCGCAGGCGCACTGTAGAATACATGTATATATTGATGGAAATGCCGTTATTTTCAAGGGGGCGCAACAATTCTGGTGCCTTTCATGGAACCTTAAATTAAGGGTGAGGATGGTCGGACTGGGGCAACCGGATATGCTGACTGGAGTCTAGGTGCCGGCAGGCGCCACACCTGACTAGCAGGCCGTAGCAACGGTCGCCGTTATGGTAGGCAGATTCTGCGTATTAATTGTTAGGTGTGGCAGTTATCGTAGCTGTTAAAACCTGGACCCCAGTGGAAATATCCAGTTGTTCCAGTCGAAATATCCGATTCTCCCAGTCCAAATATCCTCATCCTAAAATTCACCTCTGCGTCGTCTCCTTTCGAGTCATGCCGCCTGCGGCTCAACCTTGCCGTTCCGATGGGCAGCACCCATCTCGGCACTCGAATCGGGACCCGAGGCCGAGGCACGGGCAAACTTGCCGTCCATGCGCAGCACGCCCTCAGTCAAGCGCTGGCGGATCCAGATCAGGCCCTTGACGAGACCGAAAACGACGAGGCATCCGACGGCGATACCAAAGATGAAGCCAACGAGTATACCACGGCCGTTCGCTTCCGGGTCGAGGAAGAAGTAGGGATAGAATCCATGGATGGCGTGGAAGAGGTAGGCGAGAGCGAGGTAGAGAGCGAGTAGGACGATGAGCCAGAGCATGTGGACGGGGAGGAGCTGGGCGTGGGCAGTGCGTGGTATGAGGATCTCGAAAAGGGCCATGGCGAGGTTGGCGGAGTGCTGGGCGTGGCTGGAGTAGGCGGCAAAGACGGAGGCGAAGGAGCTGTCTGGACCCCACAAGACGGCCCAGTAGACGACGGTGACGATGATGGGCAAGACGGCGATGGAGGAGTAGAAGAGGGCGTGCAGGGCCTGCAACGGGCGCGGGAAGGCGTCGAGGAGGGGTCGGCCGGTGCGGGCGTAGGTGAAGGTGTGCAGGGCGGCGAAGGCGAAGTAGAAGCCCAGACCCCAGAATGTGAGGACGGTGAAGTAGGCGAAGGAGATGACGATATCGTAGCATCCACCTTCTTCTGCGTGGGTGCAGGTCCAGCCGATGATGAAGAAGCGGCTAGTAAAGATGAAGAGACACTGCCGGAGGAGGGAGAGGGGGGGGTTCTGGTTAGATCGTCTGGCTGCATCGCATCTCGACCGGAAAGAGTCCAACTCGATTTGCGCGTTGAGGTCGCGTGCGATCGATACCGCGCCTGCGATGTGTGAATGGGTGTGGTACTTACGAATAACGCACGGAATGCGAAGAGCAGCCATGGGGAAAGCAGCCACGAGGTCTCGAATCGATGGGAAGGATCCCAAGGATCTTTACCAAACCGAAAGCCGTCGAGCCAACTGGACATTCTGCCCATGGTTTGCAGAAGATAGATCCACGGTCGGAAGCCGCAGACTACGGAGTTCCGTCGAAGAGGAAGTCGAGGGCGGTTGGAAAGCTAGAGCCGCGACATGCTTAAATATCAACTTTGGAGACTGACGGAGTTCGGGTCCAGCAGGCTGGGGACGTGGTTTTACAGGAAATGCCCCTGGGGCATGAGGGGCGGGTTTACTAAAATTAGTTTGGTTACAAAAGGGGTCTCTGTCCGTGTCAAGCGACTCTCGGCTCTGAGTTTGCTATTTCACATGCCGAAACCAAGTTCTCTTCTTTCTCGCCGTACAATGTACGTCTGTGCTGTGGGATAATGCGAAACAGACGAAACAGATGCACCATGATAATTACTACTCGTACGGAATACTTCCCACTTCGAAGACTTAGTACGGAGTAAAGGAATGGTGAGAGTGAGGCACTTCGTGTTGATTATTCCATACTTATCTCGGACGCAGAGACATTCTTTCTTTTAACCCAGGCTGATTCAATTACATTGGACACTAAGATCCAGGACAGTTCTCCTTCACGTGTTGACCCCGAATTAATTGATACGTTTAGGGGCCCTTTTTCTTCTTCTTCTTCTTCGTCTTCTTCTTCTGTTGCTTTTATTTACTTCTTCCGTTCGTACTTGTAGGAAGACAAAAGCCAAGGCTCTGTGGCTCACAAGGAGGCTAGGCTACCTAGGTAGGGAGCAAGGGCCGGAGGAAATTCGACTCTTATGCGCAAGGCGTGAATAAAACGCTTGGATGGATGAGTGTAATTACCGAGTGCGGAGTAGGTATGGAGACTCGGTAAATACTTTGTAATTACTTTCGTACTTTATAAGGTAACATACCTTAGGTAAGGTAAGGAACAACATGAAGCTGTCCGGCCATAGCGCTACAGTGCTAAGTGCCTCGTAATTAATGATCCCGATACTTCACATTGCGGAGTTGGAAGAAATCAATCTCGGCTGGAGTGTGACTTTGCGCTTCCAGCAGAAGGAATTCCCTACGGCGTAGAAGGCCGTTTGCTGGCGCTGATAACTAAGGTACGGACAGTATGGATGGATGTTTGTACCCCCAAAGTACAAAGGAAGTAATTAATCCGTACTCCGAATCTGTACTGGTGCGACCTGTCTGAAGGTGTTCTTAGCGACGAGCTGTGTTTCTTCTCGCCCTCTTCTTCTTCTTCTTCTTCGCCTTCTCTTCTCTCCTGCCTCCTGTTCCCCCGCCCAACCCCCAATCCGGTCTTCCCTCCACCCCCACCCCTTTCTTAGCGCAACCTCGAGGGTCGCATGGCTTGTGAGCGGGGAATTCGGGACGACGATGAAAAAGGAACGGTAACGAACCGGACCCGAGGCCATGATTGGGTTATTCGCTATCGATGGAGCTAGCATTTTCGTGCCTGGGCAATCCTTTGGCCTACCGTAGATTTGGCAAAGCCTGTTACCCATTGGCCGGCGAACCAGCCTGATCTGGGCGATCGAGGTACGTTGTAGGCACGACGGTTAGAAGTCCCCACGTCCACGTCCACGTCCCACACCGACCAGACCCAGACCAGTTTTCGTGGTTCAGTGCGGTTCGGTGTTCCAGAGGACCCGCTAATGCCCCATTTTTGTCCGCAACTCGCGCGTGGGCCCGGCCCAGCGTCTGGGGCCAGGACACAAGAGACAAAGGGACGCGAGTTGCAGATGCTTTTTGACGCGAAACATTGTGCTTCGAACGACGTACGGATAATCAACATTGTATAGAAGTGCCTGGGAACTCCCTTGGGTACCTATTCTCCTAGTAACTTAACTCTGTCAAGACTGGGGGAGAATGAAAGGATAGGTACTCGGCACTTAAAAATTGGGTCAAGGGGCGTAGAGGGTATCGACTAATTAGAAAGATTCGAAGCAGCAAATTCCACCTTTACATTGAACGTGACTTTTGACGTTTCCAGACATTGCTCCGGCTTCTTCTCCTGCTTCTTCTCCTGCTTCTCATCTACCTTAGCCGGCAGCAGAACTATGGTGGCTCGTACTTTGTATGTCTGAATAATACGACTCTATGAAGTACCTTAGGTAGGTATTTACGTCGCTTGATTGATCAATATGTACCAGGTACTCCAGTCTTCATCTAATAATGGGTAGGTGGCTGAGTATCTATACCTAAGAAGCTCGTCCCAGGTCCAACTAAGGTACCCTTTCTTTCGCACAGCATGGTAAGGTATTCGAAGTACCTAAATTATTCCGCGGTACGGATACTTCCCGCGTACGTCGTAACTCCCAACCTCGCACCAACAGTAACTTCTAATCCTTCCCACCCCCGTCCCATTTTACGTACGTAGGTACATACGTGCAAAATTCCCTAATTCCTCCCCCCTTTTAACTACCTACCTTACTCCATACTACCTACCACAACTAACCATCTTCTCCGCCCTTCTCTTCGAGCGCTGAACCCCTTAGGTTCTCATCCCTTACGCTCGCTTTCTTCACACTGCCTCCTTATCGTTCTTCTTCTTTTTCAGGAGTTCTCTTGTCCTTCAACACCTTATACATCCGGCAAACATCTCGACCGGTCGTCTTTCCCCGGCGTCCGTCTCCGAGTTCTAATCGTAGTAAACGTGGCCGTCGCTGTCTAAAAGGGTCAAATCCACGCCGAGCTCTCAGTCTCCTCCTTCGAGTTCTCGACGAAAACGAGCAAAAAAAATTACATACGAGGGTTGGAGGGGAAAGCCACACAAGTCTCCATGATGGCTCTGGGAGACTTCTGAAGCGAGCACCTCGAGGCTGCAGCCCCTGGGCCTCTCCCCTGCCCGGAAATCATTGTACTCCGGTGACCTTCGAGACATTCCTCTTCCTTTATTCTTTTTTCGCTTCTTTTTCTCCAAGCTGGGGTCCCGACTGGACCGCTGCATCTCTCCGTCATTGCCGTTGGTTGCACCAGGAACGCCATACTCATCGCCGAAGCCCTCGAACTCGAAGACACCCGCCGCCGCCCGGCTTCCCGCATACGAACTAGCACCATTGACCTTTCACCTCTATTCTTCCGGCTGGCCTCACTTCGCTCTCAAGCCAGCCACTCACTGGGCACCCTACCGAGCCTATGCTATTCCCTTCCCCCCCTCCTTCCAGAGTAGTCGATATTGGATACCGGTCGCACGAAAGCCCGCCCCTACATAACCACGCCTATCTCCCAGGTATCCGCCATGACCGCTTCCGCCGAGTTCTCTCGTCTGTCCTTCGGGGCCGGCAATACCCTCGACCTGAGCTTCAATCTTCCCGCTCCCGTCCTCCTCCCGCCTTCCACCCTAGACCAGTCCACGTTTGTGCCCGGAAGTAAGGATGCCGATCGATCCTGGGAAGACTCGAGCGACTCAGATGCGTCCGACGACTTGCCCGATGCCGGACGGGAACCTACAGAACACACAGGGGAGATACGGGCCGTCCCGGTGACTATTGTCAGACCACCAAGAGAGGGAAAAGCGGAGGAAGCGAATCACTTGAGTCATCAGAACATCAGAGTGGGCAAGGACAACAATGAAGACCACGACGAAGGCCCCAGTGAAGACGCCGCCGCTCAACAGGCCGCTGGAAGCGATGCTGAGAAGACACCCACCACTTCCGAACCGCCGCGCATTCCACCTCCGCGAGATCCACGCCGTGCCGTCAATCAGGTCCCGACCGCCCATTCGAATGTCCCTCTCCACCCCATCCCCTCAATGCAAGGCGCCTTTGCCGAGTCTCTGCTCGAGGTCACAGATGGAAAACCCGCCTCCAAGCCCAAAGTTCGTTTCGGCGATGCCAAAGCCCGCCGCGAAGAGCTCATCAGCCAGGAACGCGATGAAGAGCTTTACAGCGCCAACTGGCGGTACCGCCCCGGCCAGCAACAGCATGAGCTCCACAAGCTGATGGCCCAGATCTCTTTCGGAGTATATCTGCTTCTCAACGGCATGGCCAACAGCACGGCCCAGGTCGTCAATATATTGCAGGGCCACATCGACGAGGTGGACGAGTTCCTCGAGGTCGCCATGGAGGACTTGCAGGAAGCTAGCACCGACCTACAGGAACGCATCGACTATCTGCGCCTGCCCATGGAAAACATCGACGTATTCGAGAAGCTGCTCGAGGACCGGAATTTCCGCCTTCAGATCGTCGAGGGCAACGAGAAGATTGAGCACATCATCGCCCGCACCAATATCCTGCTCGGGCAGTACGATAAAGATGTCCAGCAGGGTCTCACTTCGGCTCGGGACTTCGCCCTCTACCTGGCGCAACAGAAGGACGGGACCTGGCGCCGCGACCGCCCGGATGTGCTCGACATCTACGAGGCCATGAAGGGCAACACGGAGGGCTGGTTCAATGCATTTGCGGATATGGAGGCCCGGGGCAAGGAAGTAAACACTCTTGTGATGAGACTCACGCAAATAGTGGCCGAGATTAGCAGCAAGGCCGGCGAGGTCAGCCGCAGAACATGGGTGAGATTGGTTTTTTTCCTCCTTTTTTCTTCTCTTTTCCTTTTCACCTTGGTTGTTCAGCACGCTTGAAAAACCAACAACTAAACACTAACATCGTTTCCCTGTAGACCAATATTCCTCCCTTTACCATACCGTTACAAGAGATATCGACCGAAGCCGAGTGTGGCTCAAACTCGAGGGTATCATCCTCTCGTGCCTCATCAGCAAGCGGGGATCGGTCGACGATCCGGGCGGATAGCCCACATGGCTTCGCGTCAGCCCCTAGCATCACCCAGCCCAACCCTGAATCGACACATTATGACGTTCCGTTGAACAAGGCCGAGTCTCCGATGTTATCCTTCCCCAAACCGCCAACTCATCTATCGCCGAGGCTCACTCGCAACCCCAGCCAAAGCTCATTTTCCGAGTCGATCGCCAACTCGGACGCCTATGCTGGCTCTGATGCGGTGGTGGAGGATTCGCCCCTTTTCATCCTGCAACCACGCACCTACACGCCACAGCCCCCGGAGCCCTTGCCCTCTCCCATGGTGAGGGACAGGGAGAGGGAGAGGCCGACCCTTATGGCGAGTAGATCTGAACAGAACCTGGCCAAGAAAACGTCTCTCCGTCAACGCGTCTCGCTCAAGACAACGCCGCCAGAATCCATACAGATTCCCCAGCCGCATCCTGCGGAATTTGAGCGTCCGACATACGCGTCTCGGCAATCCCCCGACTCGGCCTACGGGTCTGATGACCAACGTCCACGCTACAGCGCCTTGGCGGACATGTCCCCCCCTATCCGGCCACCCGTCATGGCCTCCCCGCGATCAGATCAACAACAATTTTACCGGCCTGTCCAGGCGAGCCCTCATTCGCCACTCCAACAGCGTCCTCTCACGGCCGGGGCAGCGCCTCGACCTCTCCAGTCACAGACTCCGCCACCGATGTACCGGCCGGGCCATCAGCGCAATGCGCCGTCGAGGATGGGCGGTGCAAGCATGCTCAGTACTGTCACGACAATGACCTATGACTCGCAAACCGTCAACGGCGACAAGAAACTCAAGAAGAAGCGCAGCGCGTTGGGGTGGCTGAAGAAGGCCTTCTCCCTCGATGAGGAGGAGCGCATGATATACGAGGCACGAAAACAGCAGCAGGCACCCGATCCGTATTACGAGGGCCGCAGCCCTAAATACATCGACGGCAAACGAGTGCGATGAGGGGTCCCCGAATAATAAGACAAGATGAACACCGCAAGAACAAGGCTTTACATCCGGGGCCCTCCTTGCGCAATGGGAAAGGCCTGATCGGGATATAAGCCGTGTCCGTCATGCTACCGTCTGACTGCGCATTTTCCGAAAGACCCGATGTCGATCGGCGGCAGTTCAGCGACTGTCAAGCAAACGCGCATCAATTTCACACCACTATTAAGCCAGCACATATGTCAGCGCCATTCTCACAGCACAAATGTCGTCGAGGACGGCCAATCGGCCATCCACATCACCACCATGGAATCTTCAACACAACCGAAGTATTCCTCTGTAGCGAGTTGATTACCCAACCCCCAGCCATAGCGAGAGCGAGCGAGCGAGCGAGCGACGCATAATTGCATTGTCTTGATTGATATTCAGCTATGTCCCGGCGCAACTACTCACACTTATTCCTACATTGGTCTGACATGTGGTCGTTTTTATTTTCGCCTGTTTAATTCTGTTATCTATTGTGCGGTAATGAAACGCCCAGCTCGGCAGGTCTGCTGCTCTGCGGTCGGTTTTGTCCCATTTGAAGCCAAAAACATAAAAAAAAAATTGACAGTTCTTTCAACGTTGTCGGAAACATCTCGACGGGTATGGTCTACCATGTATGGGCTGCTATCAACTTTTCGTTGAATCTACCCATCATTCACTGAGCAGGGCGTCTTGGCAGTTTACCGACTGTGACGCCCCCCCCCCCCCCCCCGGGGGGCATATATATCCGCGGAGTTCTCACTGTATGATAATATGACAATTTGCAAGTATGTAGGACGTGAAGAATCTCACGACCATTCAGTCATCGGAGGTGGAGATAAAACAATACAATCACCGTCCGTAAATTATGAAATTATGGATAGCGTCAGTTTGGACCCTGTCTGTGACAGTGGCGATGGTGATACAATGCTTATTCCCGGCATGGATTTTCATGGCAAGATGGCCGAGTTGGTCTAAGGCGCCAGCTTCAGGTGCTGGTCTAGTAATAGGCGTGGGTTCGAATCCCACTCTTGTCAACCATAATATCCGTTCCCGGGACCATGGGGAATATCTTTTTTTTTTTGTTTCTTCGCATGGCGTCCTCTATTTGTAAGACCGCTGCACTCACGGTGCGGAGTACAACGTAGATCTGGCGTATTTTTACGTTATTCCGTAGATTGAGTCGAACACCAGGCGATCATGCAGAATCTTGACCCTCGTTCCTGAAAAACAAAGCGAACACGACATATGGAGGGACGAAAGCCGATGTTTCCTCATCCTAGTTAGTCCCTCATTTTTTCCCCCTCTCGGACTGCGACCCCCCCAAAGAGGGAACAAAGAACTCCCAGTTGCACACATACTCCTTCGTCTTCTCCATCCCATTTCATTAAACCCGAGAACACCACCCCCCCAGACCTGTCGAGGTCTCCATTGGTCCCAGGGTTGGGTTGATAAATAAAGATCATGGTCACTCATCCATCAAATCCCGTTCCGGCAAACCTGCAATGCAAAAACCAGAAGCGGCAACAAGTGGCACTCCTCAAATCCCTATTACACTCTAGACACGCCAGAGCGTGAAGCCAACAATGCGGAAGTATTTGAAGAAGAAAGAACCAACGCTGCCGTGCCGAAGCAGCCAAAACAAAAGGAACAGAAAGTTAAGGAGAGGATGGGGGAAGGGAAAAGAAAAGAAAAAAAAAAGGAAAAAGAAAAGGTCGAACAAGCAATTTCCATCATCACTGCGTCCGGTAGAACTTCTTATAGAGAAGATGAAGCAAGAGGTTCACGTTGAGCTTCAAGGCCCCCTCAAACAAGTTCATAAACTGGTGCGCCTCGAATTGAGCCTGCAGCAGATCCTCGATGGGCACGAGGGCGCTGGCGCCGGGAATCTGGATGTGACCTCGCGACCCCTCGATGGAGAAGATGCCCACCTCGTCGCAGCTGATGGTGAGGTTGATCTTGTCCCAGTCACGTTCGCTGACGCCGCTCCATGTTACGAGGACGCCCTTGTCCGAGAGCGCCCGGGCGCTGTACTTGTAGCTGCCAAATTTGGGGACGCGCCCGCTGCGTTCCAGCTCGCGCTGGTGGTTGTATTGCTTCGTGAAAGGCAGGAGGAAGCGTTTTTTCCTAAGAAAGAAGGGGGGAAACACGGTTAGCAAGTCCCAGACCCCAGAACATTGATCCGGCTAGGACCGTTTAAACAAACAACAAAAAAAAGAAAAAAAAAGAAAAGAAAAAAGAAAAAAAGGGGAACCGCTCACCCCTTGTTCTTTTGCAATGTCGCCATGGCAGATTCGATGTAGTCGTCATAACTCTTCCGCTGCTGTTCCAGGTACTTGGCTTTCTCGTGGAGGTTGGAGAGCGTCATTCGGACGCCTTCGAGCTCGCGCTGCCGCTGAACCCGCCGGCGACTCTTCGTCCGAATATCGAGTGCGATGGCGTTGAGGATGTCCTGGTAATGGTTGTGCTTGGAAATCCGGCCCATCTTCTCCAGCCTCAGCACGTTCTCCAACGCCGTACGCTTGAGCTCGTAGTAGCTCATGCGTGTCACGTCCACCATGTTGACATCCGAATACGCCCCCCTCGTGGCGCCATCGGCAGCGAAGTCGGCCCCGACCACGGCTTGCCACCTGTACTCGTCCTCCGGGCTAATGGGCTTGACGAGAATCTCCAAGAGGTTCGTCCCGGTCTGCACCCTGATAATGTACAAGACGCAGCGCTTCGTCTCCATGAACAGTGCCTTAATAACTGCGTCCGGATCGTCAACGTCGTGCAACTTGGGCGTCAGGAACATCTGGATATCCGACGACCCGGCCGCCACCATCTCGCTCTCATTGCTCTTTGCGCTGCCAAGATCCTGCATGATCTCCCGCAGGGCATCGTCTCGGTTCGGGCTCATGTACGGAAGCTCCGAGGCGACAAGGCTGTGGATGGCGAAGATGTCGGTGAGTTTGATGTACAGAGTCGGCTTGTTTTTGGCGTAGAGGTCGTTGAACTCGTCAATGTCGAATGTCCTCTCCGCATCCGGGACGGAGATGATCTGGTGGGTGAGGTGGATTAACCTGTCCATCGACTCTCCCACGAACGCGTTCAGGGGCTGCAAGTAGACGTTCTCGCCTCCGAATGGTCGCCCGGACGCGATTTGGCCCAGCACCTTGGCCACCTCTCCAAGATTGCGCTTTTGGAGAGGGCTCAGCTGCTTCTCGATGACACCGACATTCTCCGGAGCGATCACGGCTGGCTGAAAGTAGAACTTCCAGAGCCAGTTCATCACAACCTGCAGGAGGACGTGTTGAGGCTCCCTCCTGAAATGGTCACAAAGGGCCTCGAACAACTGCCGCGCCACGAGCCGCAGGCCGTAGGGCATCCTGGGAAGCAAATCTTCCAGCGCGAACAGATACTGGTCGCAAACCTCCCGCAAATCTCGTAGGTGGTCGATAAAGAGGTCCCTGGTCTCCGGATCTCGGATAGCCACCTCCCGGGGAACGTCCAGTGGCCGACGACTCGGCCGTCCAGTCCGCAGCTCTTCGTTGTTGATCGCTCCACGGTAAATCTGGAGGGGGTCGCTCTCCAGGTCGAGCGCCGGGTCCTCAACAATGTTGTCGCGAACCAAGGGACCGAGCATATCACGAAGATACTTCCGGTCTCGAGGCGATCGAGTGTAGTTTGACAGCAACTTGGACCAGAAGTACGTGCCCCGCAGATATTCGCCCAGATCGCGAGAGCTCTCGACCTCTTCCCGAATAGACCGAGAGATGAGCTTCAAGAGGTAATATTCCTCTCTCCTCTTCTGGGCATATCCGAAGAGACCCATCATGAGGTGCTCGATCCGCTTGCACTCTTTCTCGGGAGTCCCCTGCTCCCTAATCCGTTTGAACAGGCGAGCGAGGTACTGCGGCTGTGTCTGCAGATTGAAGAACAGTTGCTGATAAGACTCCAACTTCTTCCTGGAACTTTTATTCAGCGCCTTCAGGTCGAACTGGTTTGCCGAGGAGATGGAAGAATTGGCCAGGAGACCTATGGAATGGCTGCCGTAGTTGCTCTGGTGTCGGACGACTTCGTCTAGCGTGATCTTGTTCTTGACGAGGAGGGCGATCTTGATGTCCAGTTGGTCAATATATTGTTCGAGCATCTCGTTCTGCCTGACCTGCTGAACAACCGTCTTTCGCAGTCGCTCGAATTCCACCTCCTCGTTGAAGTCGAAGTCGCTGTCGTTGAGGAGATGCACAAAGTTCTTCACCGCACCGACCGGCGGGTTCTTTCCTGAGGTCAGACTCTTATACGCCTCGCCTTGAATCTTGGCTCTGACGAAACTCTGGATCTTGATGACTTTCTGCATATTCTCGTTGAAGTATCGTTGCTTCTCGGCGTACTTGACACGGACGAGGTGGGCTCTTGCAGCCGTCTGGATGGCAATGATGGACTCTTCCTCTGCTTCCAGCTCCGACATGACCAGGCCGACCTCTTCCCTGACCATCGCGCCTCGTGCTAGCGCTTGGAGCACAGATACTTCTGGAGCATGGGAACCGAGCTCGTCCAGGATTTGGGAATGTCGTTGGCGGTAAAGGTAACCCCGGATGCGACTTTGCAATCGAGTAATCTGAGATTCGGCCCGCGCTAGGTCGTTGACGTCGCGAGCAACCTGACGCCTAACCGCCATGCCGCGAACCCAGCCCTGGAGACTGGTGATGGCCTCCTCATTGCTTCGAAGATCCTCCAGCGTTTGGGCGACCTCTCGTCGCACAGCTGCCGCCCGGATGAAGGCTTGAAGGGACTCGACGTTGGGTGAGTGCTGGCGCAGGTCCGTTTTCATTGCTCGCACGCCTGATCGTGTCACGTGTCCGCGCAGCAGAGCTTGAAGCGCCGTCCACTGAGGACCAAAGGCCTGAAGCTGGTTCTGCTCACGAGCCAGCTTATCTCGAGCCATGCATGCCCTCGCAGCAGCCTGCAGTAGACTCACGGCCTCGGCCTGTCGATGAAGGAGTTGCTTGTCATTGTCCACGCGGAATCGCAACAGCATGCCACGGGCAGCTGCCTGGAGTCGTCGGACATCGGCAGATGTTTTTGTCGTCTCCCGCCGCTGAGCACCCAGCTTCTTGCGAACCAAGAAGCCCTGAAACACTGCCTGGACCTCCCGAATGGGCCCTTCACAGTGCGCCAACTGAGATTTGGAGTATCGAACCTCGTCGCGAACTTTCTTAGCCCGAATGAGACTCTGCAGCTCCAAGATGTCAGGCTCCAGCATCTTCCAGAACCTCTCCTTGTTGGCGAGTCGCCTCCGGACGATGAAACCTCGCGCCGAGCTCTGCAGGTTGACGGCAAACTTCCTCATCCGGAGCCTATAACCCATAATTTGCCGGGTCCAATCGCCTCGTATCCGGGACTGTAGGTCGATGAGCGAGTCTTCCGAGCTCCAGAGATGCTGCATAATGTCCCCGAGCTTCATCCGCGCCATGGCTCCCCGTATCTGCGCCTGCAGCTCCGCAACCGACTCCTCGTTCCCAGCCAGCTCCCTTTCGATGCGTTCCTCTTCGGTCTCCTCGGGCTCTGGCTCGGGTTCGACGCCAAAGTCGGCTCCCATATTTCCGAAACTGGGCATATTAACCCCAAGCTTATCAAGGCCTTTCTGCATGGCCTCAAGTTCGTGGTGCTCGAACTCAAGTTGGCCGACGAGGTTTCCGATACGAAAATCGACGATTCCTTTTCTGAACAACAGCCAACTGAGAGCATGGATGCAATAAATGACTTTGGGGATGTTCTTCTTTTCGTACAGGTCGATGAGCTCGAAGCGGAAAAGATCGGGGAGATCGACCTCATCCAGGTAGCGGAAGAATATGGCGATGTTGTCTGAATGGCGGAATTGTAGCTTCTGGTGTCGGAATATTCGAAACCGTCTGTCCGGGTTCAAGGCCTCAACGACCTCGGCGAGGGTTACGCCATCCCGGAGTGCCTCTTCCAACTCAGCGATGGGAGGAATGGGCCTGTGAATGACGTCCTCGATCCACTCTTTGGCCTCGCCAATGTGGCAGAGATACTCGTACGCCTGGAGAAATTGGCGTTGCTTGTCCATCCAGTTGCGGCCCTCCCAGCCGTAGCCCGCCCCCCTTTGTGCGGTGCGATTCTTGTCCCTCTGCAGCCTGCGCCGTCCCCGCAAGCCCACAACCTCTTCCGCCGGCTCGTTGATCTTGAATTCTTCGGTGGACTCGGACTGCGCTAACCGTGACAATGTTCGGAAGTGACTGGTGGACGATCGACCCAGTTTCTGAAGATCGGGCCGCTCGATGGTAGTCGTGTGGGAATGGGACAGGGGCGCAAGAGGAGAATGCGAGTGAGGAAGCGCAGCGCTACCTTTGTTGACTGAATCGGATCGAGTGTGGAGCATGGAATTCGGCCTGATGACTAGAGTCCGCGAAGGTTGGGTTGGAGAGATGCTGCTGTCATTGTAGTGGTTCAAGGAAAGCTTGCCCATGTCTACGCTCTGACCACGGTCATGACGTTGAAGATGCCGAGGAGGGGAAGGGACAGAATCCGGGATACCAGGTGCAGGAGGCTGCGGCAGTGGGCGCAGCGACTGGCGGGCCATGTTGTATATATTTTCCGGTTCTTCCTTCTTAGACTTGGCGGGGTCGAGACCGAACATTGCGTGGCTCGATGTATGAGTCGAAGGAGAAATCTCGCTCAGGCCGCGCTTATGGACGTGTGCTGCATACCCGCTCGAGGCAGAAGAATATTGTGTGCTTGCGCGGCTACGGGCCGAAGTGTCGGAGTAGCCGGAAGAGGCTGACGATGATGCAGTAGAAGGTTGACGATTGACGGCGCTTGAGGGTTCCAAGGTTTGCGATTGCCTGAGAGGATGTGACCTGTACGTCATCTTCGGCAGCGACTAGAAGAATGGAGAATGAAGAATGAAGAATGCGTGAGAGGTGCGCTGCGGGAAACTCATGGGTTGGTACAGTTCCGATGGTAGTATGGAGAATCGGCGCCTCCTGCTGACTTGGGCAGCTCGGAGGCGTGGTCAACCTTCAATATCCGGATCCGAATGGCCTTCGCCGGGCACATGAAAGTGTTGTCGAGCGGACTATCCTTGGGGCGCTCGACGCCCGAGATGGTATAGGGAAGGGGAAGATGACGAGAGGGAGAGAAGACGAAGGAGGCTCAAGCTCAAGGGTTGGTGTGGTTGGTGTGGTTGGTCTCGACGGAAGACGGTGAGAAAGTAGGAGAGTGTGAAGGGAGTCAGATGCGTTGCGCTGTGCAATCCAGGCTCTTGAGAGTGGAAACAAGCAATATTGGCAGTTATTGTTGGCAGCAGAGAGATGTTTCGAAAGGATTCTGTAGATACCTTCATGCCATCTGATCCCTGACCATATCGCAATGGGCCTCAAACTCAGCAAGGGTAGTTCTAGTGCAGATAAGCGAGGGCGGAGAATTTGACTGTTACTGTTGGTGTTGGCATTCGCAAAAGCGTGGAAGGAAGGAAGCACGGAGGGGTTGCAGTGACCGTGGTTGCCGTGCGAAAGATTCTGTTTGTTTACTTCCTAAACCGGTTAGCGCTAACAGTCGTCGTCCCTTGCTCTATGGAGTGTCGTCACTTCACGGCAGATTCCGCAGATCTGCCGGAGTACCTTGGCCCAGCTGACTAACACTACCTCAACCGACGGGACATTTCACACGGCTTGATACGGTACCTGAGCACCGAAGGTACTTGGCTCGAGCTTGCTTTCAAGTGTATTCCATCCAAGTCCGAGTCTACATACTTCATCCGGACTCGATATGGATTCATCTCACGAGGCGCACAGTGTACGACTTATGCCATTGAGTAGAAGCTCGAAGAGAATCGCCCCCTACACAAAGCACTAATCCGACGCTTCTGGGATCGCTGTGGTAGGTGAAGCCAAGCTGCTCTTGACCGCTCAATCTAGACTGCAAGGGTCATATTACCCATGGCTACAGGTATTGTGAGCACATGTTATGTGGCTAGTGCCATATCTTTCCAAGCACGCTGTATGAATGAAGAGCAAATGGGAAGGGAACCAATCTCGTGACTTGAACGGCTGCGTGACTTCTGTTTCACAAGCGGTGATGAGGAACTGTTTGGAACGCACTGGCCGCCAATACGCTGCCATTGAGGCCATTGACCTTCTCGCCTTCTGTCCCTCCACCCCGGGATCCGTAATCATCAATTACGGCTGGGCTGGTCCGTCAGAATTTCCGACGCGCCACAGTGGACATCGTGTCATCCAATTTCCTACCTCCTTCTTTATGGAGCTTGCCTATCCCATACTTCCCGTCTATGGACGTTAATTAGGGCGAGTGTTCTACTTCGTATTCTGACCCTTGTGGCCAGTATCGGTGAGTCTCGGTCAAGCAGCGTATAGGAACCGCACTTTCTTGGGATTTATAGACAGCCAATCATGCCGTGACTCTGGGAAAGTAACCCACTGTAGTATACCTACCCCACTTAGCCCCATCAGACAAGACCCCATATCCACACCACTGGTGCATAAAAATTCTAGCCAAGTCGTTTGTCTGATTTTTTTTTCTCCTTCCTTCTAACGGGAGCAAGAGACCTCTGGATCGTAGTCTTTGAACGAGCTGACCGATTGCCAGAACTCTGTCCTCGCTGCTTTTGTACTTCGAAAGCTTCTACTTCCTTTTCCTCCTTCTTCCATTCATTCACAATGACCAGCGTCAACGGCGTCGACGGGGCCCAGGTCCTGGACAGCAAGTCCGCCCTCGATGTCCTCAAGGAGTACGAGAGCCGCGATGGACTCGACATTCATGAGCTCATGGATACCAAGAAGCACGGAGGTCTGACCTACAATGACTTTCTGCTTCTGCCTGGCTACATCGGCTTCCCCGCCTCAGCCGTCACCCTTGATTCCCCGGTCACGAAGCGCATCACCCTCAAGACCCCCTTCGTTTCCTCCCCTATGGATACCGTGACCGAGCATGAGATGGCCATCCACATGGCTCTTCAAGGCGGTTTGGGTGTCATCCACCACAACTGCTCGCCTGATGCCCAGGCCGATATGGTCCGCAAGGTCAAGCGCTATGAGAACGGCTTCATCCTTGATCCCGTCGTCATTAGCAGTGACACGACCATTGGCGAGACGAAGGCGCTCAAAGAGAAGTGGGGATTTGGCGGTTTCCCTGTCACAGGTTAGTACTCTTCTTCTTCTTCTTCCTCTTCTTTCTACCATGTCCATCTTGTCAGCTTTTCATGATTATATAAAATGTTCTTAACTTTCGTTCCACCGAATTGACGACGTGAGTTGTCATGGGGAAACAACAAAAACTATGAATTTTTGAGCTGCATCTTTGTTCTGCCTTTGAATCGACATTTCTCAATCTCGCTTTGGGCAACATCGCTGACCTGCAACTGAAGAAAGCGGCAAGCTTGGCTCCAAGCTGTTGGGTATCGTGACGAACCGCGACATCCAATTCGAAGAAGACCTTCACAAGCCCATCTCCGAGGTCATGGTCACCGATCTGGTCACTGGGCCTGCCGGTATTCATCTCCCCGATGCAAACCAGATTCTCGCCAAGTCCAAGAAGGGCAAGCTCCCCATTGTCGACAAGGACGGGAACCTGGTTTCCATGATCTCCCGATCCGATTTAACCAAAAACCAGCACTTTCCTCTGGCCTCGAAACTTCCGGACAGCAAGCAATTGCTTTGCGCCGCTGCCATTGGCACGCGCCCCGAGGATCGCGACCGACTGAGGAAGCTTGTGGAAGCTGGCCTCGACATCGTCGTCCTGGATAGCTCCCAGGGCAACAGCATGTACCAGGTGGAAATGGTTCGCTGGATCAAGTCGGAGTTCAGAGATTTGGATGTCATCGGCGGAAACGTGGTGACGCGCGAGCAGGCGGCGACCCTTATCGCCGCTGGTGTTGATGGTCTGCGTATCGGCATGGGCAGTGGCTCCGCCTGCATTACCCAGGAGGTCATGGCCGTCGGCCGTCCTCAGGCTGCCGCCGTTTACTCGGTCAGCAGCTTCGCCGCCCGCTTCGGCGTTCCTTGCATTGCCGACGGCGGCGTGCAGAATGTGGGCCACATCGTCAAGGGTCTTTCGCTGGGTGCCTCTACCGTCATGATGGGCGGTCTACTGGCCGGCACTACCGAGTCGCCCGGTACATCTTTCGTGTCGCGGGAGGGCAAGCTCGTCAAGGCCTACCGTGGCATGGGCAGCATCGACGCCATGCAGGACAAGAGAGCGGGCAACGGCAGCAAAGATGCCCAGAAGAGCAATGCCGGCACTGCCCGGTACTTCTCCGAGGGCGACAGCGTTCTGGTTGCTCAGGGCGTGACGGGATCCGTCGCCCACCGAGGGTACGTTGCCTTCCCCACCAAAACACACATGCCATGCCACACACCCCATTTCTTTGTTTGATCAAACGACTAACTTTGCCTTTTTTACCATAGTCCCATCTCCAAATTCGTACCCTACCTCGCCGCCGGCCTCAAGCACTCCATGCAGGACTGCGGCATGCAGAGCCTGCAGGTGCTTCACGAGGGTGTGAAGAATGGCACCGTTCGCTTCGAGCTGCGGACTGCCAGCGCCCAGCTGGAGGGCAACGTGAACATGGAGTCTTACGAGAAGAAGCTCTTCGCGTAAAATGAGAAGAAACCAAGAAAAAGAGCAAATAAATTATGGGTCCCGGAATCGAAAAAGCTTTGGATAGAACTGAAAGTCCCTCGAACTAAGGGCCGGATGGGAGGGAAATCATGAGCAAAGCGACTGCATCGGAGAACCGAGAGGGAGTTCTGGGCGTACTTGGATGGAAGGAAAATATTGGCGGCCTGTAGTGTTTGATGAAGAGTCTAGACCTCCCTTTGCATGGTCAGGCTAGGAAACGACAAGCTCAGTATCATGAATGTGCTTTACTTCATGGTCATGTTAGACTATGATACCCTTAATGTTATATGATAAATATCGAGTGTCAAAAAACCAACGAACCAACTGGACGCTGGCATGCTGCTGTTCTAAAATTTCGCCCCTATTCGTTTATTATTGCAGACGAGATTGCGTGTCCAATGAATTTATTCCATATATGTGTGCATTGCTGTTTTATACTACCTATTGCCAACTTTTACTTCGCAGATACTGCTTTTTCAGGAAAACCTCCCAAACTCCCATGATGCGAAACAATATTAAACGCTGATTGTTCCAGCAAAGCATCTCTCCACTTGCACCCCTGACCCCTTTTCCAGCTTTGAAAGATACAGTACTACCATGGCCGTGAAATCGTGTGGGGCATGACTGGCGTGTAGAATCAACAGACTCCCCCGGGAGAGGAAGCATCGCAGAACCATATCCTCATGAACCCGACCTTACCTGCTCTGTGAAATCGAATCGTAGCCCGCCCGCCGGACCGAGCCATTGCCGGTGGCATGAGAGGGACCAAGCAGCAGCGGTGCACCCACTGCCGCATTATCATCCTCGCTGTCCTCGTCGATGATGGCCTGCTCACCATCCTCGTCCCGCTCGTCGTCGCTACTCTCCACGCTCGACGACGGACCTTGGCCCTCCACGAGCATGAAGGCAGGCACGGCGCCCAGGGCGGCGACAAGGGCCAGCAGCCACCAGGCGGTGACGACATAACCTCGCTCAACGCCCCATGTGAAGGCCGCACCGGCGAAGGTGGGGCCGAGGGCACGGCCGAAGCCGGAGAACATGGTGGCGAAGCCGTTGAGGGTGCCCAGGATGCGAAGGTTCGAGGCCGAGTTGGTGAGCAGGATGGTGACGCATGGGAAGCCGATGATGCCGGCGAACCCTTTGACGCACATGAGGGATATCATGCCGGCGAGGCGGGTGTTGGTAGTCGGCAAGAGGACGGTGTAGGGGACCAGAAGGTACACCAGGGGGAAGGCGATGGCTAGAGAAAAGGGGGGACGGGGGCGCGTTATTTAGCACCCGGAGGATGGCGGAAGGCCGGGCCTTAGATGGCTGCCGTTGGGGGGGGAGGGGGGGGAAGGGTAGGTCACTTACCGCAGCAACGATAGCAGTTGCGGACCCCGAGGCGGTTGCAGAGTGGCGGGAAGAGCAGGAACTGGGTGAGGCCACATGAAATGCCGTACGCGGCAAACATGGTACCGATGCTATCGGACTTGAGGCCGAACCCACCGGAGAATCTGAAGGGCAAGCTCCTGTTCTCCGGTGTCTGTTCGCGCACGGGATAGTCGAGGAATGCGGGGAGGACTTGGTCGAAGGCGACGGCGTGTAGGGCAAGGAAGGTGTAGGCGACGAGACCGATGACGGTTTGGGTGGTGAACACGTCCTTCATGGTAGACTGCGGAGCCGTTTGGTGAGAAGAAGAAGCCTTGGGAGACATGTCCGTGGGCAGAAGGGGCGCGGTGGCTTCGCCGTCCATGAACGAAGCTCTCCGGGGCCGACTCGTTGGTTTCCGACTCGGGCGAAGGGCGCGAGTCATCTTTTTACCTATCAGCAGGCCCCAGTCCCTCTGGCCGCGGCGGGTCTCGAGTGTCTCCTTGAGGAAGAAGATGGCGGTGGCCAAGGAGATGAGGAAGAAGACGGCCAGGATGATGTTGGGGAGGGCAAATGGGTAGGCTTTGAAGAAGGCGCTGTGCCCGAACAGGCCTGGAAAGCGCTCGGCGGGATTCGCCAACATGCCGCCAAAGGCAGGTCCGAAAATGCCTAGAGTGCAGCCAGTCAGTCAGTCAGTCAGTTCCGCCAGCCTCGGTTGCGCTGCAGCGGACATACTTCCCAAACTCCATACCAAGGGCATGACAGAGAAGGCCCGGGGTTGCAGGTGTCTCTCAGTAACCATCTCGGCCACCATGGTTCGGATGATACCCACTACCATTCATGTTAGAAAAATAGAAATAGAAATAAAAACCCCTGGGGACAACCAAGAGTCCAGGAGTATGTATGTAGATGGGCATGGGCATGCTTACCATTCCCGTTTCCGGCTCCGGCCAAGACACGAACAGTGATAGCCATGGGCAGACTGGTCGACACGCCCCATATCACGAACATAATCATGGTGGTGGCAAGACCGAAGACGATGGTCGGCTTACGGCCGAAACGATCCGACGCCCTACCCCAGGCGACGGCGGTGAAGCTCTGGGCCAGGGAAAAGACGGCAGAGGTAAAGCCGGCCCATTTGGCGATCTCGTTCTCGCTTACACCGAAGCTGCGAATCATTTCGGGGAGATAGGGGAAGATGGAAGTCAGGGCTAAGGGTTCAGCGAATCTCGCAATGGCTATTCGGGCAAAGTTAGCAACAGGACGCAAGGCGGGTGAGAAGGATACCTGGCGCGCGTTTTCTGTGTGGTTGTGTAGAGGCTATAGAAGGGATGATTCAGGCTTCCGGATCCGAATCCCTATTCCTAATTCCGAATTCCTAATTCCTAATTCCTATATCAAGGATGGATGAGAATGCGACTAGGCGGCTTACGATGAGACAGCTTGGAAGATCAACAAAACCTCAGACCATCACATTCTGAACAGGAGGAGCATGGATATACCAGCCGACGTTGGGAGTAGACGGACGCGATTGTAACTATGCGGGAGACATGGGATGAGAGTAGGTGGGAGAGAAGGGGTAAAGTAAGGCCGGTAATAAGCTGCCTGCGTGGGTTGGTAGCTTTCGCATCTTGACAGCTTGATAGCAGGGAGAAGAGCAATAATTTTGGTAGTACCGGTCGGCGTCTAGGTAAGGTAGACAGAGAGAAAAGAAGGAACGGCAGTGCAGCTGCTTACCCAGAATGACCAATTGCTGAACCGGCAACTTCGCCTCGCCAGACATGATGGCGGACCGTGGGGGGTCTTCGACGGGGTCTGATGACTAGGAAAGATATGGACGAAGGGTGAAGGTGAAGTTGGCTGGTAGACAGGTCCGCATGAGCAGTCGCAGGGAGGAAACAAAAGACCATGAGATCCAAACGAGATCGACACTCGAATATCCTAGGGCCCCGAGAGAGTAAGAGAGTTAAGAGGAGACGAGGTGTTTCAATGCTTTGACGACCTGCTTCGTTCCTTGGAAACAGACGTACACGGTCGACAGAGGGCGGATGAGGAAGGAAAGAAGAAGTAAATGATCGTACGTCGGAATAGAGGAAAAGAGCCTTTTGACAAACCGGGTCGATCACAGGGTTCGCCTCCCCGGGGGATGGTAATGGTAGTAAGTGTACAGAGCGTATCCCGTGCCGCCAATACGCGTCTTACCGGGAGGAAAGCCGTTTTTTCCCTCTTCTTTCCTTTTTTTTTTTTCTTTAAAATTATTTTTTTTTTATACTCCGTCCCCCGCCCCCTCTTCCATGCAATGCAGTTGGTCCGGCGGCCGAGAGAAGAGGTGTGACCCATGGAGATCCACTTATCCACTTACTAATGCGAAAGGCGTCACGTAATAGTACTCCGTAAGTCTAGATGTTCGTAAACACGGTACTCCGTACATATGTGAAGACTCTCGGAATACAGTAAAGAAAGGCCTGTCAATAAGATCGGCTTCAATATTGTCAAGGCAACTGGCCGTGGTCTTTACTACCTAGCCCATCTCGTGTCGTGGTCTAACCAGTCTAACCTGTGGCGGCTATTACAGTACCTATACTAGACTAAGGTAGACCACAGTATATGGGAACCAAGGACACTGACTGAATTAACATTTGTCAGCGGAAACCGAGGGCGGCCTGATGTACCATGTCCTCGCTTCTCCCACTTAAGGTACCTAAGCTGAGGTTTTCGAGTCCTATTCGATATGGAGACCGATGTACAAAGTACTTTATTCCTTGCAAGCTGCTTGAGCGACACCGAGACCACACGGCAGACCAGTTGTGGGGAACTTTCAAACATGGACCTACGGAGTGGAGCACGATCACGTTCAAAGCGTACTAACAAACAGCATTATACCTGCATAATTACTCTCTAGATAATAAGGTCACAGCTACCAAAGGTACCTACCTTACCTTACCTTATCCTCTGTAATTACTCCGTTCTCCGTACTTCAAGTTCGTACCATCGAACCTGTTCATTCAGCCTTCTTACACTTCGTCGTGGACGAGGCCATAGAAACATGAACTGATCGTGGCTTCAAGTTGCCCAGGCATTCTCATTCTCCAAGTATCGCCATAAAGGCCCGAAAAGTCAAGTCGGAAAGGTGAGTTCCTATTGAGCGGCCGATCTTCATGCCGTCTCACATCATTTCGTCATCAAGGACTGATGTTACTTACGCCTTGACATCTCCGTCTTGCGTCCCTCGACTTCACCACCGAAGCCTCAGAACCGCGCCTAAACCACACCACACCACACTCCCTATGTATTCGGCCCCCCTTTCTTGGCTTACCTTTTCCCCAAGTACACGTACACACTCCTCATTCAAAACAAAGAAAAGTATCAACTGTTCAAGCTAGATTAGAGGGAGCCGTTCCGTGAACTGGCTGACCGATACGGCTGAAAAGACTTGGACGTCGGGTCCATCCCCTCCAAACACCAGCGCCATGGCCGATGAACACACGCCTCTCATCGCAACCGTTCGTGTCGCTCAGCCAAGGCACCGATACCCCCATCACATCGTCCGTCGTTTCTGCACCATCGCTCTGTCTTCCTGTCTTCTCGCAGGATTCGTCACATTCCTAGTTCTCCTCTTCATCGAACCCCCTGGCTATCACCGTGGCCACCAGCATGGCCACCACCGAGATCAGTGGGAATCGTCCGTGGGACGGCCCAGAGACCATCCTCCTAGTCACCAGGACGTATTAGACATCTTGTTCGACACGCCCTCTGCCGAGCAAGCTGAAAAGTGGAGTCGATATTACACCTCCGGCCCTCATCTTGCTGGACAGAACTATTCACAGGTGAGTCCAGGCGACGATGATGCCATTACTTCACACCGAGAGACTGTACTGATAATGATATCGTGTCGCGCCGTCCAGGCAGAATGGACTCAGAACAAATGGATAGAATGGGGCATCCCCTCCGATATCGTCTCCTATGACGTCTATCTGAACTATCCCGTTGACCACAGCCTCTCTCTACTCAGGAAGTCCAAGGACTCCTCTTCTTCTTCTCCTTCCTCCTCCTCCTCCTGGAAGGTCGACTTCAAGGCCACTCTTGAAGAGGATGTTCTTGACAAAGACCCCACCTCAGGCCTGCAAGATCGCATCCCAACATTCCACGGCTACTCGGCCAGTGGCAACGTCACTGGTTCTTTCGTCTGGGTCAACTACGGCACCTACCAGGACTTCGAGGACCTCAGGAAGGCCAACGTCAGTATCGAGGGCAAGATCGCAATCGCCCGCTATGGCGGCATCTTCCGCGGCCTGAAAATTCGCCGTGCCCAGGACTTGGGCGCCATCGGCGTCATTCTGTACAGCGATCCAGGCGATGATGGCCACGTCCGGGAGGACAATGGCTACGGGGCCTACCCTAATGGCCCGGCCCGTAACCCGACCAGCGTGCAACGAGGGAGCGCACAATTCCTGAGCGAGCGTCCTGGCGATCCGACCACACCGGGTTATCCTTCCAAGCCTGGTGCGCCTCGTGCTCCCGTCGAAAACGTCATCCCATCCATCCCGTCCGTCCCCATATCCTACGCTGAGGCTGTGCCTCTGTTGAAGGCCCTGAATGGCCACGGCCCCAAGGCGGACGACTTTAACCAGTACTGGACTCGCAACCTCGGTCTAGGCTACAAGGGCGTCGACTACAACATCGGTCCCTCACCCGATAACGTTGTGATCAACCTCTTCAACGAGCAGAAATACGTGACGACCCCGCTGTGGAACGTCGTTGGCGTTGTGAACGGGACCATCCCCAACGAGGTCATTGTCGTCGGGAATCACCGCGATGCCTGGATCGCGGGCGGCGCGGGCGATCCCAATAGCGGCTCCGCCGTGTTGAACGAGGTTATCCGCAGCGTCGGTGCAGCTCTCAAGGCCGGCTGGAAGCCTCTCCGTACAATCGTCTTCGCCTCGTGGGACGGAGAAGAGTATTCGCTCATCGGTTCGACCGAGTGGGTTGAGGAATACCTCCCCTGGCTATCTGACTCGGCCGTCTCTTACCTGAACGTCGATGTCGGCGTTCGCACGCCTCACTTCGATGCCTCTGCCGCCCCGCTTCTTCACCGGCTTCTACGAGAAGTAGTCACTGCCATCCCGTCCCCCAACCAGACAGTCCCCGGCCAGACCGTCGGCGACCTCTGGAACGGCCGCATAAAACCCATGGGATCAGGCTCCGACTTCACCGCCTTCCAGGATTTCGCCGGCGTTCCTTCCCTCGACTTTGGCTTTGGCGGGCACCGCCCCGAAGACCCGGTTTACCACTACCACAGCAACTACGATTCGTTCGCCTGGATGACCAACTTCGGCGACCCGGGCTTTGAGTACCACCGGGCCATGGCACGCGTCTTGGGCCGCACCCTCGTCGAGCTGGCCAATCGCCCCATCATCCGCTTTAACGCGACCGACTACGCCGACGCTCTCGTGAACTACGTCGATCAGATCGAGTCCAGGCTGTCCACGGCCACCACTACTTCGGACTCCAGCGACTTGGACCTCGCCACCCTGTCCGAGGACGAGATCTTCAACATCCGCTCCCGCGGCGGTCGTTCCGACACCTTCGCAGGCCCAGGGGCCGCCGCACTCGCGCCCCGCGGCGACCCCACGGACGTGAAAGAATCTCTCGCCCACCTCCGCTTCACGCTCGCCGAGCTTCGCGCCAAGACGGAACGCCTCGACGCCGCCGCCCAGTGGGTGGACGACACAATCCGCGCCGGCGTGCCCTGGTGGAAGCTCTGGACGCGCGTCAAGCTCGGCCTGGCTTTCGTCTGGGTCAACAAGGCCTACAAGGGCTTCGAGCGCCACTTCCTCTACCCGGAGGGCCTCGACGGCCGGACCTGGTTCAAGCACGTCGTCTTTGCTCCCGGATTGTGGACGGGGTACGCCGGTGCGGTGTTCCCCGGCTTGCAGGAGAGTATCGACTCCCAGGACTACGTCAACGCCGTTCGATGGGCAGGCATCATCAATGATGCTCTCGAGGCTGCACGTAAGAGCATTTCGTAGTATCGAGGTCGTTGCCACCCGCTGCGGGGAAGAATGAATAAAGATGGGCGGGTTTTTCTTCTTCTTTTCTTTTCCTGCCTCGAGACTGCATCGACTTCTAGCAAGTGTGACGTATGGCAGTGAAATGGATATCCAGGCACAGAATTACATATAGAAAAATACCACCTAGTTGAAAGCATTCAGTCTAGGAACTAAGCACATCAAATCAAGCTTTTGGACATGGAACTTCAAGAGATTCAATCCCCATCCTGACACTTGACAACGAAAAAAAAAAAAAAGAAGAAAAAACCCCCCCGGTTATGCTTAGTCTGTGGAATTATCTAATGCAGCTTCTACCACTCTCAGAATCGCATCGTTCTATTCCGCTGTATTGTACAACATGCAGGTCATCGCCTTCTTCTACGCACATCCAAAGGAGTGCTCCTCTATACTGGGTCCCGCCCTTAGAACTTATACACCTGGTCAGACGAGTACCCGAGCTCCTTCAAGATGCCAGAGAGCTCGCCCTGATCCTTAGGGCTCTTCTTGTTCCCGGAGATGGAGTTCATCATGCCGGGGGGGCCGCAGACAAAGACCTTGATGTTGCCCGTCTTGGGCTCGGGGAGAACCGTCTTGAGGAGGGTCTTGTCGATGTAGCCGGCGGCGCCATGCCAGTCCTTGGACGGGTTGTCGAGGACATAGAAGGCCCGGAAGCGCTGCGGGTAGGTGTTCTCCAGCTCGGCGAACTCCCGGCGCAGCAGGATGTCGTCCTCGGACACGTTGCCGAAGACGAGCGTCACCTTGGTCTTGTCCTCCGGGTTGCTGAAGATGCCGCGGGCGAGCTGCCACATGGGAGTGATGCCCGTGCCACCCGCCACCAGGGCGATGTGCTCGTGCTTGTTGGGCTCCCAGGGATACTTGGGCAAGGGTCCCTTAATGTCGAGGCGATGGCCGGGGACCATGTTGTGCAGGTGCGACGACATGGGGCCGTCGGGGTACTTCTTCACGAGGAGGTCAATGTAGCCCTTGGCGTCTATCCGACGACGGAAGGATGCCATGTCAGCAAGACGGAACGAGGACAAGAGAACCAGAAAGAGGGTGCGCGTTAAAAGAAAGCAGGGGGTGCAGCCTACCTTCATCGCTTATGGGCGTGTACGGCCGGAGAACGGCCTTCTCCATCTCAGGGCCCTTGTACTTGGTCAACAGGGCACTCGCGATATGCAGGCCCGAGACCTGGTCCTCCTCGGGCAGCTTGAAGCGGAAACGCTTGGTATTGTGGTTGACGATCTCTACGTCCTCCAGCACGAGAGAGAGCCAGCCCTGATCGCCGCCGGTAAACGCCTTCTTCGGCGGCTGGCCAGTCAGGTCGCTGGCTGCGTTTTTGACCTTGGCCTCGGCCTTCTGAGCCGCAGGCGTGCCGGAGAGGAAATAGTACCCCGCCCCCGCCAGGCCGACGGCACCGGCGGCGTAGAGGGCAGCGTTGGAGCCTCCCTTGCTGGGTTCGGTGGCATAGCGACGGACGTGCTATAGGAGAAAATCAGCGGCTCAATTCTCCACCTAGGATGTTCGCTCGGATTCGAGTAGAGAGAAGAGAAGAAACTGGTCCATCGCGCGGACCCGAGTAGAGAAAGAGAGAGGCATTGAGGTGCCGCCGGGCGAAGAATCATCTAGGGTAATACTGCACTGCGTACCTGCTTAAGGGGCTGCGCGGCCCGGAATGCTGACCTGGCAAACATTTTGGCGCTCAATTGGTAGTGAAGAAATGTAAATTACTTCTCCGGTGATAGTTGAAGAAGTTGAGGTTGAGGAATGTCGCGACGATTGACTAATCAATTGAGGTAGGTACGGCACTCCGGAATCAGGAACAGCCGAGAAACTGACGCAATTGAGTGATGACGTCGACAAAGTACCACGTGATCAGATGTGGTGTGTGTTGCTGACTAATCGATCATCTTTCCTAGTGGCCAACCGACTCCGGAGAGGACCTAATTACCTCGGAAGTGTATGAGTGCTTAAGAAGACGAATAGTCTGGGTAAGGTACTAAACATTTAAGTGCCTTCGTAAATACCGGGTGCTATACTAACGTATAATCGAAGTGATGTGGTGAAGTACTCAGTTCGTCGGGCCTCAAGGTTTGTTGGAGAGCCGAAATACAGGGTCGTTGTATTTCCATTCACAACCTGCTACAGAGGTACAGCCAACTCTACCTAAGCGCAGTACGCTCCTGGCGCCGTGTTGCTTCCACCAGATCACTGCGAAGACTGCCTATATCTCCTCGCTCACTGCTTGGCCAACCCTTCCTTGCCCCTTTCTCTCGGTTGACTAGGTACATCAGCATGTCTCGTTGCACTTTTCCTTGACCCCAAAGCTAGGGGGAAGAAGCTGGACACGTTCAGAGTCATTGGCGCCATCGTCCATTCTGCCATGCATCCTCCCTGGCAAGCGTTTTGACTCTCAGAACGTGTCTCCGGCTTATGCGGTCACAGTTAGAGGAGCATGGGAAGAGCTGACTTGGGGTCACCGATCTCATGCATCAGTGAGTAACTCATGGGCCGCGGTTTCGGTATTCATATTCGTTTCTCGTGTACGGAGACCGTATGGGGACCCATAAAACAGACGGAGGGCTTGCCTAGATGTTTATCTGGAGTTGGGGGATCACCGGGCCATGTCTTCTGCCGCCTCTGCCGTACCGTCATTATCATTGTGTGCTGTAGTGGCTTTTGTCGCTGTCGCCGTCGCCTTAGGTGTGCTCGACCGGTCCACGTGCTTGGCTTCCGCCGCCTCGGCGTCAGGGTTAACTACATGGGTTCCCGAGTCCTTGGACTGACGATCTTGGCTTGAGCGGCGTAGGGGCCCGGCATCCTGATGCGAGGAGAGTGTCGGTGTATTCGCTTGGCTTCCACCTCGTTGCCCATGGTAGTGTATGACCTGAGGTGGTGGTTGCCCGGCTTGGATGCCCAATTGCTGCGTCGGATAAGGGTCGAGATCTTTGCTCGACGTTGAAAAAGTCGACACAACGGGCTGGTGGTACCCATTGGTGTTTGTCGCAGCCGCGGCCTGTTCGAACGATGTGGCATGGTCAGCTTGGGTCGGAGTGCCGACTTCGTTGGGCGACGTCGTTCCCTCCACGATATGCCCGGCTAGACTGTTCATGCCGCCCTCGATGTCACGGAGAAGCCGGACATATTCCTCGGGAACCAGGCCGCTTTCCCGTGTCTTTGGATCCTCCGCTACCAGCCATCCTTGTCCATGTCGATATGAAACCCAGATAATCTGGCCTTCGACCAACGGCAGCTCGTTTTCGTTCTCCCTTTCAAAGTCGAATAATGCAACAGCCTTCCCGTGCATCTCCTCATCGGGTGAGGTGATGGTGAATTGGTAATCCCTCGAGTACCGAGACTGGTCCGTCTCAAAATAGCCCGGCGACGACATGGCGCTGGAAGCTTCCGACTCGGACCGATATCCGTCATGTTCGGCATATTGTCTCGGGCGCATATCGCCCAGTTGGTACGAGTGCCGTGCCTGATCGGGTGGATAGGTCACGAATTCTCCTCCAGGGCCGTTGGCCTCGCCCCCTTGATTTACATAATAGCGCTCACTGCCATCGCCGCTCGTTCCAGCATAGTATCCTCGTTCCCGGTCGTAATTCGAGGGATCCATGAGTGCGGAACCACCATGCCCATCGCGAGAACTCCGCCCTCGTCCGTGGGCGACAGCAGCCGAAGTCGACTTGTGCTTGCGATGCCGCGAGCTGACCACTGGGCTCTGCAGATCCTCGTCCTCACTCCACGGCGGACCATCCCCAAATTGCATGGGAGGGAGGTTTACCCCCCGACCGAAGCCATCGGTCTCCCAGGAGTTCTGTTCCCAGCTCTTCCTGCTTTCCCAAGCGGCAGGCGGATCGGATAGCCTGCGCGACTCGCTTGCTGGCGTGCCAAGTTCCGATGGAGGATGTGACGGTTCCGCTGGCGGCCCATAGTGCATGGGGTGGACAACCGGGTAGGCAAAATCGCGCACTAGAGTATACGGGAGGCTGGAGGGAAACACGGGGAAAACGTGGGACGGTGGTCTGGAGCGCGAGGGCATCGAGCCCGTCGTCGAGTACTGGGACAGGCGGTTCTTGGAAACGTGCGACATGGGTCTCGCGAGAGTGGAGCGACGGTTCGGATTGGGCGGCGAGGTGACGATAGGTGGTAATGAGGGGTGACTGGGATTCGCAGTCGGTGAGGCAGACGGATCGGTCGGTAGTGATGACAAAACTTGCGACATAACAGCGACGTGCTTAAAAAGTTCGGTGTCGTCGGTGTGGGGTTGCGGCGCCACCGAGGAAATCACAGCGGCTAAGCCGAAGGCTTTCGATCCCGTTGTCGTTCCGTCAGTCGCGTGCTGCTCGGGGCGAGCGTCTTTATCCTTGATTCAAATGTTGTATTGTCGAGGTTGGTGGCAGTCTGGTAGTCTCAGAGAGATAGTGAATGAGAAAGCATTCGCAATTCGAGATGTGCAAGTTGTAGATGGGGTGCCGAGTCAGACAGAGAGGGGACGGAACAGTCGCCCAGTCACGAGGTGGGAAAAAACAAGAGAAAATTATGAGGAAGTGAGCCTTTTGACAAGGGCAGAAGACAAGCGGTTTTGTAGATGTCGCAACAACCCTCAAGGCGTCGCAAACAGACGAGAGGCGTGAAAACGGTCGCAAGCAACCTAGAGCCACGACGGAAAAGGAGCGTAGAGAATGGAAAAGCTGAAGAATGGAGAGGCGTGAGCTGCCCGCTAAGCGGGTGAGCGCTTTCCCAGTTTGCGACAAGTGGATTCGACGCAGAAGAACGTATAAAAAAGACCTCCGTTCTCTTAGGAGACCAGATTAAACCCCAATGTCTTGGTAGGACAAAAATAACAGTGTTAGCGACGGCGACAACAGCCAGAAAAAGTTGTTCGTGATGGGCGACGTTGGTGTGTTGGACGTTAGGGAAGAAAGTGGGTGAATGAGCGGGAGTCGAGTGTTGAGCGTTCGAGCGTGGGGAGGAGAAAAATTAAGTGGACCCAACTCCCTCCCCTCCACTCACAGTACTGTCCTCGTCTCCTACGCCGCTTTTCGACCAGAGCATGTCGACTCCACCTGCTTCTCCCGGTCACTCCACTATCGCCTACAAGGTACGAATACCTACAAAAAGCTGGGGAGTACTCTGACTCCTGCCTACCTCCTCCGTGCAGTATTCGTACTCGGTAATTACCTACTCTACTCCCACCATTACCACAGCCTAATTAAAGTTGCCAATCCGCCAAAGTCCGCCAAAGTCCATCCGTTCTGTTGGGCGTACTCCGGTACCCCGTACTTCGTAATGTCGCACCGCTTAACGCCATTTCCCTAGCAACCTTGGGCTTCGATTGGTTCTGGACAACTGAGCACCCGGGATTCCTTTCTCTTTCTCCGCTACATCCCGGATCGTCTCCTAGGTAAGCGCCTCTCGCCGTGATGCAGTGGCTGGAAGCCATTAACACAGTCAGTTGGTAGCTAAGAGACCAGTGCCTGTACGAGTACCTTATATCAAAAAGTTACCCACTACCTTACCTACCTACCTCGCACCTTTCCACACGAACATGCACGGAGACACATGGAAAATGGTAGAGCACTGAAGCCACTTGAGTTGAGCGCACCTATATTCCTACACCGTAATGCCATGACTTGCGTGGACTCTTTGGAAGGCCATCCTCAAGGGCTGTAGACGTGGTCGCAGTTTTGGCTCATATGGATCCAGAGCCTCTGGCCGGCAGCAGTTACCATTATTACCGAGTGGATGGTTATTCTACGAAGCAAAGTCCCCGAAGCATGGCCTCGCGCAAATCACACACACCCAGGAGTGGAGACTACGGAGTACGATGTACGAAGTGCAATAATATCGGCTTCTTCCTTCTCATATAGAGGGGCAGGGGAGGCTCTAGTAAGCCAAGACGATAATTCAATAATTCAATGTCCATATCAGAAAGCTAGTATGGCTCCCTTCGGACTCTCCCGGGCGGGGTTCGAATCAAAGCTTCTCAGATTTGCATCCTGCCTACACTGCATTTAATCCGCGACTAGCGGTGAACTTTGGCCCGCGATATATCCGCATCGTTTTGAGGACACTGCACTTCGCAGAATTGTTCACGGGAGCATTCCCGGTGATATGAGTGTTAGAGCCTGGAGAGCAGCACAGCAGAACAAGCGACAGGAAGAAGATTACCTAGCCGTCGCTGCTCATCGGTTCCACCTGCATAAACGATTCGGGGAGAAAATGTAAGTCGTTCCCGCGTGAAATATTACATGGTTGCTTCCCACTGATACTCTCTGTGTGGATGAAGTATATGTCGTTAACAAGTTTAGACATAGATGAGAGATCGCATAACACCAACGTTGCACTTCATCTTGGTGGTGCTTCGTGAGACTTCGTCCGTAAAACGTAGGCTACGTGACCCGTGCCCTATCCAGAGGGAGGGATCACGGAGTTCTATTTTTGGCAATTGTACTTGCCACCCCACTGAGCTGCCCCTAAACCCATAAATATTGGCGCCCTTAATTTTGGTCGTCTGTTTCAGGTCTGTCATCGCCTGCCAATCAAAAGCATGGCAAAGATCTCAAGGCTTGCTGGTACGTACCTACAAGAAAAGTCGGGCACTCTGTACCTGTTGCATTATCCGATGTTCACCCGACCAGATCCGAGGCACGTATTTCGTAATTCGTAATAACCTAGAGCCTCGTAATCTCGTCTCTTCCAAATTCTCCAGACCTCAGTCATGACCGAATTTTCGCATGGCACACACATCCAGTGTCTTGGAACATAAAGCTTCCCAACTCTGAGTTGCAATTGAGCCTTGCCTAAGGTAGATAACAACTTTCCGCTTCTGGTCGTCGATACAGCCGCGTTTCTTTAAGGGTAAGAATGACAACCTGCATTTGCTACCATCCTGCTCGCGTGATGATTCCCATATTGGAGCTGTCTGAATCTTATGTGGACACACTTTATTACCTTACGCTAAACCATCTGAAATGCCGCACTTTACTGCCATCTGTATTCGTTTCTTTCAGTCGGTTGTTGCGAGAGACTAACTAGACGAGCACATCCTCTAGGCGACACGGGAACGATTGCGTTCGTCACCATCTTCAACCTCACTGAAGCCAAAGTCTACAATCTTACTTTGCATCGCCACTCATCCAAAGGAATTCCTCTGGATCTTGCAGCCGTCGTATAGTCCTCTATCATGGATACCACCAACGGCGCTGCCGCCCAGGTGGCCGCGTCCGCTGGTAACGATGGCAATCCCAACGCCAACGGGTCTCCCCCACCTTCCGACTCTGATGGCTTCAAGTTGAAATTTTCTACCGTTTGTGCAAGCAACCAAAATAGGTACGTCGCATCCTCAGCAAGGCATCCTTCCCATAGACTGTCTGACATGAGCATGTACAGGTCGATGGTTGCCCATCTTCGACTTTCGCAAGCGAACTATCCCGTTATCTCCTTCGGTACAGGCTCCCTTGTGAGGCTTCCCGGACCATCCATCACGCAACCTAACGTGTACCACTTCAATAAAACATCCTATGATAGTATATACAAAGAACTAGAATCAAAAGATACCCGTCTGTATAGGGCAAACGGTGTTCTTAACATGGTAGACCGAAACCGTCATGTCAAATGGGGACCCGAGCGATGGCAGGATTGGCAAATTGGCATGCCACGGCTAGATAAAACCCAAGATCGTGGCAGTGCGGGCACAGAAGGTGGGGTGGTCGATGTGGTAATTACATGCGAGGAACGGTGCTGGGACGCGGTGATCGACGACCTCATGGCCCGAGGAGCGCCGCTTAACCGTCCTGTTCACGTCATCAACGTCGACATTAAAGATAACCACGAGGAGGCCAGCGTTGGAGGGCGGGCCATCCTGGACCTCGCGAACGACCTCAACGCTGCGGCCGTGGAAGAGAGGAAGACGGTGGGAGCGAATGCCTTTGATACTGGGAACGCATCTGCCCGGGCCAGCTTCGACGAACGGGTTCCCGATATACTGGCAGCTTGGCAGGAGCGCTGGCCACACCTCCCTGCTCTCTGGACATTGGCTTGGTTCTAAACGGCTTCTTGGGTAGGGGTTTGGTGCTGCCGCATCTCGGGTTGCTTGGTAATTTCTTTGAGCGTGGCGTTCCGGCTGAGGGAAGAATTCTGGCCTCGACAGAAAGGGAATTGACGATTTTTGGTTTAACAAGATGTTCTGGGGCAGTATCGATACGAACAGATACAACAAGGCCAGGGGATACCGGACAAACTGGCGCGTGGGCCTGCAGAAGATGCCACAACAGCGGTATAAACACATCGGTTTTACTGGATTACATAATACTGGACGCATGCCATTCCTCCAATGTCCATCGTTCACTGGAATATGATAGTGAAAACCGTTCTCAACGCGTCAAGCCCGGTCGTCTGGAATCTTGCCTTTGCCTCTTCAACAGCTTGGATAGCTTCGTCCTTCTGCTCCATACTCTGCTTGCTTAAAAGGACGGACATGGCACTGAGCTTTTGGTGGCCTAAGAAGACATGATACATGCCGGCTAATGAAACTACAAGAAACCGATCGTAGCAGCAAGGATCGACAGCTTGCCCTTCCAGAAAACTTCTGACCAGATGGCGTCGGGTCACCATCGAGGCAGAGTGAAAGAGAGGTGGTGAAGCGAGAACAAAGCGGCCAGTGTGCTACTCGCAGACTAGTGTACTGAATTTGATGGTTGGTTTTGTCAGCTTGTCTAGGATATTCCTGATGGGGCGGGGCCTCAATGACATATCGTACCAAGGGATGTCCACTGAGATTTCATGTTCCCGCGGTCACACGCAAATGCTTGCCTGGGCTGTTAGCGCCCGCTGAAATGGCTGAAATACCGACCGCTCCAGACCAACCAGCGCCATGGAGATCAAGCGCCCACGCTGTTTCCTCGTTTCCAGGGCGCTTCTTCTCAGTCGTCCAAAATGCACATAAGAATCCGCGCCGCCCACAAGGTGTAAAGGGTAATACTTCGTAACTGGTAAAGAAAAAGGGCACTTGCGAGTCATTCCAGGCACAGAAGGGTATCATAGGCCAGATCAATACGACGTACGGATAGAAATGCACGAAGGACAGTTGGGACCCTGGTGCGGATACCTCGCACAATAAGCTTAAGGTAATCTCGGGGTACAACCAACGTACTTCGTATGTACACTAGGTACTTCGCTTGCCCTTGGCAACCCCCCAAGTCCACTACCTTACCTTACCAACCGATATCCTTATGTTTCCCCCCTTAAATGCTCGTCCTTTGTCGAATTGAAGAGTGTGTCGTCCCCAAATACTCCGTCCAAAAGATCAAATCCTTTCAAGCTATGTAAGTCGAAAGGAAGGGACAAAAAAATAACCAAGGGAAAAAAGAAAAGCGAAGACCAGGAAGACGGATCATAGAGGAGACGAATAAGATTGAGAAGTAGGAGAGGAAGTATCTTTCAAGTTTTCTTGTTATGGCCTTTCCCACCCGAGGCCACCAGTTAGTGCTCCCAACAGTACCCTCGAGGTACTTTTACCCATCTCCACCTCATTTCCCCCTAAGATCGCGGGACCATGGAATCCACCCCTTTAAGGACTTCCTATTGGGTAGCTGATGGTTCTTCCCCTGTTGGACCGTCTCAAGGTTTCATGCTTTCGTCTGTCGCTAGTCGGTCACGGATATCTTGTTCTCCCCTTCAGCAGAGTACTGAGTAGTCTTTGGCTTTGGTTCTGGTTCTGGCTCTTGCTTCCAGACAAACGCCGTCTTGGCCTTGTTGCTACCATCTACACACACACACACCGTAGCACAAGACACTGAATTCCTCTCCTTCCCTTTCCCTTCACTGTCTATTGGATAGGGGACCGACCCGACAGGTCACGATTTCGAGACGCAGACGACAAGAGGACCATCGCCCTTTACGACATACGCGACACTGGAAAGCATCTTTGCTGACCGACCGGCCAACCCCCTCTACCATTCTTTCCTTCCTTCCCTCGACTCTCCGGTCATCTAAAGACAGCCGGTGCGAATTGCTCGACGACTCGACTCGACTCGACCCGGCTCTGATATCCTTTATCCTTTGTTCGCAGCCTCTTGCCCTTCCGAGCACGACGTTGTCCTCCCCGAGGTTTGGCCGCCTCGACACTCTGTCTTCGACAAGTCTGCTGGCCACTGTATCATGAACGGACCGAGTGCGCCATTATCTCCAGTCTCTCTAGGTGGCAGCGAGTGGTCAGGGGTCTCGAAATATCAATCCATGGCCGATGATAATTATTCCAATAACCCGGGGAACCTCGCGTCCCCTCCTAACTCGGGCGGTCCCAATGGGCCCATGATGAATGGCTTTGGACCCGGCCCTCGAAGCGCCGGCGGCCCGTCCCCTCCCCCTTCCATCGGACGATCAAGTGCAGGCACCAACCTATATGCAAGGAGCGAGAGCGGCAGGAGCCTGCGAGAGGAGCACAACGAAGCCGTCTTGGGGACCCACTACATCGCCCTTCGAGACTACTTGAACGGACGTGACGGAAGTAAAGGAAAACCCCCGAATAAAGCCCAGGACAAGCTGCTCCGCCTATCTGCCGTCCAGTTCCTCGAACTCAGTACCGACGTTTACGATGAATTGATACGGAGGCAGGCAACTGCGCGGAGGCCCCCTGGGCCGGGGCTTGATCAGGGTGGTCCTCCACCCTACTTGGTACCCGAGCCGAACTTCCATCCCAAGCGCAACCAGGCTCGTCAAAAACTCTCATCACTCGGCCCACCACGGTTCCGGGATCTCGCTACAGACGTGTATTGCGAGTTGGAGAGGAGATTTCCGCGATTCATTCATGGGGACATACCGCGGCCCGGCAGTACCATCTCGGTGCGTGCTACGCCTAGTCGCTCGGGGACGCCGGTTAACGGCATGGCAAACGGATTCCCGCCCAGGAACCAGAGTCGAATGCGCCGACCATCCGACGCTAGCTCGATTCGAGGCGTGCTGCCACCCCAGGATCCCTACGGGGTGCCTCCTTCGCCCGGGCTGCCAAACGGCGACTATGGCCGGCCGATGCAGAAGCAATTCCAGAGCAATACGATCGTGCCAAACAAGAGTACCATGATCGAAGAAGACGATGACGCTAGCCCCGAAACTGAGGACGATCCCCCGTCTTCGGGTCTGGTTGGCACCAGCGCCATGGCAAACGGACAGAGCCAGGAGAAGAACGTGACCACTGAGGTAAACAAAAAGAAAAGAAATTGTTGTGTCTTTACTCTGACACTCTCGCTCTTTGGCAAGATCGTACGGGACAGCGACTAACCTGCTATCTTTTTTTTCTTCTTTTCTAGGCCGATAAAAAGCTCATAGAAGACTACCAAACACAAATGCGCGATCTCCAGCAAAAACTGGAAAGCGTGGAGAACGCCATGAAGAAGAAGGATGAGGAGATGTCTAGTGCATTGGATACCGAGCGGGCCCGTGCGACTGCTGCCGACCTCGACAAGAAGGAGCTGGTCGACCTACGACTCGATTTAGAGAATAAGCTGGCGGAGGCTCAAGGTTTAAACAACAACTTGAAGCAAGAGTTGGACCGCATGAGGCAAGAACAGGATCAGATAAGGAACGCATACGCCACGGAGGCCCGACAATTGAGAGATGAGTTGGAGGAGTTGAGACAGTCCAGCATGGCGGATATGGCAGTCTCTCAGTCGGCGAGCCATGCACCTTCCGACTCGGAATTGCAGCAAGAAAACGAGCAACTACGGATGGCACTGGAAGAACAGCGGCGGGTGACGGATGAGGCTCGCAGAGAAGCACGGGAGTTTTTGAAGGAGATGAAGATGCTATCGCAACAGAGCAACTCGACATGGGAAAGGCAAAGCGAGCTGGAAAAGACAATCGAGAACCTGGAACACGAAGTGCGGGATTGGAGAAACCGCTATGCTCGCACCAAGACGCAGTTGCGAAATTTCCGGGCGTCGTCTCTGGGCCTCACCATCGACCAGGACGCCGGTAAATACGTGAGGGATAAGGGCTTCACCGAGGACAACGGACTCGTCAAGGATGTCCACGTCACAAAGTTCCAGATCTCCGTCGACGAGCTCCTACAGCGGGCACGGTCCGATAACCCCGACAAGGTCATCGATGCCATGAAACATGTTGTGGTCAGTGTCCGGCGGATCACGAAGGATATTGACGAGTCTGGGCCAAGCGACGAAGCCTCGGTTCAACAGCGGGCCAAGCTGAAGAGCAAGGTCTCGTCCACAGCGAACAACTTCATCACGGCGTCCAAGAACTTCGCTGCGGCGGCAGGCATTTCGCCCGTCTCGTTGCTGGACGCCGCCGCCTCCCATCTCGTGGCTGCTGTGGTTGAGCTGCTCCGAACCGTCAAGATCCGCGCCACCCCGGCTGGTGAGCTGGAGGACGACGACGACGGAACCATCACGCCCGTCGACTCGACCGGGTTCTTTTCTCCCCGTGCCAATTCTGTTCAACAGCCCCCCCCACAACAGCAACAACAACAACAACAACAACAACAACAAGACGCGATCCCCCCACCTCGGCCCTTTCAGGGCCTAGGCGGTATCAGGGCCAGTGCGGACTCTTCGGCCTACAGTCCCGTGAGCTCCCCGCGTCAATCTGTCGGCCCCTACGGTCGCCGCCCCGCGTCCCGGGAGACCAACGGAATGACCAACGGCATGGCGTATATGGGGCTGAACAAGAACGTCGCCAACGGGTCAGGACACGGCTACGATGCCTCGGGGGACAACAAGCGTAACGAGGACCTCAAGATTTACCTGGAGGACCAAACGGCGATCCTTGTCCAGACCATTCAAAACCTGGTCAACTCCATCCGAAGCGATGCGACGATCGACCAAATCAGTGCGGAAATCGGCGGCATCGCGGGAGTCGTGGGCAACGTGGTTGCCGAGACCGAGCGATCGGGCAACGGCGACCTGACGGCCCGGCTGGCTACTTGCCGCGACACGCTGCTGGAAGCGGGTGACCGCGGCCACGAGCTCGCCTCCGCCTCCGGCGGCTCCTCCGGCTCCAACGACCGGGACTGGAGGATGTGGACGCAGACGCTCCCGCCGATTGCGTTTGAGATTGCCAGGGAGACGAAGGAGCTCGTGCAGAGAGTTGATCGCCTCGTCCTGGGCGGCGGCGGCGCAGACGACTTTTCATAAGCGGTTTGCCAAATACCTAGGCTTGGGGGCTACCTGACTGAAGGGACCTACCTCATCCCATGGCAGACCCAAGTCTTGTTTTGCTGTCCGGATACCAGTACATCTTTTTTTGGCGCATTGTGATATATATGTTGATCAAATGAACATGGAGCAGTCAGCGTGCTCTGGGATTTTCGGGCGTTGACGTCGGCAGGGATGCCGGTAGGACCGTTTGTAGCACCCTGCAATGCCTATTCCGGCAGCCTTTTGTCTAGAGGAGTTCCCCCGGGTCCTTGGGAAGAAACGCATTTTTGTCCATCAGGCTCACGATGTCAAATTCTTTTTCTTTTTTTTTTTTTCTTTTTTGAGAATGTTGCATTTGTGCATGCGGATTCGGGTACATAGACTTTCACTTCTCGTCCTACGTCGTCTGTCTTCCTATGACTTTCGGGCTGTGTAGCTGTGGCTCTAGCTTGAACAGTCGGGCTTCAGGGAAAGAAAGGTCGGAGTGGCTCGTCTTTTTTCTTGTACGAAGCGTTCTTCAAGTTCTCGCCATCGGCACGGCTTTGCATGATTGGGGACGCCGGGAGGAAGAGACGCAACCAAGTGTGGGAAGCGACGAAGATTATATGGCATTTATTTTTGTTCTTTCGTGTTCATTTTTTTTTTCTTTTTCTTTTCTGTTTTATCTTGCTATTGGTGTAGATGTCAGGGAAAGTTTGGCAATGGAACGCATCACGCGTGACGACTATCTTGTAAGCTCCCAAGGTAAAACTGTATCGGCTCGGCACCGCCTCGGCACCGCCAAGACCGCCCGTTTGTCTGCAGGTGGAAAGTCCCCGTGAAGTACCACGAACTTCACTTGGATGAATCCACACACAATTTTCCGTACATTATTTGTGTTCTGACAATTCGTATTACGTCGTTGCTTTTTCGCAGCCAAGCATGAAGTACACGTGTAGTGTATATACTGAAGAGGGAAACAAAGAAAAGAAAACAACTACATCGACGTGGCTCGGCGCTAGTTGCTTCGAAGCAGACTCGGTGACCAGGGTAGGAAGGGCAGGCGAATGGGGTTCGACAACTGGGCCTTCGCAGGCCTCCGGGAGATAAAGCTACCCCGCTAAATAAGGGTGATGAAAGGGCTCAGGCTCTGATTGGTCTTACATTGAGAAGGCTCAGCCCTGTTCTTCAACGAGGATTGACCGCAGTACCGTACCTAGGTACCTTGAAGACTCGGAGGCCTTCGTATAAAGTACCTAAGTACCTTAATATAAGGTAAGGTACTTTATATATGACACGCGACGAGCTTGGATCCCAAAGCTAGCCGAAAAGGGCAGGGATTTCCCCGGTCACCCCTGTCAGTCATTTTCTCAGTCGGGTCATCCCAAGCGATGGGACCGATTCTTGGCGTCTTGAGGATCCAAACGTCGACCAGGCATAGTAATGACATGTCCTAATCCTAGGCCACCCCCCCCTTACCCTTACTGTCAACTACATAAGGATACCTGTATGTGCATAGCTGGTAATGGGCCAATGTCTCTACCTTGTCTTGAATTCTGGATCTCCTCCCACAGCCCGGCTGAGCCCCAAGCCCCAATTCCAAGCCGTCGACAATCTCTCTTATTGCTCAGATCACCTCCCTGTCCATGCAGCAGCAGCCATGCACAGTCCCTTCGCGGTAGGCTAGCGGCTATCCGTCGAGGAAGAGGGAGGGAGAGGGGTGTGTCCAAGGGTGCCTCGATATCCGACATGCATGACCCTCCTGCTGCTAGACTCTGCGGATGATGAAGTAGTATGGCATGCGCCGTGATAGAAAAGGGTCGTGGTCGCCCAACCCAGCCTTATGTTGACTGAAGCCTACTCTATTGCCTCTCTCTCCTTTCTTTGCGCCCCTTTCTTCTCCTGGTTGCTTTCCCACGTGGTAGAAGAAGCCCGTGTTTTCACTCCCAGCAGACCCCCCCTTATCATATTATAATCACCTGCCTCTTCTTGATCTTGTCTTCTCTCCCTCCTCCCACTTGGGCTATCGTCTCACCAAAACCTCTCGTCAAGATGGACACTACAAACACCACGACCCAATACTCCGCCGAGCGCCCCGCGGGCCAGGAGCATATTCCTATCTATCCCCGCGGCTTCATCGGCCTCCGCATCGCCCAGTCGGTACTCGGCGTCACGACCCTCGGCCTTTCCGCTTTCATTGTCGCTACCATCCCCTTTGACGGTGCCGCTTTGATGTTGTTCGTCGTAAGTAGTCGTCTCCCTCTCCCTCTCTCGGGGCCTTCCTTGCTTCGGGTTGGGGCTTCGGGGCAGGTTTTATCTTTGCCTATGTCAAAAGCTCACCAAAGAACTACAGGCCATCGCCACCATTATCACCTCCATTTGGCATCTCGTCTCCCACTACTCTGCCCCGGCGCTCTACAACTACTGGGCCGTGCTCGCCTTGGATATCTTCCTCGTCTTCTTTTGGCTGATTTCCTTCGCCATCCTCGCCGACAGGACCGCCTGGGTTTTCAACATATTTTCCAACAACTGTAGCTTTGGTGTCTGTTATCAACCCGCTGGCCTTGATCTTGCCCTCTCCTCGTGCATGGCTGCCGCCTCTGCCCTCGGTGGCATTCAATTGTACGTGCATTCCCACCTCGCCCCTTATTCTCCTCTCTCTCGAGTTACTAACTGGAAAATGCACGCAGTGCCCTCTTCATTACCTCCCTTGCCATCCACGGCATCGCTCTCCACCGCCACCGCAAGGCCGGCCTGCACTGCAACCCCCTCAATGGAGCCGCTCCCGCCATTGCGCCGGCTGTCGTCAGCCCTCAAGACCTGGAGAAAAACGCCGCTGTCTCCGCCGCCGCCGCCCCCGCCGCCGTCCCCGCCGAAGCCTATGGCACCCCGGCTCCTCAGACCCAGGCCCCCTATAACCCAGACCTGAATCGCGCCGCTAGCCCTCCCGCCGGCTACTACCCGCCCGTCGCGCAGCAGCCCCAGCCCTACTCTCCCCACCAGCAGCAGACCCCGCCACCCGCGAGCGACCCCTCTTACTACCAAGCCGTGTCGCCTCCGGGCTCTGTGCAACCCCACGAGGTGCCGGTGCAGCAGGCTTATCCGCAGCAGCAATAAGTGATTCCCTTTCTCTATAGAAGTCGGTGAGGTCCGAAGAAGATGCGTGGAGGCGATGGGGGCACCTATACTATATGTTGGATTGATAAGACAAGGGGGTGGGGGGGTAACGCGAGGGAATGTTAGGTTGAGAGATAGGTTCGAGTTGCCTTTTACTGCGTGCGATATAATGAGGCCGGGGGACGGGGCGCGGCAACAAGAATCTGGGGTACATCAAACCGAGTGCAGGGAGTTTACTGATACCAATTCATTTATATGTCCTTGTCGTTAACACATGTCATCTTGGTTGTCACGCACGTCCATGAGCCAGCCCAAGTCGAGGAAGACTGCGGCAGGGAGTTGGACAGGCATCGAAGCGGGCTCACCCACCCCTGACTCCAAGCCGCCTATGTGGCAGCCCAAGACTTACATGGTATATCTGCATTCTATTTTGTACATGCTTACAGAGTCAGAAGCGAAGGATAAATCAAATCATTCCGAGTTGTTCAATCCAGAGTCATGAGACTCTTCATTCAAATAGGAAAAAAAGAAAGAAGAAAAAAAAAAACCTGGAGGTTGTCAGTTTGAGGAGCACTAGCACAGAGACAAATCCTCTCGGGGCATCAGTTCAGCTTGGTAGCTGAAATATCCGATCGACCGTCATCCCAGTCCAAGTTCTCCATAGGCACCCTCCCCGGCTCGCTGCCCTGCCCGCATGTGCCCGACATTCCGCCCGTGGTTGTCAAAGAAACTGCTGTGCATGTGAGGACGGTGGAGGAGGATGAGGAGAGACCGAAGAGGGCTGGCCGTAGCCGTAGCTAGGGGCGAAGGTAGCTTGAGGGGTCGACGGGAACGGCGAGTAACCGGGGGAGTCCGCACGTTCCGGTGCAGCGGGCTGCCGGCCTGCCATTTCACCTCCGTAGTGCACCTGGAGGTGCGCTTGCTCGTGCATGTGAGCCGCTTGGTACGTGAGGTGCGGTGCGTGAGGTGAACCGCCCGAAAACGAGATCCGCGGCCTCGCCCTCGCCCTCGCCCTCGCGTCAGGCGACGAGCCTCGATGACCACCACCAACATGCACATGCACAGGACGATGGGGCGTCGTTCTTTCCTCCGCATTCTCCTCCTCCTCGTAGTCGTCGTCGCGCTCTTCGTTGAGCAGCGCGCGCTGGGAGTCGTCCTTCCCCAGGACGCGGGACCGGAACCTCGTGTACTCCCCCATCAGCTTTTCGACCTGCTTGAAGTGCCAGTACCGCAGCTGCGGCTGGAACTCGGGCGGTTGCTGCTCCGCCTCGTCTCGTGCCATGGCCGCCGCGATCATGAAGGCGTTTCGGATCTGCCGGCCGTTCCAGGCGCCCTTGCCCTTGGGGTGGGCGTCGCAGTGGTCCGCGGCAAACTGGAGGATGTCGCTTTCCACGGGGAGCAGCGGTCTCTGTCCGCTTACTTCGCTCTGCTGTTTTTCGGCTTGCCGGAGCCGGTCGATGTTGATGCGGAAGACGTTCAGAACCTCAGGCTTGCCGAGCCGCTTATAATGCAGTATGAGATGAATCCGTGACGAGATGGCTTGGTCGATTTTGCCAATGCGGTTGGTGGTGAGGAAGAGGATGCCGTTATAATACTCCAGCTTTTGCAGGAAGACTAAGTCGTCATGCGTGTTAGTATCGAGGTTCTGTCGTCCCAGCCTCAATCGCTACATATAGTCTCTCCAGTCGTTTCACACGTGCATGCGGCGGAACGTACTTGATACCAGACCGTTCCGTTCCAGATTGTCTGTCGGGGAGCGCGCGGAGAGGAACACGTCGGCCTCGTCTAGCAGGAGGATGGCGTCCCATAGATCTGCCAGCCGAAACACCTCTTCCAGCCGTACCTCGGCGCTCCATATTCCATTCAGGTTCCCGCACGAGATGGAGAAAAGAGGCCTCTTGAAGGTCTGAGCAACGGCTTCGGCCGTGGCCGTCTTCCCGACGCCCGGTTCGCCGTGGAGCATCAGAATGAGGCCCTTGCCTTTGCCGCGGATGAAATCCTGCGTAATGACCGTCCCGTGGGCGTTGTGGCTCTGCTTCTCGATCGTCCTCTCAATGGCCTTCCTCCTCAGATGTGACTGGACAGCGCTCCGAATGGTCCGCTTGTGGCCGTCGGAGAGCTGGATGTGACTGAAGCCGTCGCGTTGGTGGTCGATGGGCTTCATGTACCGAACGTCGACGGGGGCAAACCGGCCCTCCTTGAGTGAGTAGACGAAGACGCGGCGGGGGAGCAAAGCCAGGTCCTCGCCGTCCGGGACGTGGCTTTTGTCCTTGCTTGGGCCCAAGTACCTGTCCTGCTCCAGGTAGCTGTGGCCTTGGAGCGCTTCGATGTCGTCGCCGTTTACGATGACCTCGTAGCCCACCGATACGAGCTTGGTGCGTTTTTCGTCCGTCCAGACGGTAATGAGGTCTTGACCCGTGCTGGTCTTGCTCAGGCCGGTCCTACTGTCCCACATGTCCGGCTCGTCGAAGATGTTCTTGAGGGTAGGATCCCAGTTGAAGGCTTGATCGAAATCGACGATGACATCCCCATTGATGTGCTTGGGCTGAGCATGGTGGTTATAGGCGCCGCGGGCGTTCCTATCGTGGACGGGATATCCGATGGGATCCGTCACCAGGGTGATACCATCGTACGACATGTGCCACTGGGAGACGCACTTGGTAAACATGCTGCCGATGGCCTTGCGCTCTTCCAGAAGCTTCTCGGCCTTGGGCGCGTACCGAATCGGATAGAATTCGAGGTCGCGGATGTCCTTCTCGTTTTCAAACTGGGGTATGCGGAACTCGGCAGAGACGGAGCCGTAGCTCACGCCGTCGTAGTCCAAATAGTACATGGTGGCCTCGAAGTCCGTCTTCTCGGCTTCATGGTCGACCTGTGCGGTGGGCGCCGCATACGGTACGACTATCTCGTGAAGCCTCCATATCTTCTGTCGCATGATCGACTGGTGCGACACGTTGGGGTTCCAGGTGATGGGCGACTTGGAGGAACGGATCCAGTTCTGCACCAGCCGCTTGCTGGCCTTGTCCGACAGGTAGACCAGATCGCCGGGTCGGAAAAGATACCAGAGGTCGTCATACCGTACTCTAGAGGGAGGAGACTTGCCGGGTTCGTCTGTGGATGTGGACATGGACATGGACATGGACATGGACATGGGGGTATGGAACTGTTCATAGTCTGGCCGCAGTTCCGCCTCGGCAAAGCCGATATAGGCTCTCAGGTGCTGGTGAGCGATCTTGACGGCAGAGGAGTCGGACGAGCGGTCACAGTTGGTTCCTCCGGCCTCAGCCTCCGCCTCCAACCGCCGGAGCTCTTCCTTGAACTTGTCATGGAAATAATGGAGATACTGGAAAGGTCTCATGAAAGTGTAGGACTGGGAGCCCCATACGTAGCCGGTGACGCGGGTGAAGATCTCCAGCAGGACGGGGGACTGGATTCTGATTCTCTGAATCCACGTGGAGTTTGTGTAGATTCTGCTGACCTTGCCTTGGTTCGCATAATCGGCAGCTTCAAAATAGCCGGAATTCTTGCGCTTGAAGGCCTCGTCAAGCATCTCTTTGCCCAGCTGGTCACCCGCTACGAGGGCGTCAACAGCATAGACTGGCTCTGACTTGGAGAACCGGTTGACGAAATTTTCCCAGTTGCATTTTCGAACACCCGCGATAATAGCAGAGGGATCGGGGGGCACCGTCTCGGGTTGGCGTCTTAGAAGTTTCTGTCTCTCCCCTTGGCCAGTGGCTGGCTTGATGTTGTTACTAGGCCCTGGTTGCATTGGCAAATGGGCATTCTTGTTAGAGCCATCTGTGGGCTGGCGGCGATTCGACACCTTCTTTGTGGTGGTTGAGTTGACCCCTTCCGCGGCGCTGGAATCAGAGTCGGACGCCATCTCTTGAGTCGGGCGTCGGAGTCGGGAGTCGGAGTCGGGACTAGGACAACAAGGAAAGCGAATAGTTCGTTTCAATGTTGTCTAGTCAATGTTCTCTACAACGAGAGACTCTGAATTGGGCTCATGGGACGTCCGGCGTAAGTTGCGGATTTGAGGCCATAAATCCAGCCCCCCCAGTGCCATATCTGGTGCCCCCTGTTACCCTGTATGCCCGCCCCCTGGTCATCCATCGGTGAAGAAGACCCTTGAACACTTGCAGTGCCCGGTTGGCATAAGAAAGAGGCAACCAATTGGGCTACCGCCTTGTAATGAACGTCCAACCAGCTCTCTTTTATCAGCAGAGCTCAACGCACATGCATGATATCCCATCCCTCCACCCCCGAGTTGCCAAGGCCAGAACAGGCTGAAATCTGTGGGCACAAATCATGCGAGCCGCTATTAATAGCAGGCTCAGTACGGACATGGAGTTAACCACATGCAGTCGTCGCCTGTGTGCCGTGGTAGGCCAGCACCGCCCCTGTCATCTTCCGGTGCAGTGCAGGCTGGCGGACCGTCCACCCCCTCCCTCCGCCATAACGGAGGCCTATCTGCAGTGTCTGGATTGCGTGCTGAAGATCGATCGACTCAGCGTCGGCCGGCGGTCTATTGAGAATCAGCCCTTGCTCGCCTGACCTGAGACGCTTGACAATTTCATGAAGCCCTGAAGTTTGCCGATAAACATACGTACCACCAGACTGTTCAGGTCCTCACATGCACGGGAAACAACACCCATCTGCGACTATTGACGGCTGGGCTCACTCCCTCCTCCCCTCAGCCAATCTGATGAATCCCATCACAACGGAATCCCATCGTCTACCCCGGCAGACACAGAATCTACTGCGTCGCCAACCGGGCTCGGGCCCCGTGTTGACGGTAAACGATGCGCCCAGGAGAGACGTTGATGTCGCCGTGCAAGCGTACCATTACCATGACACTGGCGAACTCGAGAATGTTCCTCCAGCCGCGGGCGAGGTCGAGTTTGAGGATTGCTCATGGACCGACGTCCTTCGGTCTATGGAGACGGCAAGCAATGAGTACGGCACCAAGGCCGAGACGCACCGGCTGCGGGCTGCCCAAAGGAACAAGGCTGTCGCCATGACGCTGCACTCTCTGACGGAGATGATTCCAGAGCAAGATGGACTCAGCGTCTTGCGAGGGGGTCTAAAAACCATCTTCACTGTATGGCATTCATCCCGAGTCTCCCTGGGGGTTTTTTTTCTTCCTCTTTTTTCTTTTCCTTTTGTTCTCTGCCGTCTCTAATTACTACCTGCAGTTGCTCCAAAAGCGCATCGAAAACGGAGAACGGATCCTACGCGCTTTTGAAGACATACCCGTTACCTTTTCGGCAGCATGTCATGCCGTCAGGGCGTACCCGGATGATGATCTCCTCCGGAAATTCGTAGAGGAGCTCTACGACACCTTACGGAGTGTCATTCCCAAACTGACCGAGGTCCTCCTTCGCAAACACAAGGGTTCCCGTGAGTAATAAATAGTAACAACTCGTGCCATTTATCGAAGACTGGATCTTTCAAACCATGTTCTCACCAGATCTTGCTGAACTTGCTGGAAAGCTCACGCAGTACGCATACAGTGCCACGGCGAATCTTCAAACAACACCCCGAAAGCGAAGCTCATGTCATAGACTCTTGTCTCGAAGCCGTGTCGCGGGCCTCACACCGGGTCACGGTCAGAGTTGACGCCCTAGCAAACCAAGTCATCACCGAGACCCTCCGAGAGACACGCACTAGCGGAGAAGGGGTCTCCAGAACCCAAGCCGGGATGGGGGAACTGCTCGACGGTCTCAACGCCATCCACATGAGCCAGCTCGAGATGGAACGGATGCAAGCCGCGCGGTATGAGCAGCTGGAGCGCAATGTCCATGCCTTTGTCGAGCACATCAACCAGGACGTGCAACAGCGGCTCGGGAATTGCGAGGCACAATTCCGTACGGGCTTTCTTGGCATCCAGCACTCCATCCAGGGGATTATGTAATATGCCCGCTCGCCGCGATTACTACCGACGACACATACACGTGCTTGTCCGTCACTGTCACTGTCACTGTCACCGTCACCGTCACCGTCACCGTCGCCGTCACCCTTTTTGTGCCCATCCCATCCCGCGCTTTATTCTCTCCCTTCTTGTCTCCCCCCCGCGGTGCCCCTGTCCTACGACGAGCTCTACATGTTGCTTCGCATACCTGACGCCATGTTCCTGGCCGCAGACCTCGGCATCGTCCTCCGAGCCAGCAGTTCCCTCCGACCAACAGCCCTGGGGCGCGCGACATGGCTGCTCAGCACCGACCGCTTCAAATCCTGGGCCCGCATCGCCGGCGGCTCGCCCGACGTGATTCTCGTCGACGGCCACCTCGGCGGCCTGACCATGGGGAAGATCTCCCCCCTCTCCGTCCTATCCGCCACCTTCGCAAGCATGCCCAAGTCGCCTCATTTCGTCATCCTGTCACACTACTGCGGCCTGCACACCTCCCCCCAGGACGCCCTCGCCGGCCCGGGGGGCATGCTCCGCAGTCTCCTCGCCCAGCTCATCCTCGCCCAGCGGGACGAACACGGCGCCGCCGCCACCGTGGCGCTGGACGAGACCATCCTCGACGACATTGCGAACCAGGACCTCGACGCCTTGTGCGAGCTGTTCCGCGCCGTGCTGGCCCAGACGCGCCCGCGCTTGACCGTCTACTGCGTTCTCGACAGCATCTCCGAGTTTGAGACGTCGCAAGGTGGCTGGGACGACGAGCTTTGTGATGTCGTGTACTTCCTCCAGTCGGCGGCGAGCCAGCTGCGACGGGGCCCGACGTTGAAGATCCTCATGACGGCCGCGAATAGGAGCATCAGGATATGTCAGCTGGTCGGGGAGGAAGATAGTGTTTCCTTGAGTGCCGGGCATGTGAGTTCCCATTCGACCCAAAGGCTGGGTATGGAGGTGGACTGGCAGCGCGCTGTGAGTCCCGGCCTGGGGTGAGAATGTGATGCTCCAGGCCGCCGCTGTCGATTGTCCTGGTATATCGTAGGGTTCTCCAGGTCCTCCACTTGGAAATACACCCACGGGGAAGACGAGGAATAAAAAAAAAAAGGGTTGAAGAAGAAAAGAGTAGACAAGAAAAAGAGAAGAAAAGAAAACATCTTACATCGTGACCTTCCCACATCCAAGACTGCTTGTCATCGATCAGGGGTATCATTACTCGTAAAGACTACCTATCCCAAAAAAAGAAGAAAAGAAAAGAAAAACCAAGCGCCTTGGCCCCGAATATCGTACAGAAAATATCAAAAAGCCACACACACACACACACACACACACGACCATCAAGCTTTACCGATCCATCCCCAGTTGACGAAACATTCAAAGATGCGACTCCCTTTCTGAGGATCCAGGCGGCAGATATCCTTGACTTGCTTCTTTTTCAGATAGCCGTTGCCGCGTATCGCCTCTTTCATAACCTCGGCCTTGATGAGTATGTACGCCTTGGGTTGTAGCCGGATCACCTCGCACAACTTGAGCTCGTGCGGCGCTATGAGCTGCAGGTCGGGCGTTCCGGGGTTGTGCTGCAACGGGTTGATGCCGGGGATCGGTGCCGGCATGAAGAATGGACGTTTGGCGGACGCGTGCGTTGTGCCATTGGTGCCGTGGGTGCCGTGGGTGCCGTTGGTACCATTCGCTTCGCTCGTTTTGTTGGTCCCGTTCGCCTCCGTCTTGAGCCTCGGCACGGAAACAGAGTTACCGTCGGGATCGACGCCGTAGGGCGAGTTGGTGAAGGGGGCGAGCTGTTCGGGGAGCTCAGGGGCCACCAGCAAGGAGGCGCCGCTCTGGGGCTCGGGCGCTGCGGCGGCCTTACTGCCTCGCTGGGCCGAGGCCAGCCGGTCCAGGGACCCCATGGGGATGTTTTTCTGGGCACGCTGGGCCTTATCCTGCTCGTACTTCTCGCCGCTGCGCAGGTCGCCGATCCCCATCTGGCGCCACTCCTGAAGCTGGGCGATGGCCTGACGCAGGTTGATCTCGTCCAAGAGACCCTGGACAAAGTTCTCGTAATCGGTGTGGTTCATGAGACGCGCAAACGGCTTGGTCTTGTTCACCATGTCGCGCTCCTCCTTGGTGCGCTTCTTCTCCTGCTTGGTGTTCTCGCGGTACTCGAGGAGGTTGTGTTCGAACATGACCTTCTTGCGCTCGGCACGCTGGGTCAAGCGGGCATTGTAAATATCCATCGTCACCAGCTTCAGCTCCGTCTCGGGCTCGAGTTCGCCGGTGCGCGGATTGAGACCGTCGCCCGGCTCGAACTGCATCAGCTGCACGGCCTCCTCTGCCTCATTCGCGTATTCCGTCTCAAACTCGAGACGGCCCGGCATGTAGCCCTGGACTTCGTGACAGGACGGGACCGACGCCGTCGGCTTCGTCTTGGGTTGTAGGGCGGGCGCGTTCTTCGCTGCTTCTTTGCGCTCCTCGATCCTTCTCTTCTTCTTGGCCTGGAAATCCTCGCGAGAAATCTGGTTGGCCAGTTCCATGTCGTGGGGGCTGCATCGTTCCGGGAGTGGGAATCGGGAGGATTCGACGTATGTTTTGAGATAGTGATCGCGCACCTCGTCCTTGTCGCGAAAACCTCCAATGTGGTCGGCGATGTCGGCCCAGGAGCCGAGGCCATAAATCTCGGCACCCTCTAGTAGCAGTAACTCTTCGTCTGCGCCCCAGTCCGGGTCGAAAATGGGAAATGAGTTTTGTTCGATGACGCGGTATGGGTGGGTCTCTGGTTTGTGGTTGCCGCTGGAGGAGCCTTTCGCGAAACAGCTCACGCAAAGGTCGTAATCGGGACACGCACTATGGGCGCATCGGATGCGAACCTGCATCTCGGGGTAAGCATGTGAGGCGCAATGGCTGCTGGATCGAGAATGTGGAGGGAACGAAAGGGACAAAGATCGAATAAAGAAGAAAGCCGGGTTTAGCTCACAGTTGAGGTGATATCGACGGAGCAGACATCGCAGTGGTATTTCACGCCCCCCTCGCCGCCGCGATTGACGGTTTTCTTCCTTATGACACCCATATCGTCTGTTCCCGTCGAATCAGCTGCGTCGGCCGAAAGGGAGACGCCGGCTGCGTCTTTGGATAGGGCCGACAATTTTGGTACGTGATGGCAGCGCCCCAACCGCGCTTGACCTGGGGGCTGAGAGAGGAATAGGAGCGCAACGGTCGCGGGTGTCGCGGGTGTCGGGGGTGTCGGGGGTGTCGAGCGTGTCTGTCAGCAATTCCACTAGTCGAGAATATCTGTACGGGCGTGGTAGTGAGAGGAATGATTATGCGACGCTCGTCCTGATTTAGGTGATTGAAATGAGGAGAGTACCAGAGGCAACAGAGAGGGAGAGGTGAGATGTTGGAAGGTAAGCAGGTAGTGTAGGGAGGGTACGTACGTCAACAATTGTCCTGGGGTAAAGTGGATCCTCAGTCGCGGGCTTCGGAGATGAGGCTAAACTTCGGACGTGGCTATGCGGAAAAACTTGGAGCCGACATTACTCATCCGTATGTTTTCATACCTAGGTACTTTCTGCAGCTCCGTGGTTCGGGACAGTTATGGACGGACTTCGGTGCGAAATACCCCGGAATACCTTAGTTCCGATGTCCTTCCCCGCCATCGTCATTGTCGCGCCAAAATTCAGACCCCGTTCCCACCCTCTCAATAACGAGTAGTAACGTATCTGAATTTGTTGAGACTTATAACCCGAGTCATTTCTAATGGAATTTTTGATGTTAAAATGCCAGATCAGATTCTAGACGACATCTCTCACCGGAGATACAATCCCCTCCGCGGTACTTGGCTGCTCGTATCTCCCCACAGGACGAAGCGACCATGGCAGTAGGACATACAAGGCACCCCGGCTCCCTCAAAGGATGAGAGCATCATGGACTGGAACTAAACCGCCGTCTTGTAGAGGTCAGGAAGAGAAACCCTCCAAGAATCAGCTTCCCGAATATGACCCAAAGGTACGCCGAACGGGGCTCAGGCGCCTAACTAAACGGTGCTCCGAACTGATACTGATACCATGTCGCTCTATGGCGTCCCCTAGTGCTATCTCTGTCCCCAGAATTTTCGTGCCAGTGGCGATCGTAACCCGGACTACAAGAAGACCTTCATCTTCATCAACGACTATAGCGCAGTCAAGGAGGACCAGGCCGCTTACAGCACTGAAACCTCGCCAGATGGTGGGCAGACCTCCTTTTTTACCTGATCCTCGGCCGCCGGGGACGTCTTCCTCCTGCTAACAATTTTCTATGTAGACCTCGCCTCGACCCTCCTACGTGCTGAACCCACCACTGGACGATGTCATGTCCTCACTTTCTCGGCCAAGCACCACCTAACCCTTGCTGATATGACGCGCGAGGAGATTCTTCCGATCATCCAAGTCTGGACCCAAGCCTATGCTGCTCACCTCCGTCCCGACGGTCCGCTAGCAGCCACTGCCTCCGCATGCCTCGCCAACCTCCCCTCCCTGTCACCGGAGAACACCATGACGCCGCCCAAAACCCAGCTGCGCCACATGCAAATATTCGAGAACAAGGGCGCCGCCATGGGCTGCTCGAACCCGCACCCCCACTGCCAGATCTGGACCACGTCTAGCATGCCCGAGGAACCCGCCGCCGAGATGGTCCAGCTTGCCCGCTACCGCGCTGAGCACGGCGGCCGCCACCTGCTGGCCGACTACGTCCAGCTCGAGGTAGAGAAGGGCGAGCGCGTCGTCTTCCAGAATGATGGGTTCCTCGTCGTGTGTCCCTGGTGGGCCGTCTGGCCATTTGAGGTCCTCGTCATCCCGAAGCGCCATGTCCGCGCACTCGTGGACCTGACGGACGAGGAGAGGCTGCAATTTGCCGAGGCCATCCAAGAGGTCACGAGGAGATATGACAACGTGTTCGAGACGAGCTTCCCTTACAGTGAGTGGCCTTCCCCGAGGAAAATCCAAATGCGCAGCTCAAGGGGGCAAAGGAAGCAGAAGATTTTTTTTTTTTAAAAAAAAAATTGACACTGTTTGCAGGCTCTGGTATCCACCAAGCTCCTCTCGACGCGACAGAGGAAGAAGCTGAGAATAGCTACATCCACATGCATTTCTACCCTCCCCTGCTCCGGTCAGCTACGGTGCGCAAGTTTCTCGTAGGGTACGAGCTCATGGCTGAGCCGCAACGGGATATCACACCCGAGCAGGCAGCCGTGCGCCTACGAAACTGTGGCGGAGAGCTGTACCGCAATCTGTTACCATAATGCAATGTGGTGTTTGCTCGAGTCCACGGCCCATCTGGATGTCTGTTACCTTGGGTGCTATCCGCGTAACTAAGGGACCTTATGGAAAGTTCGGATTCGTAGATACATAAGGCCTCCGTCCCCCTAGCAGAGGTGGATGGTCCAGTGGGTTAGAGGTCTCAAACAAATACCCGAAGGGCAAGCCTCTAGATCCCTTAGAGCGCGCACAAAAGTGGACGTGTGGAGGAGTAGTCGGTGTGATTGAAGGCGCCGACCATTTTTCTTTCTTTCTTTCTTTCTTTCTTTCTTTCTTTCTTTCTTTCTTTCTTTCTTTTTTTCTTTTTTTTTCTTTTGCCTTTTGTCATTTATTCCCCCCTTTCATATTATCATGTCGTACCTACCTATATGCGCCTAATCTTATCAAGACTGTTATGAAAAAGAAATGGTCTCGTCCAACCTTATGATACCTAGACGCATCCATTAACTCGATCCTTTCCAATCTTGTCCCTCCCCCCATGGTGTATTTTACGGAGACACAACATAGTAGCTCCTGGTCAAGGGCATCCAGATCAGAGCGAGCGAAGCGAAGACGAAAGGCCCGATCTGGGGTTTGCCGAAGGTCATGCTCTTGAAGATGAACATCTCGCTGGAGAAGTGGCTGAATGCAACGACATATGTCCACCAGGCAAGATCGAACATGTGGCCGTGCTGGAGATGGTAGGCGGCGTACATGCGAACGATGCTCGTGATGAGGGTCCATGTGCCAAACAGCCGCCCCGCGAGCGGGGTGACCTGGTCGACGCAGTTGCTCGAGGCGGCCGCCGTGCTCGCGGGCACGAGCTTCTTGGTCGAGTCCTCCGGGTCGAACTTGGCCGTCTTGGGGGGGAGGTTCGTGTTGGCGACGAAGCGGGCATTGTAGACGCGCCGGGTGAAGTGCAGGGTGAGGAAGGCTTGCGCGGAGTTCCCCACGGAGATGAGGGACAGCTAGATGTGATGGGATTACGTCAGTTTTGGCTTCGTGGTTTGTCTTGACTGGAGTCCTGATGCCGGGAATGTCGTGTCGTTGATGCTAGAAAGGTAAAGAGGGACGTACGAGGACCATGTAGTATGGAAGAATCCCGTCCCCAGGGGGTAGGAGATCGGATAGGGAGACCATGATAAAAGTTTGGATGGAAAATATGGCTAGTTTCAGGAAAGTTTGCTGGTTTCCGAAGCAGTTGGTTGGTTCGATTTGTCCCTGAGCGCCGCGATGGAAGAGGTTTGGAGTCGCTGTTGTACTACAGCACTGGTGTCAGGGGTTAAGGGTCTCCAGCATATCAAGGATGAGTACTTAGTACTCAAGGTACAGGTACATTGTCAGGATCTATTTCACGTCGCGCGTCGTCATGGCCCAACAAATTTCCCGAAGCTAAGTACTGTCAGACCCTCCCAGTTCAGCAGGTCTTTTTTTCTTTTTTCTTCTTCTTTTCTTCTCATGTACATCCTCCCCGAACATACGCCGCCCAATTGACTAGGTATCAAGCGATTTAACTTGAATTCGACAACCCAAGCATAATGGAGGCGATTGTCGAGTTTGCGGAAAAGATTCCCCAACCGGTCTTCTTGGCCCTCGCTGGCCTGGGAGCTCTAGTTGTGGGCAAGAAGGTCCTCGCTTACTTGCGCTTCGTTGCCAGCGTCTTCCTCCTGAGTGGCACCAGCGTGAGTCTTACCTACGCTGTCTCTTTCCCTTTTTGAGCTTTTTGTCCTGTCCTCTGAGAAGCAACACACCACAGTAGACACGCTAACCAAATCCCATGACCATCTAGCTTCGCAAGTATGGTGGTCCTGGCAGCTGGGCCGTCGTCACCGGTGCCTCCGATGGCTTGGGCAAGGAATTCGCCTATCAACTCGCTTCTCAGGGCTACAACCTCATCCTCGTCTCACGGACCCTTTCCAAGCTCAACGATCTTGCCGAGGAGCTCCAGAAGAAATACCCCAAGGTGACGACCCGGGTGCATGCCATGGACTTTTCTCGCGACAGGGACGAAGACTACGCCCAACTCGAAGCGGTCGCCGGCGATGCGGACATTGCCATCCTCATCAACAACGTCGGCCAGAGCCACTCGATCCCCGTCCCCTTCCTCGAGACGACGCGCGAGGAGCTCCAGAGCATCGTGACCATCAACTGCCTGGGCACCCTGAAGACGACGGCGGTGATCGCGCCCCGCATCGCCAAGCGGGGCCGCGGCCTGATCCTGACCATGGGCTCGTTCGCCGGCTGGATCCCGACCCCGTACTTGGCGACCTACTCGGGCAGCAAGGCCTTCCTGCAGCACTGGAGCAGCTCCCTCGCCGAGGAGCTCAAGCCCCAGGGCGTCGACGTCCAGCTCGTCCTCAGCTACCTCATCACCACCGCCATGAGCAAGGTGCGCCGCGCCAACGCCCTGATCCCCACCCCCAAGGCCTTTGTCCGTGCCACCCTGAGCAAGATCGGCTCCGGCGGCTACCAGAATTGGGCCTACACCTACACGCCCTGGTGGTCGCACGCGGTCATGCTGTGGGTTGTCGAGAACACCATCGGCGCGGGCAATTCGCTGGGCATCTGGTACAACCTCAAGATTCACAAGGATATTCGGAAGCGTGCGCTCCGCAAGGCTGAGAGGGAGGCCAAAAAGGCCTAACGGCTTTTAATGTGGTTTTTAGTGGGACTTTCCTGTCGCGGTCACTGTGTTGGCTGATGGTATGTCACACCACGAGGCCGAGGGCTCTTTTTGAGGTCCTCGGCTAGGCTTCAGAGCAACTTTTCTCTACCTTGTCGTGGCGCCACTTGTATTACACTACTGGGATTTCTGGTGCCAAGGAATCGACTTATTCAGATATGATTTGGAACAAATGGGCAACGGGGGACTTGACGATTTTTACAGAGGGAATTTGTAATGGCTGGGGGTCAAGCCATTTTATCCCTATGTAATACCTATGGAGCAGTTTTAATGGTTCCAATTCAGAAGGATCTGAATTAATCCATGAAGATTTCACATGTGATTAAACCTCCGATGGATGTGTATGACATGTACGGGTAAGTGTCCGGGTTTCTTTCAATTTCTTTTTTTGAAGCTCCATTTGGTACACCGAATTACCAACACGTGATTGGACGCACCTCGGTGAGAGCTCTGCCCAAAGCTCCTCCAACCATCACAGCCTTGCGCCCGATTCGGTTTAGCGCGTCCATCGCACCTTTGCTCTCAACGCCGGGTCTGTCGCGAAAATTCCACGCGCCTTCTCTCGACTACTCGACCTTTTTGGTTGTTGATCTTGCAACGTCTTTCTCCTTCACCACCAATCATCCAATTGAGGTGCCGCTTGACGACCTCGCTCCACCACCTCGCTGCTTCTACCTCCTGCCCGACGATTCTTTTCATTTATCGTCGAGAGCCACTCAGCCATCCAGCCATCTCCCCCCCTGATATCTACTAATTGTTTCGCACACCCATTTCCTAGGTGCATGGTTGAGTCTATTCCGGTCGAGCCCTTGCTGGCCCACGCCTTGCCCTGGATCAACTGAAGTTCTTGCAGCTTTGAGAATTTCTGCCCGTCTGCTCCATCAATCGTCGAAGAGAGCAGGTTCATCCTGCCTGGGTCCTCAACAATGTCGTATCCTCAACTCACGCCGGCACGTCCCGTTCCTGGCGCCTTCATCAACACACCAGCAATATCGCGGTTTCAACCCAACAGCGACGACCCCGTGAGGAGGAGGTTGTTTGGGAATGACGCAAATAATGCCGGATCCGGCGTAGGGGCTGCCGGTCCTCTAGGAGCGAGGCCTCATCAAGTCTCCGCTCCGGCTCCGACGACTCCCGGTGCCAGCCGTCCGCTCTCCGTCGCTCCGCAAGCTCAACAACCGCCGCAAGATGTGCCACCCGTGACCAAGGCCGCCCAGGCTGTCAATCGTTTTCTTCAGGCTGATCAAAGCTTTCCCGAGCTCGACTCGTACGCGAGATGTACGGACTGCTTCCCTTCCCACCCCCTGTGCGTCATCGATGCCGTGGCGGATGCCTTGCTAACCGCTTCTCATCTCTAGCTGGCGTTTCTTCGGATTACGATCTCATCAACATTGACTCCGCCTGGGCTCCCTTCCACAAGACGCACATGTACCCTATCCCGAACGAAGTCTTCAACCATTACAACGCCGGTCAGCTACAGACACTGATGGGTCTGTTCGCCGATATTAACCATGCTTGGGTTGCCATTGACAACTCGCTGTTCTTGTGGGACTATACCCATCCCGACCCCGAGCTTATCGGTTTCGAAGACCAGCCTCACACCATCCACGCCGTCGCTTTGGTCCCCCCCAAGCCCGGCATCTTCGTCGCTGAGATCACCCATATGCTGGTCGTCGCCACAGCCTCCGACATCATTCTCCTGGGTCTTTCAGCCCAGACCAACGCAGCTGGTAACAAGACCGTCACCCTCTTTCAGACCAAGCTGAACCTGTCCCTGCGGGGAACCGACGTACGGCACCTCGCCGGGTCCGCCGATGGCCGCATCTTCTTCGGCGGAAGCACCGACACCGACATCAACGAGCTCTACTATCAAGAGGAGGAGCGGTGGTTCTCCAACCGCTGCGGCCGCATCAACCACACCCACCCCAAATGGACCTCGGTTGTGACGCTCCAGCCTGCCTTCTGGTCGGCCAAGACTCCAGAGCATCTGATTCAGATCGTCGTCGACGACTCGCGCAAGCTTCTCTACACTCTCTCGTCCACGTCGACCATCCGAACGTACCATATGGAAAACCCCAACAAGCTCACCAAGGTCATCGAGAAGGAGAAGAACCACTGCTTGCGAGACATCACTCACATGATTAATGGCTCGCCCCTTATTCACGATAAGATGCACTTTGTCTCCATCAGCCCTATCTCCTCCAATGAGACCCCGAAACTCCATCTCATGGCCCTCACCAATACCGGCTGTCGTCTCTTTCTCAGCGCCACCAACTCCGCCTCGTACATGCTCGGCGGCGCATCCAGTCTCGCGCCCCAGAGCATGATGGTGCAATACATCAAGTTTCCTCCTTCCGATCAGCTAGGTCATACCGTAGCTAACAGCGCCGGCGAGACGGTGCTGAACTTGTCATCCCGAACCCTCGAGCAGAGCAGGCTGGGAGAGAGATTCCCCCCCGGTTACTTCTTGGACTTTGTCGTGAAGGAGAACCAGCCCAATTCTGACCTGCTCTTCGTCTCGGCCCCGGAAACCGGTCGAATCAAAGCAACCGGTCCCACTTCCGTGCTCAAGTACTGGGAGCACGGCAACTGGATCGACATCGGCAGCCGCGCCGAGGCGGTCGGCCTGATCACCAAACCCTTCGCGGCCGCCAGTCAACCCCTCGGCTTTGGCAACGAGCTTGCCGTCCAGTTCGACGATCCGCCTAGCGAATTTGCCGTCCTGACCAACACCGGTGTTCATGTCATCCGACGACGACGTCTAGTCGATGTCTTTGCGGCAGCCATCCGAAGCGCCGTGGGGGATGAAGGTCTCGAGCAGGAGACGCGCAAGTTCATCCAACTTTACGGGCGGGTGGAAACCATCTCTTGTGCTTTGGCTGTCGCTTGCGGACACGGGGGCGATTCGCGTCCCGGTGCGCCCCGTGCTATCGATCAGCTCACGGAAGACCGGGCCAGGACGGTTTTCGTCGATTACGGCGGCCAGCCGACCATTGCGGAGACGGATAGCACGCCTCTCACCACCGAGTCGGTCCGGCTCTCCTCGAGGCACGACGCCCTTTGCGTCTACCTCACTCGCCTGATCAGGACGCTTTGGAAGTCCAACGTCGTCGCTACCAACGGGGCCCTCGTCACTTCCAAGATAGCCACAACGAAGCTGATCACAGTGCAGGAGCAGCTAGAAAGACTACGGCGCTTCTTGAATACCAACCGGGGCTTCATCCAGGGACTTGCGGGACCCGTTGATCTTCAACGGGTGGCTAGCAAACAGGAGGAGGTCGCCTTGCAAGCCGAACACCAGGCTCTCCACGCCATTCAGAAGCTCATGGAGGGAATTTCCGAAGGCATCTCGTTCGTGCTCATGCTCTTCGACGAGCGCGTGAGCGACATCTACATGCGCCTGGAGCCTGCCACGCAACAGCAACTCAGGGAGCTCACGTTCGAAAAGCTTTTCTCCCAGGCCTCCGGCAAGGATCTCGCCAAGGTCCTGGTCAAGTCCATCGTCAATCGTAACATCGAGAGCGGATCCAACGTCGAGACGGTGGCCGATGCCCTGCGGAGACGGTGCGGGAGCTTCTGCAGTCCCGATGATGTGGTCATCTTCAAGGCGCAGGAGCAGTTGAAGAGGGCGTCGGAGCAGGCGTTGAACAGCAACCAGTCGCGAAGCTTGCTCCACGAGAGCCTGCGACTGTTTGAGCGCGTCGCCGGCAACCTGTCCTTCATCAACCTGTCGTCGGCCGTTTCGCAGTACGTCGAGCTGAAATACTACGCCGGCGCCATCCAGCTGTGCTTGGTCGTGGCGAAGGAGCGTGACAGGGGAAACAGCGCCCTGTCCTGGGTGAATGAAGGCAAGCCCGCGAACGATCCCCGTGCCAACGCGTTCGCCGAGCGCAAGCGATGCTACGACCTTATCCACGATGCGCTACGCCACCTGGATGCGGCCATCAACCAAGAACCCGAGGAAGTGGACGGTCGGCTGACGCTTCTCGGCACCAAACGCCTCGAAGCGTATGAGGTCGTCAACGGGTCAGACGATGAGGTCTTCCACTTTGACCTCTACGAGTGGTATATTCAGCAAGGGTGGAGTGATCGTCTGTTGTCGATCGACTCGCCGCATGTGGTCACCTTCCTCCAGCGCCTGGCCGGAACAAGCCTCGAGCACGCGGATCTCCTCTGTCGGTTCTACACCCAAAGGTCCAGGTACTTCGAAGCGGCAGAAGTGCAAGCCGAGCTGGCCATGTCTGATTTTGCCATCGGCATCAAGGACCGCGTCACTCTCCTCAGCAGGGCCAAGGCCAATGCGGAGGTGAAGACGGTGGGCATTAGCCAACAACAGCAGCGGATCCTGATCCACAGCATCACCGAAGAACTCGACGTGGCCAACATCCAGGCGGACCTCCTCGACAGGCTACGGGCCGACTCGCGGATCAACGACGAAAAAAAGGCCGAAATTCAACAGGCTCTAGACGGTCGGGTCCGGGACCTTTCCGAGGTGAGCTCATTTTCTTTTTTTTTTTCTCTTTCTTTCTTGCTTTCTTTCTTTTTCCTCTCCCCATCTTCGTGCCCCCATGATATTTTGTACGGCCATGCCCGCTAACGCACGATTGGACAGCTCTTCAACAGCTATGCCGACAAAGCCTGCTATTATGACCTGTGTCTCTTGATTTACGACGCGGCGAATTATCATAACACTGCGACGGTCAAGCAGACATGGTCGAACCTGATCGAGCAGACACACGAGGAGGCGACGATTCGGTTACAAGAGGCCGGCGAAGGCGTAGCGGTCGTGGCGGCGCAGTACGAGTCGGTGTCGGACAAGATCCTCACGATTGCCCACCGCGTCCACCTCGACAGCGCCATCTTCCCCATCGAGTTTGTGCTCTCGGAGCTGTGCCGGTACTCGTTGGACTACCGGCAGGACGGCGAGATCGGAGCCCAGCCTACGTGGCCGGTGAGCCTGTTCGTCCGGCTGAAGGTGCCATACCAGCAGATCGTGCGGTCGCTGGAGAACGTCTTCGACCGGCAGGAGACGGGGTTCACGGGCAACCGCCGCATCCGGGTCATCGAGCTGATCGTGTTCGCGGCGGAGGCGTGGCAGAAGGAGACGAGGCGCCACGGCGCGGTGACGAACAACGGCGAGATCACGTGGAACTCGGTCAGGGACTTGTTGACGCGTTGCGAGGCGGCGCTGCCGTCGCCCGGCCAGCCGCAGGCGAATCTGAACCCGGGCGGGGCGGATGTGGCGGATCTCCGTCGCGAGCTGCGCACTGTCCGGAGGGATGTGGAGGGTCTTGTCGAGAGGAGCCAGGGTAGCCTGCGCTTTTTGTAATCACCATTTGGGGTTCTTGGTGGGGAGTTTGGGCAAACGGGAACCGTGACAAAGTAAAAGAAGAAACACGAGGCGCAGTTCGCCCCCATTTCGTGAAGCATTCGTCATCTGTTCTGTGGCAGCTGTGCAAGTCAGGGAGGCCTGGACTTTGTGGAGATTCCGTCTGCGCATCAGGACGGCTCGCTCCATCTTAGCGTTGTCTAGTGGTCTGTGTATTATGAGAAAGGGAAGTCCAGGGACTTAACCATCTGAAGCAAGCACGAGGAGATGTCATGGTAAAGAATAAAGGTCAACGCTCCGAGGGCGAGGTTGGACTCATCTTTGTACAGTAATTGATTATTAATCAAGTTAGTTGATTTCCGAAAAGGGGAAACGAAAGTCAGGAGGACGGTGATAAAGGTACGTACCAATCATTCAGTAAGATCGTTAATTATGGTGCACCCAAGTCCTGGAGGGACGATGTTCCAGAATCTCTAGTCTGTGGTGATTTACCGCGACCTCATGTCCTCATCATCGACTCTGGTATGGCGCGGTAGTCACTCGAGTTCATAACCTGAGAGAATACGGCCTGCCGCCTGAAGAGATATTAGGGTTGTCTTTTCGTCTACTCGTCTTTCTTTTATCACTTTCAACTTCCAACTATATTATCTATAGCCTCGAGTTCCCGTTCATCGCTTCTCGCAGCATAGGTCCCACCTTCTTACGACTATGCTTAACATTTCTTTGCTTCCATGCCTTTCTCCAGACACCCCCCTCGACGAGGTCTAACCCCCCCTCGCGCCAAGTCTCCAAACCCAACTCGGCACCAAATGTATCCACGAAGCCCTCGGCCACGGCCACAGCTGCTTCGTTGAAGGCCCACACGAGCAGTTCCCGCTGAAACTCCCCACCCGGGCGCGCCGTCGTCATGATAACGGCCACATCCAGCTTCTTCTCCTCCTCCGCCCACTTGCGAAACGCCTCCAGGAAGACCTCGGCATCGCCTCCCGCCTTGTCGCCCAGGAGGTAGTCCAGGCCCTTCACGACCGATGAAATGCCCAGCACCGCACCGCGCTCCTCCCACTGCTTGTAGTCCTTCCGGAAGATGTCGCGGAACCCCAACCCCGACAGGTCTTCCTTCGTCCGCATCAGCTCGTCCACGTACGTATCCCGCGCGTAGCTGGGATCGTCCTGGAGCAAGCCTTCGAGGAACTCCACCGCCTGCACGTCAGCATCGGTGGTTCGGTCTCCCGCCTTCAGTCCCGCCGTGTCGACCAGGATCGGAGCCAGGGCGAGTCGCGCGATATGTGCATCCGGTTCTTCTATCTGGCCCCCGCGGCTGCGCAGTGCTTCTTCCCACGCAGGCCGGCAGAAGCCCGCGATCAGACTGGCGCAGCTGCCGCATTTCTCGATGACACGTGGCTCGTCCGTTCCGTCTGTGGGCGGGACGCGGCCCTCGTCGGCATGGTGGTCGATGCATCCGACGACGTGGTCGCTGAACCCGCGTTTCGCGAGGGCGCCTGTGAGCGCGTTATGGTCGACGAGAACCCATCGTGTGGCGCGTGGGTCGAGGACGGAGGGTAAATTGTCGAGTGTGAGGAGCTCAGACGGTTGCAGGTGGGCGCGGGCGAGGGCGGAGGTGAATTCGGGTCGGAGGGCCAGGTCGGCGCGGTGTAGGTTCGAGAGCGGGATGTGGAGGGTCGGGCTGGGCAGGGTGGTGCTACGGAGGTAGGCGTACACGACGGCGGAGCAGAGGGAATCGAGGTCTTTTTGGGGGGTGTTAGTTAGCAACTCGATGGTCCATTGCTTTGTCAAATTCTTTCGGCCTGGAGTAGTAGGTGCGAGGAGCTGTGCTACCTGCAGATTCGTTGCCGACGACCAAGGTCAATGGATTGGGTCTCTGGGCGGCTGGACTTGCTAATGCGTCTCTGGCCTTGGCTAGGAAGGCATTGAGGGAAGGACGCAATGACATCTCGCACAACTTGCCGGTGCTCTGTCCAGCCATCACAATGCACAGCAAACCATCAACAGTACTCGCGGGATGACGCGTTTGCTAGAAATCCCGGGCGGGGGTAGCATCGGCTAGAGGTTGTCTTATCGTTTTATCATTGAGGCAAGGCACCTCTTATCTTTATCTTGGTAACTTATCTTATCGCCCCAGTCAGTCTTATCATCGTCCCCGTTATCGGCCTGTCGCCATCGTGGCATCCGAGGTCCACGACGACTCCAACTCCCATCTCCCACGGAATCTCTCGCCTCGGTCTTCTCAGCTCGATTTCTGTCATCCTCGAGCTGAACAACATACGGACTATCCTATCCAATCCACCTGTACTATCTTCATAATTCCGCTCTCCGGCTCAAAGACCGTCACCATGGGCTCCCACACTCCTCCCACTCGGCTTGCCATCCTCGAAACCGACACCCCCCTCCCAAACACCAAAGAGCAGTACAATGGCTACTCGGGCGTCTTCACCTCACTCCTACTCCGCGCCGCCGAATCTCAAGACGTCCCTCTGTCTTCTCTCCTAACCGTCACAGCCCACCACGTCGTCCCGGACTCGGACATCGTTCCCGTATCCTACCCTTCCCCGGACGACATTGACGCCATTCTCATAACGGGCAGCAAGCACAACGCCTTTGACGACGAGCCATGGATCAGCGACCTCGTCAACTATACTCGCTCCTGCATCCAAGGCGGGAGGATACGTGTCATCGGCGTCTGCTTCGGCCACCAGATTGTCGGCCGCACCTTGGGCGTCCCCGTCCAGCGGAGCGATAAGGGGTGGGAGGTGGCCGTTGTGGAAGTCGACCTGACCGAAACGGGGAAGAGTCTATTCGGGCTGAAGAAGCTGGTGAGTTTTGTGAACGTTCCCGGTGCTTTCTTCCCCGACTTCGAACATCAAACAGCCCGTCTGACCATAGCTTCCGGGGGAAAAAAACCCCCAAAAAAACCACAGCGCATACACCAGATGCACCGCGACGTCGTAACCGCCAACCCGCCCGATTCCCTCCCTCTGGCCCACACTGAACTCTGCCCCGTGCAAGGTTTCTACAGCCCTAGACGCTACATTACCGTCCAAGGCCACCCGGAGTTCACGGGCGCCATCGTCACCGAGATCGTGCGCACACGAAATAGGCAGGGCATCTTCACTGACGACTTCTCGGGAGAGGCGCTGTCCCGTGCGAATCTCGACCATGACGGTGTCGCTGTTGCCCGGGGCTTTTTGCGATTCTTGCGAGAGTAATGTGCCCTTGGTAAGTTGAGCTTTCCAGGGGCTAACGGATAATGGAAACGGGTCCCTGTGAGGTCGAGTCTCCCGTCTTCGTCGACAGGGAGATTGATTCTCTTTGCCGACTCATCCTGGTGAAGCAGCAGTTTCCTACCTAGTTGAATGAAGGAAAGCGCTCGTCTACTCTGGGCGAGTTGGACGTCACATAACATAATATTCCACCTTCAACTTTCGACTATTGTCTGCGCCTCCATGTTTGTGTCCATACGCTACTGCTAGAGACAGCCTATACTCTATTCCCTACCCAAGAAAAAAACGACAATGGTATCATCCTAAACCTTGGTTAGATTCCTAGGCCCTCAGTCTCCCCAACGCCGGCCGGCCACCTGGCCAATGTGGTCTGCATGCTTGTTAATAATCGAACCAACCAACACCATTCCCGTTCCACTCCATTTTGTCCGTTTCCCCCAAATCCGGAGCGCCAAGTAATGCTCTCCCGGCAGACTGGATTGTATGTATGCCTCTGACCGTGCTTGAATCAGACACCTGCCCCCACACCCTCACCCTCACCCTCACCCTCACCCTCACCCTCACCCTCACCCTCACCCTCACCCTCACGATCCCCTTCCAAAACCTCATCCAATCCATACTCAGACCCGTACACATGCTCAATCCGCTCCCACCACTCTATCCCTGGACGCCCCTCTCCTCCTGCACTCCGTCGCGCAGAACCATCCGGCGTCCCCCGCCGCCTCCGCTGCTCCTCCGACTCGACACACTCCAAGTCCCGCCGCATACGAGCCAAACGCCCCTGGATATGCATCTCCTCCTTCGTCCGTCCGACCCCGGAATTCCCCCCATGGTTGCTCCACCACGCCCTCCAGTCGAAGCAGTTTCTCCACGACAACGAGCCCGACCACGGCCCGCACCAACCGCGCGAAAACGCCTCGTCCGGATGATGCAACGTGCTCTTCCGCGCGTACCGCCAGGGTTTCTCCCGGCTGGCGAACAGCGTCGCGGACGCGAACCCCTGAATGCACAGGCTGATGAGGCTCAACAGGCCCACGGCGTAAGGCGCGTCGTTCTGCGGGCTCTTCCACTGCATCACGTGGGAGATCAGGGGCGCCACCCACACGAGGATGTAGACAATCGGGTACATGAATAGGTAGCGTAGCTGGCGCCGCAGCTGGTCGCGCTCATAGGCCATCGAGTCGGGTGCGTCCGTGTCCGTGTCCGATCCTCCTTCTGCCTCCACAGCGGCCCAGTCTGCCGACGTGGGGGAAAGGGCCGTGCCTGCCGTGCCTGCCGTGCCGATGGACGACGCGCTGGTACCGGTCCCCCACGGGGCGAGCGGGCAGTTGCAATGGTGGCTCTGAACCTGTTGAATGGTGGCGAGACTGTCGGAACGGGGTCTCTGAGCAGGATCCAGGGTTTGCAAAGTCGAGTCCGTGCTCCTTCTTGGCCTCTGCTCTTCCTCGCAGGGATGGGTGCTGCTGGCGAGATAGAGGTGATTGAAGTATTCGGAACGGGAGGAAGACCCGCGAGTCAGTGGAGTATCTCCTGACTGGCCGTCGCCATCACTCCTACCGTGTCGCGGGTCATAGGCTGGTTCCGGCAGGGATGTCGGGGTGAGAGACGTGGTAGATTGGGCAACGTCATCGTTGGTTGGCGAAGGAGGGTCGACGGTAATAGAAGGGATTTGAGGGGCTTCGGGCTCAGCTTCGTGCTCGTGCCTGGCAGATGCAGCGCTGGGAGGATTCGCGACCGTGGTGTGGCCAGGACGAAGGCCCCCAGAGGCCTTTCCCGGCCGGCGGATGGCGTTGACCTTTTCCTTGGCGCGCAAGATGGGCTCTTTCCAGCGAATAGGATGCGGGAACAAAGCCTGTTTCCAGGTGTGCCGCCGGCCGTCATGTCGGTTAGGCTTCTTCTGGTCGGCGGGTGATGTCCCCGAAGAAGCCAACGACTCCCACCGTCGCACTTCATGTGTCGCAGAACCCCGGCGTGACTCTGGCGGTACGGGGATGAGGCCGTGATAAGCGATGGGAGGAGTGGGAGGCAAGGAGCCCAACGAATATCGACTTCGGTTCCGTTCCACCCGGCGCCCGGCACGGCAGTCTCCCAAGGCGCATTGACGCTTCCTTTCCCCGCTGGCCTGGTCGAAGGTCCTCATGAGGAAGGCCACATAAAAGTAGACCCAACTATAGAGGACGATGAGGGTAGCAATTATAATGTAGCGCGGAACCCAACTGAGCGCCAGCCATGGCCAGGCCGGATGCACGGGCAGGTAACAGAGGAGGCCATCGTTCGTATACGCCGGGAAATGAATGAAGGCGAGTGAAGCTAGCAATAGAGGGATGACGCAGATAAGTACGTAGGCCGCCCGGCGGTAGGGATACAAGCCTCTCTGGCCAGTCGACTGTGAGGGCTTGAATATGTAGAGAGCTGTATGAATGGCGACGTATACGACGGCAATATCCGAGGACTCGATGCCCAGCGATAAGATGAAGCCATTGATCTGGCAGAACGTTGAATCGGATCGGACGGGCCCTATTGCGAAATCGACAATGGGGAAAATGAAAAATGATAGGGCCTGTAGGGCATCAGACAGCATGACGAACATGATCAACCTGCATGCACATACGGGTCAGTAGAAGCAATTGAAGTAAAGGGAACCCAGGGGAAACACACTTCTGCCGGAAACTCCTTCTTCTCATGCGGAAAAAGAAGTGAAGAACAATTCCTATCGTCACCAAGGTGAGGAGTGAGAAGGCCAAGGATGCACATCGACCAATGTAAAGCTCGCGGGGGGGGGAGGAACGCCATGCCTCGGTGTTGGCATCGCTCCCATAGCCCGTAAGACGAGGAACCAGTGTCGTCCTATGGCTGGAAGGAGACGATACCCCCGATATCCCTCTCGAGTGAGGCGGCATAGCTATGGCGGCGGATGCCTGTCCTTGCCAATAAGTGGTATGGATTTCCCGATGGGAGGCATTCAAACCAGAGCAACCAGAGCAACGTTGATGGTACCGTCGGCAGCGTGTCGACTGGGACTGACTATTCCGCTACCGACCGCTAAATAGATTCATACGGAAGAGCAAAGGGTCCCCTTGTCCCTCGAATCCCAGCTTCTGAGACGATCGAGGCTGGTTAGCTGGCTGGCTCTGATGGCTATGAGAAGAGTCGGGCTTTTGCGAGTGAGTAGAGTATCCTTCAAGGGGCCATCAGTTCCTCTCCTTGTTTCGAAATCTTGTTCGTCTTGGTTCGGCGGGAAGGTTGTAATCCGTGGCCGTCTAGCATGGAATCTCGGAGGCGAAAATGCTCTCCGGGTTTGGGACGGAGGATGAATCATGAATGTTGGCTGCCCGGTCCCCGAGTCCGATGTTAAAGACCGGAGCTTCCGATGACCATGGTCAGGTCCGATCTATTACCGCCGTTCAACGGTCGAAGAGAGCCGGTGTGCTTGGCAGGGCTTGATTTTGTACATCTTTTGATCCGAAGATGGGGATTCGACGTGTTGAGAGGGATGGAAATGAAAATGTTGAGCTTCATAGTGGAGCTCGCACGGGGAAAGAAGCACGGGGAGAAGATGAATGAAGGCGGAAGCGGAAAAAAAAAGCAGAAAACACATCGTATCGTCCCAGCTCCCGGATGACAGCTTCCGAAGTCCGAAGTTGAAGTACCTAAGGTACTGAGCAACGAATGACGCTCGAACGACATTATTAGGCTCCGGGTCAGAAGGGAAATTGTACGGAGTAGGTACGGATACCCGGTAATATTGTACTGTACACGTACGTGTACAACGTACTCCATGGACATAACGACGTCATAAAAGCCGGAAAACGCCGCGGTGTTTCAAGGGCTTTCGATCATTAACGTTGCGCCCGGTGTAAGCTAATGCTCGATGGCTTGATGAGAGACTTTCGGCCGGACCAGCATGTTGCGAGGGTCCCGGTTTCAGGACGTACCCGACCCAGCCATCCGTAATGTTGGAGTTTCCGAGTTTCCGAGTTTCCGAGCTTCCTTGGCTGGGCTTAGTACAAAGCCAAGGCGATTTGGCCCCAGCGTTGGGGAGGGCTGAGTCGAGCAGAACGACGCTTTCGTGGCTCGACGGCTGGCCATAGAAATGACACGACTTGCCAGTGTCTGAAAACGCATCGCCCGGCCTCTGCTTGAACCGGGAGTCGCATGATGTTCCTCCATAATTAGCATCAGCCCGATCCGAATCCCATTTTGTGTGTGATCTTCACACCAGCGGCTTGAAGGGCTGAAGCGTGGAACAAGACGGGGATGGCAGTGATGGCACAGACCCAAGCGTCAGTGAGTCAGCCCACGGCACCTCTGTCCGGCTGAGTTCGGCCTGGCCAGTACCGAGACCATCATTTCATTCGAACCGTTCTATCGTATATACCTTAAGGTAAGGTAAGCAGAAAGCAGGGTCAGAATGGAATGCGGCAGAAAGTTGCTTTCGTGTGACCTAGCGAGGTCGCGCTGCAGCGGGAAGGATGAATTAAGGTTTAGCCCGGGCGGGGTACGTGGTGGCACGTGCACGGACCGTGACACAAGCAGCAGCCACCAGTGGCTACCAGGGATGCAACGCTGCGCCACTACCGACTACGAAGTACGAAGGACTATTAGCGGGACAACGGAGCAAGGTAGAAGGTAGACAGACAGACAAGTCATGCCGCCGCTTGATGAATTTGAAAAGCAAAAGACCTGCTCGAAAAAAAAGAAAGGAAAAACGAGCCAAATAAAGATAGAAAGAAAGAAAGAAAGGAAGGAAAAAAGAAAGGAGATAAAAAAAGGAAAAAAAAAAAAAGCCCAAGCCAAGGGATCTGCTGCCTCCCTTTTAACGCCCAACCTCTAGGTGACCTGTCCTACCCTGCCATATCATGGGTATAGATGCGTATGCACATCAGGTAATTAAGGAGAAGAGAAACGGAAAGGACAAAAAAAGAAAGAAAGAAAACAGAAAAGGCCACAGTCCATCATACATCGTCACATCTCCTTCATTCCTCACTCACTCGCCCGCCATCTTCTCCTCGTAAAACTCAATAGTCAACGCCGCCAGGAAACCAGGGATACACCCCTTGTCGTGGACCCAATACTTGATATGGTTGGAGATCTTGGCCGCAAAGGCGCTCCTGGGCCCACCGCCCACCTTCATCGTCCCGCGCTCCCCGTCGAACACGATGCTGTTCTCGTGCTCGTCCGTCCGGGAAGGGTAGTACTGCGACTCGACGCGCATCTTGCCGTTGGGCATAAACGTCACCACCCACCCCATGGTCGAGAACACCGCCTCCTTGAACTCGGCCGACTTGGCCCCCCACACCTCGCGCAGCCGCCGCGCCAGCTTCTGCGCGCTCGCCGTCTCCGCCTTGGCCTCGTCCACCTCCCGCCGCGCCGCCGCCAGCTGCGACGCCGGCACCGTCGGGAACGACCGCGACGGCGACGACTGCGCCCCCCGCCCCGGGTGGTCCCGCATCATGTGCGCCAGCAGCTCCGCGTTCTCCGCCTGCAGCGCCTTGAGCGTCGCCACCTTGACCCTCTCGTAGTCCGACGTCGGGTTGGACCGCAGCGCCAGGACCCGCGTCTTGGACGACGACTGGAGCGCCTGCACCTGCTCCCGCGCCACCGACAGCTCCTTCACCGTCAGCGCGTGTTGCGATTGCAGCGCCGAGAACTCGTCCTGCAGCTTGCGCTTCTTCCTCGTCAGCTCGGCCAGCTGCTGCTCCGCGAGCGCCGAGTTTGTCGGCTCGGCGGCGCCGTGGTCGTCATTCAGTCGCGGTCGTTTGTTCCCCACGCTCGGCGTCGGCGTCGGCGTCGGCGTCGATTGGGACAACGATTCCCGGGAGGATAGCTCCGCGTGTAGATTTTGTACCTCGGCCTTGTACTGGTCGACGACGTCTTCGAGCTCTTGGATTCGCTTCGCTCTTTGCTCGTCAAACTGCTCGGGCTGGAAAGTCACGTCTTCGGCGTCGAACATCTTAAGCTGCGCCCTCAGGTACTCGACTTCCTTGGCAGCCAGGGCCCGCTGCCGCTCCAGTCGCATGCGCGTCTTGTCCGCGCTGGAGGCGTTGGCGCTGACCTTGGCCTTTTCGACCTCGGACTTGAGCCTCGACACCTCCGTCTCCAGGGAGTGGATCGTGCTCTCCTGCGCCGCCAGCTCTGCTTGCAGTTCTCCCATCTTGTCCATGTACGAAGCCGACGTGAGCCGCTCTCGAACCAGGGCGCGCGCCACGGCCTCGGGCGACTCGAATTCGAGATGATCGCCCGATTCGCTCGTGGTTTTCAGGTAGGCCGTCCACGCTAACCTCTCATCCTCGAGGCGTTGGCGCTGCATACGCGTCTCGGCGAGCTCGTCCTCGACGGCTCGGAAGGCATCCAGCTTGCGCTGTAGAGAGCGCTTTTCCTCTTCCACCACCTCCACAGCCCTCGTGACTTGCCGAAGGTGCTTCAACTCGGCAAGCTGTTCTCGATTCGTAGATTCCAGCGTCCTGATATGCGTGACCTGCTCGGAGAGTTCCTTCTTGATGATCGCCATGGTCTCGGCGTCGCCCGTCTGGGCCTTGAGACGCAACACTTCGGCCTCCAAATCCCCCATCTGGTTATCCTTTTCCGCCAGCTGTGCCTGGACCTGCTGCAGAGCCGCCTCCCGTGCTTGCCCTTCCTGATCCATCTCGCGCGTCGCTTTCTCCGCCGCCTGCAGCTGCATTTCGACATCTGTGATTTTCTTGTCGTGGATGCGGGCGGCCTCGTCCTTGGCCGTCGCCAGATCCTCCAGCTGCTCTTGTAAGAGGCGAGCCTCGTCTTCAGCGTCACGGATCTTCCTTTCCCAGCTCAGCTTCTCTTGGCTGGACGTCTCCCTCATCTCGTCGAGCTCCTGCTTGGCAGCCTCTAGCTGGCGCAGCGCCTGCGACTTTTCCGACTCGGCGGCTTGTTTTGCGGCGAAATCGGCCTGGGCGCGGCGGCGCTGATCTTCCATGTCGGCATTGTGCCGGGCGTCGGCCATCTGTTTCTCCGAATCGAACGTGCTGATGGTGTAGCGCAGGGCACTGATCTCGGCCTTGAGCTCTTCGATGACATGGCGCTGCGATTCGTACTCTTGCGCGTCGGCCGGGGCGAGATTTTCCTTGGAACTCTCTCTAGACGCCGCACGCAGCGCTTCGGCAGCAGCCGCATGGGCCTGGCTTTGGCGGGACGATGGTCGCCGAGAGGGGCTTTCGGTACCGGTAAAGATGTTATAACTGGGCTGGGTAGCGCGGAAGGCCTGAGAGGTTCCCACAATCACAATTAGCAGCTTGAACATTTTGTTCGAGACAACGTACGGCGTACCCTGGATTCGCGGAGGAACGTGTTGGGCCGGGGCAGAGCAGAACCACTGCTGGCACGAAACCGACCAGGCAGTGGGCTGCGCCCGCTAGGAGGATCGCCAGACGGAGTATGTGATCTCATGGCGGCAATTCGCAACTCGACGACGCGTCCATGGAACGGACGACAATGTTTGTTTAGTCGATTCGACGAGACGGGAAAGGTCTGGGGCGGGATTGGAGACGTAGTCACGTGATGTAGTCGCATTGGCGTCGTCCATCCATCCTTGGCGTCGTGTCCTGGTGTCTGTGGAGCCTCTAACCCGGAATCGGAACCCACAGACTCCGATCCCGGCTCGGACTCCGTTTCCGAACTCGATCCCTCCAACGTGAGGTCTACGACATTCGACTGTCTAGTCATTTTGCCGATCAATAGAAACGATGAAACGAGCTCTGGTGGTCGATGCGATGATGCCCCAAAGATGGTAGAAAGCCTGAGAGGTTACTTGGGAAACTGAAGCTGGTTTATTGTCGCTTTGTCAACAATCTCGTGCATGTTTTCGGTTTCCATTTTTACATTACACGTAAGGTTCTTTATTAGTTCCTCTTTCTTCTTCCGTTTACCTATATCCGTCCTCCCTTCCTCTTTCCGCAAGAACCTCGTTCCTTCTTTGTGAAAATGCCCACGTCATGTCGACCGGATTGGTCTTCATGTTCCTACCTGTATTCGTACGTGTACGTTGTACATGCTTTTCGTATATGTTACCATCCATGATGTGGAGAATCCGACACAAGTCTCCATGTCTGCCCTAGGTACCCGTACCTTAACGGCAACCTTTATGTACGAAGTACGAGGTACAGATCCCTATGCACGTACTCTATACGGGTAGGTACATGATAGGTAGGTCCAGACAGAAGAAGAAGAAAGGTATAGGTACTTGCATGCAGCTGGTCCCTTGTCGCTAATCCACACGGGCCACATCCCGCCCTGTGCTTGTCGGACAACCCACCCAAAGTCAAGAGCTTCCTGTCGTGGGATTTTCTTGAGAAAAAGAAAGCTTTCCTGTCCTATCGAATTGATCCTCCTATCCATTGCCCCTCCAATTCCCTCACCCACCCAAGGGCACAACCGTTTCAACTGCTATCCACGCAGGCGGTCAACCGTCAATTCGGCTATCCACTTCAAGACTTTTAGCATCTTTCCAGCTCCTGTACAGGGCAGCCTTCGTGCTCGCAACCCCGTGCCGCCCGGTCTCAATCCGATCCGCCCCGATCCAGCGCCCGTTCCCCGTTATTCCCCATCGCGCCGAACGCCCCGAACAAGAATCACATGGCCTATTTCCATCCTTGATTTCTTCCGCGGCTGCCTCAGCTGGCAATGCTCTTTTCTCCTTCGTCTGTCCGTGTCCACCACGATTGACTGCGGTTATCCTCAGACACACGCGAGTGGCCTCAGACACCACCAGCGCTACTCCCTCTTCGGCGAGTCGCTACGGCATCCCAGACGCCATTTCAGTTCTGGTCCCACGTATACAGTCACCATCCTAGGTACTGAGTAAAGCCACCTTTGAGGTTTTCATCCCTTGGTTCCCAAGACGCGAAAAGAACAATGTCGTCCCGCCTCGTCCTTCGAAAGGGAGCCGTCCCTATTTGCGCTGCCCTCCCCGGTCCGATCTACTGTTCGACAAACCATGTCCTCCGACGCCCTATTGTCGTCATTACACGCGGTTATTCGGATAGACCCGAAAAGAAGGTCGTGGAGGAGAAGACAAAAGAAGAATCAGGACCTACTACTGTACGGGAAGCTGTCAACCCTCCCGAGAATGGAAGTGCGAAGAACAACAGCGGCGCCGAGAGACGCGATGGTGGCGAGTGCGAACGGCCGCCCCCTTATACCGCATATACTCACCGCGGATCTGCCATAAACTTTGCCTGGCCAGGCCAGAAACACTTCAAGCAAGACCGCCGCCATGGCCCTACTCTGTCGGCCGATAACTGGGAGGACAACGCCGACGCCAAGATTGAGGAATTCACCGAGCTGCCGTACAAGCTGTTTGGCACCAACCAGCATATGGAGTTTCATGCCGAGTTCAAGAAAGAGCTAACCCAGCTGCTGCGCTCGTACCGCGCCCCCATCATGTATGCTTTCGCCTACGGCTCCGGGGTATTCCCCCAGGCCAAACCGGGCAGCCGTGCGGTGAGCAATGAGGAGTACCGTGCCGTGCACCCCCGTCCGACCGCGGCGCTCAAGGAGGTCCAGGCTTCGGGTCCCCGGTCCATCGATCTCATCTTCGGCGTATCCCACACGCAGCACTGGCACTCGCTCAACATGCGCCAGCACCCCGACCACTATTCCTTCCTGAAGCGGTTCGGGTCCGGCCTCGTGTCCGTGACCCAGGATCGCTGGGGCGCCGGCGTCTACTTCAATCCCTACGTCACGCAGAACGGTCTCCAGATCAAGTACGGCGTCACCACTCTCGATAACCTCTGCACCGACCTCGTCTCGTGGAACAACCTCTACCTCGCGGGCCGCCTCCAGAAGCCGGTGAAGATCCTGCGGGACCACCCCCGCGTCCGCCTCGCGAACCAGGTGAACCTCCTCTCCGCCGTCCGCGCCGCGCTCCTCCTCCTACCGCCCCGCTTCACCGAACGCGAGCTGTATGCCACCATCGCCGGGCTGTCCTACCTGGGCGACCCTCGCATGTCGCTCCCGACCGAGAGCCCGAGCAAGGTGACCGATATCGTCGACAACAACATGGTTGCCTTCCGCAGGCTCTACGCGCCTCTCATAGAAACGCTCCCCAACGTCGACTTTCTCGGCACCGCCACCCCGGGCAACCTGGCGTCCTCGTCCCCGGACCCCGACGAGACCTTCAACCTCGAGCAGGACATGGACCCCGTCAAGCGCGGCAACATGGTCCGGCGTCTTCCCAGCGCCTTCCGCGCCCGGCTGTACTTCCAGTACCAGAAGAAATTCATGGTCCCCGCCACCGAATTCGACGCCATGATCCAGCAGACGGCGCGCGAGGAGGCCGAGGCCGTCTCCTCCGGGTCTTCGTCCTTCAAGCGCTCTACGGGCGGCGGCTTCGAGCGTCGGATTGCGAACGACGACCCCGAGGAGCTCCGGTCCTTTGTCCGCCGCGTCATTCAGCAGACGGTCTATTGGCCCGCCGCCGCGCAGTCGGTCAAGGGCATCTTCACCGCCGGTCCGATCCGGGCTGCGCGTTATATGCTTGAGAAGTGGCGGAAGTATTGGGCCGGTAAGGCCAAGCTCGCTGCGAAGGGCAAGAAGGAGGAGGAGGAATAACACACTTCTTTCTCCCTTTCCTCCTTATCCCGCCTTTTCTTTTTATCTCTGCTGGTGTAGTCCACCGATGGGCTCCTTTTTCTTTTTTTGTTCTTCATCTCTTTCCCTTGTAACCTTTTCTTTGTAGGTATTACGTCGTATCTTCGTCTCGATTGCATAGCACGGGTACTACGTAGGGAGCCGAGGCATAGACGAGAACATGGGATGGAAACAAAAGGGCTGACATTCGTACTTGTACATAAATCTTAGACTCAGTAACGGAATGTCTACCAGGAAGGCGTTGGGGGAGGTCGATTCGGCCATCATGCTAAGGTACCTTATGCTGTACAGTAGGTACCTGAAATGAGTCGATTATTAACGACTCCTTCATCGACGAAATGAAACAATTCAGTGGCCATTGTTAGCAGAAGCTCCTACCATTTCATCCAGCTCGTCTATCACGGCCCGTTTCCTAAGCCCAGACGAAACGAGACCAACTGCGCGTCATGGAGTTGAGAGGTCTGGCTTCTTGTCACGGTCTCATCGGTGCACCGCACATCCCCGCATCTATTGCCTATCACTACCTAAGGTACCTACCTACCTAATCTGCAGTAAGGTAAGGTACTCTAAATGGCCGCTCTACCTTCGTACGTTGGGTAGGTAGGTACCTTAGGCATGTATCTAGGTACCTAAGGTACCTTACCTTGCCTTAAGGTCTGTTGTTGCTGAGCCGTCCCGCTGCCATCGTGGTAGCCTTCGTGGTGTCGCATGCAGTGAGACATCACACCAACTTAACACAGACATCTACTCGTTTAGGGCCATGGAATCAGACCATACCTTATCCTTCTCACGTTTTTTCTATAATCGACTGTACCTATTTATGACTTATCCAGCCGAACAGTTTTCATTCATTGGAGGATTTATACCTCCCCGTTATTGACCTCTAACAGCAGTCTTGGACTCTGAGTGTTGGTCACTGCACACTATTATCATGGGCTCTCCCCTTGTCTTTCGCGGAGCTATGATCCATTCTCTGGACCTCACTCATCTCGAAATCCTCGAAAACGCAACCCTTATTATCAGTCCCGACGGCCGTATCACCGCCTTCCAGAAATCATCCGCTCCAGGTACACCCGATCTACCCCTCCCCGCCGGCGCCAAGGTCCATCATCTCCCTCCGGGCGACTTTCTCATCCCAGGCTTCGTCGACACTCATAACCATGCGCCGCAATGGCCCATGCGTGGCCTCGGCCAGGGCCTTCATATCCTGGACTGGCTAGAGCAAGTCACCTTCCCCGTCGAAGCACGCTTCTCCGATCCCTCGTACGCGCGGAAGACGTACGAGCAAAGCGTGGGCGACTTCCTCCGCCACGGCATCACCACGGCGTCGTACTACAGCTCCCGGCATGCCGAGTCGACACGTATCCTGGCCGACATCTGTCACGCGAAAGGCCAGCGGGCCTTCGTGGGGAAGTGCAACATGGACCGCAACGCCCCCGAGTACATCCGCGAACAGGGCGCCGCGGACTCCCTTCGCGAAACCGAGGAGTGTGTCCGGTACATTCGAAGCCTCTCGGGACACGGCGGCGGCGGCGGTGCCGAAACGGGCGACGAACAGGCTCTCGTGAAACCCATCGTCACGCCCAGGTTCGCCATCAGCTGCACCCCGGAGCTGCTCACAGGGCTAGGCGAAATGCTGAAGCGCGACGACACGCTAGCCATGCAGACGCACTTCAACGAAGCCGAACAAGAGATCGAGGCCACCAGGGCGCTCTTCCCGGCGTACGAGAGCGAGGCCGATCTCTACGACGCCTTCGGGCTCCTCGGCAGGCGGTCCGTCCTGGCCCACTGCACCATCATGACGGACTACGACAAGGAACGCCTCGCGGCCCTGCGATGCGGCGTCGCGCATTGTCCTATCGCCAACATGACCGTCGGCGGCGGCTTCATGGTCGCGCCCGTGCGGGACTTCCTCCGGCGGGGGATCAAGGTCGGGTTGGGGACCGACAGCGGCGGCGGGTGGGCGTCGCAGATGCTGGCCGTGATGCGGCTGGCCATGATCGCGTCGAATGCGAGGGTGGTACTGGACCGAGGCAGAGGAGACGATGCTTCTTCGCTGTCGTTAGAGGAGGTGTTTTACCTGGCCACGATGGGTGGGGCTGGAGTCCTTTGTCTCGAGGACCAGATTGGGAACTTTGAGGTTGGAAAGCAGTTTGATGCGGTGTGGGTCACGACCACGACGACGGATACGGCGTTGCGGTCGGCCATGACGCCGCGAGAAGAGGGCGATTCGCTCAAGACCACGTTTGAAAAGTTTGTCATGACGGGGGATGATAGGAACATGGCACATGTGTATGTCAGAGGCCGACGGGTGGCCGGAGCAGGGGATTAGAGATTGGGAATTTGCACGAACAGCCCAGAGTACATAGTTCACGATGGACGCGGTTGTCCTCGAGTACCCAAGTTCAAGTCTCATTCAAGGCACCGCAATTCTTCTTAGCGTAGTCTCTTGGTCTGCCCGTTTGAAGTGTCCACAAATCTCCAAGAGTCGACGGTCTTTCCAGGCAAGCCCCCCACTTCTGTTCAAGGGCTTCTAGAAGGCAAAGACGGGGAGACTACAGTTCAACTAACCATTGCCCCCCCCTGCTGTCCTGACTATTCCCCCCCTTTTAGCGTAGATCTGACCTGACCTGACTATTACTATAGCCTTTGCTTCTCGCCCGACTATTAGTCGCTAAGCCTATACTAATAGTCGGGTAAGGTCTACGGGACGGGAGAGTAATAGAGGGTGGGGATTAAGCTTTACTCGTGTAAAAAAAAAATCTAATACTACCCGAATTAATCCTGAATTAATCCTATATATAGTACGATTTAATTCTAATAGTAGAAGAATTAACTAACCGCGAAGATAGATCTTTTATTCGGATTAAATTCCGACCTTATTAACTTTAATCTAGATTCTTTTACTGACTTTTTGGATTTAACGCCGAATCCGACACTAAATCCGACGCTTAATAGTAATAATACTATTCTGATTCCCGATTAGAGCGAGAGTAATACGCCCCCTAAAGGCGATAGTAGTGATAGGTTTCCCGACTTTCTAATAATCGATAACGCTTTACGAGGGGATAATAATATTAACGACCCGAGCTCGGAGAGGGAGCGATATAAAGGGCAGGTCTAGTAGGATATACAGGTATAAAACACTAAAAATAATAATAGTAACCTACTAACTTTTTATTCTACCTATTTAGTAATAGGGCGATAACTAAACCGGGCTTTTACTATCCGCCGACCCTAACTAAAATAACCGCCGGGAAGTACTAGAGAATACTCTCTACGCCGTAACCGTACTATTCGCTGCCACGATCCCTGAATTCCCCTAAACCGCGAGCGATAGCGTTACCTATATTATTCTAACTATATCTCTAGATCCTAAAAACGTTAAGTCGCCTTAGAAAATTATTTAGTACTATACTAAATAGGCTTTCCTAGGTAAAGTGGTTATAAGTATAGTATTCTCTAGAGCTATTATTACACGGTATATATTCCTTTATACCGGCGGTATTATATATCGTTATCTTACTCCGGAACTTAGAGTGGGTTATAATAGGATTATAGATAAGCTAGTAGAGTTAATTTCCACTATTCGTTCTTAAGTTAAAGAACTTACTCCTAAGAAGGTAGCTATTAGCTATACCGTCGTAATACTAAGGCGTTTCGAGAAATAGTAAGCCTATGAGCGGGAAACCACGATATATAGACTACTAATAACCGAAAATACCCACGTAATTATCCTAGGTAATATTCGATAGGTTTTTATACGCTATACGAATCACTATTAGATAAGACTATAGTATTTCTCGACGATTATCCCTCTTAGTTATAGTAACTACTACGACCTTATTACGAGACTTATCTAAGGTATAGCCTTAGTTTATAAAGTCAATAGCGAATACGAGTATTATTTATGTATAAATAATAGGAGGAGGAGAAAAAGATACGGTAAGTCTCTTCCTGGATCTAATCTGGATCTAATCTGGATCTAATCTGGATTTAATTAAGATTAATTCAGTAACTAACTAGTTATAGACGTTATCTACTATCCTAAATAACCGGACCTTAAACGTATACCCTGTAGCATTAAATTAAATATCTTTATGCTAGCTAACTTAAACATAATCCTATAGATTATTATTACTTCCTATAGAATATATAATTATATTCTACCCCCGCCCGAAAAAGTACCGCTATCTATTATATAAGGTCTTCGTGAGATTATAAGGGAGATTAGTAAGCTATATATAACACTAAGTAAGTCTTACCTTAAGATTTATAAGTACGAAAGCGTATCCTAATCATTTTAGACTCTTTCCTTTAATCTAATTCGTTAGCCCGTTTCATTCGTTAGTATTAGAGACGATCTATCACCGATATTTTATATAAGCCTTATAAATAGGGATATTCTAAAGGAGATTATCCGAAAAGAGCACGCGAGCCTTTACCTATACGCCTCTGCTTTACTTTTTATACGGTACCTTTATAATAGATACCGCTATAAAAATAACGATATAAGTTTTTTAGGGTATAAATAAAAACTAATACTAACTATTAGAAGTATATCTAGTATATCTACGAATTAGGAAATGGTTAGATAGTTATTTATTTCTATTAGGTATAGGTTAATAAGTGGAGGTAGTCCTTTATAGATTAATTTCTACTCGACGCTAATTATAAGCACCTTCGGACTACCGGTTATATAGAGGTGATCTAGGGATAGTATAGCGAAGGGGTATTAAAAGGTACGATATCTTTACTTTTATCCTTTATATACGCGGCTAATCTTTATTATAGCTCTTCCACTTATACGTTACTTCACGAATCGTAAGACTATAAAAATATACTTATATATATACCGGACCGTGTTTAGTATTTTTAAGGACCGGTATAACCTAGAAGTTAAATACAAATATATCCACGGAGAAAGCCTGGTTAGAACGATTATAGACTAGGATTATACGAATATACGAGGTAAGTGTGCTTTAAATTAATCCTAAATTAATCCTGAATTAATCTAGATTTAAATCGCTAATATAACGATAATAATAGGACTTAGTACCTACCTGTAAATAGATACGGATACCGAATTTCACCGAGACTAGGAGTGGCACGTATAGCAATGTATCCGGCTCTACGAGGTATACTTCCGGCGGGGATACGAGCGGCTTATAGGGCTTAATCGAGGGCCGTACTCGAAGTACGCTAAAATAATATCGTTATTAAGTTATACTACCCTAGATTAATATAACGAACTTCACGATATTAGTATAGTGAATAACCAGAATCTTAAGGGCTAGGCACGCTATAAGAAACGCCCTATTATCCGTTCTGGTTTATATCGCTATATATCTTTTATGCCTTCTGAGAACTAGGATAAACTATATAGCGACACGAATATCATTAAGATCCTGTATAAGTATTCTTATAAGTGGACTAGGCGATACGTTCCGTTTTTCTAGGTTATTATAGGATATAGCCAGTACGATTAGGACTAGTATAATTAAGCCTATATTATTCGGACCGGGTAAGCACGACTATCCTACCGCCATATTATATTAGTAGGCAGATATTAGAACGCTATTCGTTAAAGTCGTGAGTCTTCCTTTTTAACCCGTAATATTCCTTTTTACTAATATTTTAGTAGAGCAGAAATAGCGACGCTGTGCCGCTAAGGAGGATCACTTTCTTAACGGTAATAGTGATAGCGGGGGAGGTATACGTTCACGGTAACGGTAGCATACTAAAAGCCCTTTTCCCGGCTCTGACTTTAGGGATAACGAAGATACCCGTTCTTTTCGTAGCGTGTCGTTTAGTGGTATACCACCACGCTATACTACTCCACGTAATAACAGGTAAGCTAACTAATCCGGAATATATCTAGAATTAAATCCAAAACGTTCCAGTACACGACTAAGGGCTAGGGCATTATAACCCGATCCACATCGGGCAGTTATATAGTTATAGTTAATAGGATTATATAATATAAGCAGGAGTAATATAGAGAAACTAAAGGACGCCTAGGCTAGAGTTAGAGTATTATAGGAGCGGATTTACCGAGGTAATTAATAAAGTTATTCTAAATTCTGTTTTTATATTATAAATTATTTTATATTATTATTCCGTAAACTTAGTATTTTCTTAAAGTATTTAAATATAGTATATACTTTAAATTATTGCTTATAAGTTATATAATTAACTTATTTATCTAAGTATTTAATTAAATTAAGTAGTTAATATATACTACATAGTTTTAGATACTAGAAGTATATTATTATTAAAAGGCTTTTAATTTATTAAGCTAAGATTCCCTATAGTAGTATAGTATATATAATAGGCTTTAAGAGTAATAAGTATAAAGATATTAGTATAGATTATATTAGACTTAAAATAGTAGTAAATAAAGCTATTAATAGTATAAAAAGACTAAAAAACGTAAAAACTAAATAAGAATAATTAAAACAGACTAAAAACTACTAAAAAGGCTAAATAAGGCGATAAATAGCCTAAAATAGACTTAAAAGTACTATAATAGACTATAACACGACTAAAATAGACTATAATAGACTATAAAGTAACTAAAAACGGCTAAAAAGAGCTAAAAAGATCTAAAAACAACTAAAATAAACTAAAACCGGTTAAAATAGGCTATAATAGACTAAAAATAGCTAAAAACGACTAAAATAGACTAAATTAGGCTAAATTAGGCTAAATTAGGCTAAAACAGGCTAAAGTTAACTATACCATAAACTAAAAGCGGTTAAATTAGGCTAAAAAGAGCTAAAACAGACTAAAAATAGCTAAAAAGAGCTAAAAACGACTAAAATAGACTAAAAACGGCTAAATCAAGCTAAATTAGGCTAAATTAGGCTATAAATAACTAAAGTAGGCTATAGTAGACTATAAAGGAACTAAAAACGGCTAAAATAGACTATAATAGACTAGATAACGACTAAAATAGTCTATAATAGTTTATAACACGACTAAAATAGGCTATAATAGACAAAAAATAGCTAAAACAGACTAAAAACGGCTAAATTAGGCTATAATAGACTTAAAAGTACTAAAAATAGCTAAAAGTAGCTAAAAGTAGCTAAAAGTAGCCAAAAAGCTCTAAAAGCTACTAAAATAACTAAAAAGACTAAAAGAGCGAGAATATCCTTTTAGTCTTTTCTTTATTATACTACTCTTATATCTATTACTCTTACTTAGACTTTACGTATTATAAACTATTTATTATATAATATCTTATATTATCATTATCTATTTTATACTATTATTTATAACTAAAAATAATATACCTATTAATTATAGGCGTGTAATAGTAGTAAAATTAATAGCGTTCTATAATAGTACTACTATAAAACCCCGTCCCCTTTAATATAATCCCCGCTAAATACTATTAGAAATTAATTATCCGTTACGGAGGCCTCCCTAAGGCCTA